GGCCCCCTTAAGTGTTTCGCGAAATCGTTAAGCGGAGGCTCGCTTAAGTGTTTCGCGAAGCCGTTAAGGAAAGGCCCCTTTAAGTGTTTCGCGAAACCGTTAAGCGGAGGCTCGCTTAAGTGTTTCGCGAAGCCGTTAAGGAAAGGCCCCTTTAAGTGTTTCGCGAAACCGTTAAGCGGAGGCTCGCTTAAGTGTTTCGCGAAGCCGTTAAGGAAAGGCCCCTTTAAGTGTTTCGCGAAACCGTTAAGCGGAGGCTCGCTTAAGTGTTTCGCGAAGCCGTTAAGGAAAGGCCCCTTTAAGTGTTTCGCGAAACCGTTAAGGCAAGGCCACCTCAAGTGTTTCGCGAAACCCTTACGGCGGGGCCCCCTTAAGTGTTTCGCAAAACTGTTAAGGCAAGGCCACCTCAAGTGTTTCGCGAAACCCTTACGGCGGAGCCCCCTTAAGTGTTTCGCAAAACTGTTAAGCGGAGGCTCCCTTAAGCGGTGACGCTGTCGTCTAAGGTCACCACTTGAGCGAAGGCTCGCTTAAGCCGTGGCGGTGTCGTCCAAAGTCACCACTTAAGCGAAGGCTCGCTTAAGCGGTGACGGTGTCGCCTAAGGTCACCACATATGCGGGGGAGCTATATCACGAGTCAGTCCTCTGATTCTTGATTTGCACCTTCGGTTGTGTGTATGTGTACTTCTTCTTCTTCTTCATCTCCCGTAAACCGCTTTCGAACGCGTTGGTACCGCACATTTTTGTCTTCCGAAGTCACACTCCGAAATATCAACAAAAATTGTCGCGTTGGTTTTTACACCAACGACCGGAGTTGGGGATTGGTTGCTAGTGAGGGAGACGCGTCTGGAGAGGAGGAGGCCATTAGCATTCAAGGGCAGCAGGATGATGTAGCGCACGCAGACTATCAGAACGACACCAGTTACCTTGCCAAATCCACAGATTCGAACTACCTGTCTCCAAATTATTTTCGGCTGAGCGAAGCATTGCTGGATGTAGGGAGGCTTGGAAAGAACGCGTCTGCTAGCGAAGAAGCGGTTTCTTCGAATACCTTTCCTGGCGTGGTGGAGGACATGCAGAAGAATGCATCATCTTCCCAAGAACAGCATTTGCGAAACACCACTATCCTACAAGAGCGGCATCTCCGGACAAAGTACATGCAGACGCGTCAGCGGGACATCGGGTTCAGTTTGGAGTGGATGGGGCAAGAACATCAGCCGGAGGAGCCGGATCATAGACAGATGATAACCAGTGATTCGCAACTCTTTGCGCAATTACTGGACTGTCATCATGCGCATTTGGGCAACGTGATTCCTCCATGGCACAGACAAATGGAATACTATTCCGACGTCTTTTTTCCTAGTGGTGGAAGCATGGGGAACGTTAGCTTCAACTTCGACTTGTACTATGGTCTTGGAGCAGCAGTGAAGATCTTTGCAATATTTGTTGTTTTTCAGAAGTTTCAGTGGAAGAAGTGAGGGAGATTGAATGGCGTGGTACTACCATAGCTTTCTATCCCCTCTCCGTATTTCATCTTGAGTCTTGTATCTTTTACAACTAGTTTTTCTTGTTCTCCATTTCCTATCTACACCGTTTCATACTCCCCAACTTGCGTTTATGCAGCGGTATAGTGGGACGCCGCAGCGCTTTCCCAAGTTCGAATCTGAAATTCTGACCGTGGCAGATCCTGGAAAATACGTGCGTCACGTTCGCGCTCTAGGACAATTGTTTTCGCCAAATGTGGCGCTTAAACTCGATTTACCATCTTCTTTAGAGTCTGCATCGGGAGGTGGGGAAGGACATGATGATACATTATCATCCTCACAGCAGAAGATTGATGAGTTGGTGTATGCAAGTGTCGACTTTTCTGACACAGCTTCTGACATGGAGGAAAGGAAAGAGAAGACGAGCAAGGAGGAGGCAGCCAAGGTCATTTTGGACAAACATCGTCGACAAGAGACTCTTCGAGTGTGGGCGTCAGGCATGATCACTGGAAAAGAAGTGCCTCGAGAATTTGCGTCAAAGCTGGCGGAGTCGACGTATCACCGGTTGGCCACAGACATAGCGCAGAAATCAGTATCACTTATGAAAGACAGTATGATTTCTGAAGGCTGGGATCAGTTAGTATTGTTTCTCGCAAGTTTTTAGAAATACAACTAGATACTATTTAAGTTGCTTTGTAGTTCAGACTTGCGATTAGTATCTATCTGTTTCTCTTTTCAAAAGCAGTAACTAGTCAAACAGCCTCCTCTAATCTGCGTATCGCCGACATAGTTTCAGATGATGGCACCTGGCAAACTGAAAGTTGGATGTTTCAGGGATCTCGGCAATTCGTCCACGTCAACAGCCTAGCTCAGTGTGACCACTATTGCGCTTTGTATTTCACTTGCGTCTCATGGACAGTGGTTGTCCAACCTGGTACTGTGGTAGAGAAGGAGGAACAAATCTTGGAGCCAAGGGAGTACCATAAAAAGATGAGACGTAAGGAGACGGAAGCCTACTTGCGGAAAAAGCAAAAGGAAAAGGCAGTTGACCACACGAACATGGAGAACATGGAGTCTGCTCAAGAGGAGGAGGACCAAATTTTGATCCGCGACAGACGTCGTTGGCTGTACAATGAAATGAAGAATGCACCCACTCATGACCGTGAAGACTTACACAAGCTAGTAGGTTCGCAACTGGATTTTCGGTGGACGGCGATTGAAGACGGTGCTTTGGACCATGACGAGGATATGATCCGAAAGTTAATGCTTTTTCCCCAAAAAGCCACAGGACTTCGTTGTTTTCTCAAGCGAGACGACATCAAAGCATTGGCAATTGACACGGCTTTTGAGAGTAGAGTGGATTTGAAACCATTGCTATTGTCAGAGGAAGATCACGGTGAGGAAGAACAAGGTTCAACATCGTCGAAGAAGCCATTTGCACACAGTCGTGTCCGGAATGAGAATGTTCCCCTGAAATTTAGGAGACAAGACGTCGGACTATGGTCAGAACTGCAGCTCGGAAGGCGTACTAGCAAGCGACACTACTTCAGCGGAGTGAAACTGATCAATATGCCATTCCAGTACGTCTACTTGCCGACGGGACAGATGCACAAGACGAGGGCAAACAACTATTAAGAAAGGATCTACCAAGGAAAGATCTTTTAGGGGTGTTTTAGAACACCTTGGTTGAAACCTCTAATAACACTTTTCGCCATGGCGCTCTCGGACAACCATTTGGAGTAATGAGCCTTGCTATCGCGCACGCATGCAATCACCGCTGACACCAAGCTATCGGGGGGATCTTACTGTTTTAGGAAGTGGCGGGAAGCGAATTTTAGTGAGAGATTGCGACACGGCTATCACTGCGGAGATAGTTAAGCGGAGGCGGAAGTATAGTGGTAAATGATTTAGAAGTCAACAGTAGAAGCCGAAATTAAATAACCTGGATCCGGCCAGCAGAAGTGAATCTTGAATATCAACGCCAGCAGAAGCGTACGCGGAAGGCAAAGTCCCTTCTTGACGAAACCAGCAGAATTCTTAGTCCTAGTTGAAAACCAGCAGAACCCTGTATTGATTTGGAAGCCAGCAGAAACCTATTCTTATAAAACTGAAGTCTCAGTTCCAGAAATATTGCCTCATCCAGAGTCATCTGGCGTTCGTTTGTGTTCCCATTCTTACAGGGCAGGAAATCAGTGCTCATATTGCTGTCACGACCTTCGCTATTAACTATTGACTTTTTTCGCTTTGGGGATGCGAATTTTCAGTTTCTATGGAGAATAACTTCTTACTTCTTACACAACTTGATAAAGTGACAAATTTTTTTGCGTTACACTTCGACCCGTGAACAAAGTAAGCAAAAAATGATTCACACGCAGTTTCCGGTCGGTGAAAAGTTTTTTTCTTAAATCTATAACAATGTCGAATGACTAATTACTATCTAATAATATTCTTGTCTGTCTCAATTATCAATTTTCCTGATAACACATGTACTATGAGTGAATAATTTTCCAATGTGAACAAGAACGATCGCACTGCCTGGCCGGTTGTCTCAGACCGATGGCCCGTTGGTGTGGGCGGTGGTATGCTGTTTTCGAGTACCTCTTTCTGGCACCTTGATTTTCACGTGAGAACCGTTGAAGCGAAACTGGTTGCTGCGTGGTAAAAAAGAATGTGAAACGGATAGACCACAACAAGGACTCATCACCGAAGAGACGAATCCCAGACGCGAAGATCTTGCTTTTGCCACCACGTGGGATGTTCCTGCTCTGGTAACTGAATGCGCGCGAGTTCGAAGCTTGCGGTTCGAAGACTTGTCACTGGTCGAAAGCCTAACTAAGCCTAGGCTTGGGATCTTCACTGGTAAACTGTCGCTACGTAAGAGTCGGTCGTGCACCGTTCGAGTTGCCGGAGCAGTGGTAAACTGTCGCTACGCAAGAGTCGCTCCTGCACCGTTCGAGGCGCCGGAGCAGTGGTAAACTGTCGCTACGTAAGAGTCGCTACTGCATCATTCGAGGCGCCGGAGCAGTGGTAAACTGTCGCTACGTAAGAGTCGCTACTGCACCGTTCGAGTTCGCCTATCACGAGGCGCAATTCTACTCCACATCCTCAAAGACGTCGTGTGTAAGTACTTAACTTAAGGGTAGGTAGAAGGTGCTTTTGTTACCGTTTGTTATGGCTCTCTCCCTTAGGTGGGGACAGCCATAACAAGCGGGATAAACGAACACCAAAAACCTACCTCTAATTAACAACTTCAGCACGATAAAATGCGTGTCCGTTATCTACTGGGCCACCTGCAAGAGCAGGGCCTAGTCCAGAAGGACTTTCTGAACAAATTGGATGGTTTCCGGTTAGCCATAGATGCGGTTTTCTGGCTGAGGTCCATAAAAGCGTTGAAAGACCCATTTGCAGACGCGATCGGAGGAATACCACCAGGGATATTTGGCTTCGTCGACAAGGAATTGCAGCAGTTGAAGAGAGCGGGGATTAAGCCGCTCTTCGTCTTTGAAGGAATGGCGCCACCTGCACAGCAAATGTCGCAACCGAGGGGAAAGTACAGCTACTAACACGACATATTTCTGGCAGAGATGACTAGGACTTTTTGTTTTTTGTCTCTATACGGAATCCAGCTTTTCTTTTCAGCAGTACTCACTAGTCGATGTTGTAAGGAAAAAATGTCTATGCATCACATTTCTTCAAGAATAAGACTCTTCATCTTTGAGATTACACTGAGTTTCTTGATATTCTAAGGTCTACATGCTTATTCTACTACATGACCAGGGGGGAAAACCATATGGACATGGCATGGAGTTTCTTAGCGAATGGGCAAAAGGGGGAAGCGCAGAAATGCTTTGCAGTCTCGACATCAAGAATAAACGAGGACTTCGTTTACTTCCTCTTTCACCACTTGAAGAGCAAGGGACTAGAGGTGTTTCAGGCGCCATATTTTGCGGGGACGCAGTTGGCTATTTTTGCGGAACAGGGTATTGCTTTCTTTTGATTGTTAAAAACCTTGACCACTTGAAACTAGGACGAGTGCTGGACGACTAGTCTGCTGAATAATCGCAATGTTTTTTGTCATTGTGAGTACTGGACGACTAGTCTGCTGAATAATCGCAATGTTTTTACTCAGAATGACATTGCTGGGCTGTCATACCTCTAGAAGGATATTGAAAACAAAAACTTTCAATCACAATAGGCTTAGTAAACGGTGTATTTGGTCCTCCTGGTCTTCTGCTCTATGGAGTGAAGAAATGCATCGTGCAACTCAATTTTTACCGCGGTAGCTTTGACTGGCTGGATTTGGACGACATATTATCGAGGTGGCAGATACAACTGCCGGATTTCGTTTTATGTTGTATAGGAGAGTTGCTCCATAGTTCTCATAGGTAGGTTACTTGTTGTAGAAGAGGTGATTATAACCTCCCATAGTGGACACCCACAAAATGAACTAACATATTCTTTGTTGCAGACGGATTCTACTCTAATTCAAGACGCTTGCATGTTAGCCGGAACAGAATATAGTCTTACGTACCCATACTTCTATACCGACCAGTACCAGGTGTCGCAGCCGGGGGGTGGAGGTACTTCTAACTCCTACTAACGATTTTCATTTTTTGTTCCCAACAACTAACCTGATTTTTATTCAAGTGCGAACTGTTAGTGGAGTCCGATTTCGTCATCTTAGATCTACTTGACCTCTGTAATATTATCAGCTTCTCAGATCATCTTAATCTCCACTACCCTCTTCAACGAACACCATGAAAGGAGGCCGTTTCAATTTCGATGCGGCAATAACGGTAGTGAAAAACGCGCCATTAATATCTTGGCTGTCGACCTGGGGAACCGAGGAAAGCAGGGCGCAACACATAGAGGGCTACTGTCACTGCAAAGTAATCATCACGCATAGTCCAGTGTTATGAAAAGGTCGAATTTTTTTTGAAATAGTTATTCTCTAAACGTTAGGCTTATCCCATGAAACAATGAATTACTTAGTGCCAAATGTTGATGTACGACGACTTCAGTCATATCTACCTGGGCGCCCACGCGGCTCCGGGTCTTTCATATTTGTACCTCCCAATTTTGTTCTTTCTCCTCTACATTCGTCTATTAAGTAGGGGAATAATCCAAATCCCATTCCTCTTTCATCCCACTACAATCCCGAAGCGGGGAAAGTCGTACCATTCTCGCAGTGCACTGTTAATGCGGCGCCAGTGAAGGAAGAGCACCAAAGGATACCACAAGACTTCGCGAACGTTATCGGAGATTGTCTACCCCACGAGCTTTATCTGCTCATCTGTGATGGCGTACTCTCCTCGAAATTGCCGTTGGTAGTGATTCATTGACTTATCATAATCCTAAGACTCGAGCTTCTCTTTACTATGTAGTTTTTATGGTACTGTATATAAGCACTATGTTGTGGGGTGCGGACGATACGGAACATGGGCTTCTCTTTCGCAAGGTGTGTCTTTTGCTTCTCACAAAAACCAACTATTTTCCAGGCACTCGCCCGAGGAGTGTGGTACGAACAGACGGCCCCTCTAGTGGATACCAGTGAATATCGAACCCTTGTCACTGACTTGAAAGACTATCGACAGCGAGCATTGGGAAGACTGGCGAGACCACTGCACGCGAAATTTCATCAGAAGAGGGTGGAAATGAAAACCTATTTTGATCCGCCGGCTGATGGAGGAGCTTCTTCGATTATGGTGACTACGGATCTAGTTAGACTGGATAGAAAAGAAAATGATGCTTAGTTCAAATTTCGCTCTGTCATTAATTTACCTTTTTGTTTTTACATCTACTTCTACTTCTCTCCAATCTTCAAAATTCAAAAATTTTTAGCTCTAATCAGAACGTGTCAACCCACGTAACCCAACTAGAGGATGGAACCCAAATACCCAAGTCGTGGGATGGAACCACCATGCAGTTGCCACTAGTAGAGCCAACGCCGGTACCCACAGTGCCGATATTAGACGCGATGGTGCCAGAGATACCAGTAGACGCCATGAAGTGGTGCTTTTCACCACAAGAAGTAAAAGCGGAGTTGAGGAGGCAGGGTGTGGAGGTACTTTTTAGTAGCAAAAGCGATCTTTCTGTTTTTGACCTCTACTTTGCAGAGGTACAACCATTCCACTTTCGTAGTCGGTGACCGTACCTTATGCTGCTTCGTGTTACCACCAAATGTAGAAGTAGATCTTACATATATTTTGGTCCCAACATCTCCCATCGGGTAGTCGATCTCCTCGCATTCCACATCCGTTTCTCAACAGGTAGTAGACCTCACCTTCTGTTTGCGATGGTACGCATACGCATTAGCACCGGACAGAGGAGAAGGCGAAAGGGAATCTCTGTTCCTTAGGTTCGTCTGGTACCTAGCCAAGAGTTTCTCGCTTCTACACTCTCTCATAGGTAGAAAGGCTACCTCCGACCTCCCTACTAATTGTACTTCTCGAGGATGACAAGAATGATCTACCCCCTCTAACCTCCGACCCCCCAACGAGGACCAAAGGGCTCCAGTAAGGCTACCGGACGGGTCAGACCAAGAAACCTTAGCGGCTTACGTTTATTTTATGGTCCTCGAAGATCTCGACTTGCTAAGCCCGGATGGAGGGATGACGGTGTTGGGAAACGTCTTGAAAGACGCGCCGAAAGAGTACTTCAAGTTTACTACACATGGCATTGTCGATAGCAAACTGAGTGCTAAAGAAGGTCGTGTAACATTTAACATGATTAAGACTACTCCTAGCAAACTATCATTTAGACTCGCATTTCCTACAATGCTACCAACAACACAGCTTCCAAGAACCGATGCTGATAGCGCTTGAGCTGATGAAATTTGGAATATTGACGGGAGAACCCTGTGAACCTGCACAGAAGGACCAGCCCTTTCCTAGAGGTTGTTATCCGAAGAATGAGATGGGTTCAGGACTTTATGATTGGGAAGAAGAAGGACAGCACATTGAATTTGTTGACTAAAAGAGGGCTTTGCCTGTAGGCTCCCATCCCGTACGCATTTATGAAACTCCTTTTCGAAAAATAAGCTGTAAAGTATACAACGTTCTTGTATTGAGCAGTTGTACTGCTACTACTAGTTGCATTTTGGAAATATTATAGATTATAAAGAACAGTTCCTCCTCAATCCCCATCTTCTGCTCCTTTCATCCCCTCGGGAAAGCGAACATCTTGATCGCAAGAGCAATATCGTTGCTGCCTATGAAGCTCAGGGCTGACATGTGGAATGCGGATGTCTCGTTCGATATGACAGCGTTCCACTCAATGGTGAGGGTGTTGAAGCGGACGCTGAGGCAGTTGACGGAGGTAAAATTCTCATGAAATGGTTTATCGATAATATCGCTGAGGCAATTGACGGAGGTAAAATTCTCATGATATGGTTTATCGATTGCTATGATCCATCGTGAAGACCATCTATGACGCCCTTAAGGCAGCCTGCGCTGAACTTTGTGCGAGATGAATCGTGCTGCATTGTATTGCACCTGGGCCACAGCTCTGCCTCTTATTCATGGTTGTTTATGTCTTTCCTTTACTGTCAGGATCAAGTACTATGTCGATAAACACGTAAATCTCCATTAACCTACTTCCTCCTTTTCAGGCCAGCGTCTCATCCTTGCTTCTCGGGAATCTGGAGCTCTCCAAGGTGCTGCCTAATAACTTCATGTGCGTAACGCCCTCGAAAGCGAACCCATTGCAATTTCCATATCTTCTTTTATGGCTCGAAGCAAAAGTCTCTACTTGTGTCTAGTGGATTATCATTACAATGACTCAGCCAGGGCCTCGAGGTCTACTGCTCTGCGCCAACCCCATCTGAGAAGCCGCCGCCATTTGCTGGGAGTGTAATCGTGTCCATTCCGCTGTCCATGTCTAGTGGATCAGCATTACTAAAGCAGGGATTCTCATTACTAGTACGAATCTGTTGAGCGGAGATATTTCATCTGGGGGGGAAGTCGTCATGTGTAGTATCAGGGTCTCTTAAATTATGGAAGAAACGAATGAGACTTTCTCCTCTATCTTCAACGACGGCCTGCCCTCTAATTCCCCCAGCTTTCCCATTGCCGAGAGCGTGTCTCGGGATCGTTACGAGCTATTTCCTCAACTACGAAGGAGAAGCGGCAACCTTCAAGCACGATCTCGAAATGAACTTTCAATGCTGTTACCAGGTATCAACCCAATGTTGATACGACTAACAAAATATATTTTCATCTATTCTAGTAGGTGACTAATGTAAATGTTGATGTTCTTTTTGTTTCCTAAGGCAGTTTAGGTACAAATCAATTTGGTATTGTTCTGTTTCACTAAAATAGAAATCGAATTCTCACTCTCAACAGGGCATCGAGGATTTAGAAAACGGCTTTGCGTTTTGGGTTCACCTAAAGAAGGCCGTGGATGCGATCGCGGGACCACTCGGCGCAGAGGAATTGGCCCATGAAATGTCAGTTGCGGATCAGCAACTACGATCCCAATGCGCAAGACTCAGTTTGAAGATTCCAGGAAAGTAATAGAGGCAAAAGAATAAGTAAGAGGATAAGATGGAAGAACGATCATGAGTATCTCAGTGTCATTGGATATTGGGCTGGTGAGATAATCAAGATATCTCTTCCTTTCTTCAAGTGGCGGCTGCCTGATTCAAGTATCTGGTGGGGATGATAGCAAACGACTGCTCAGTTAGTAGTTGTAAGGCCACCCACACCCTTTAGATTCAGTTACGGCTGGATGACCCAGATTTGTGGTCCTAGTACTTGTAGTGCATGTGGGAATATGAAGAATGCGGAATCGTCACGCCTCGGTTCCAGTGCTCGTACTGTGATGACATGTACTAGATGGCGTATGAGGCTTGGCACTACTCACTTCAAAGTTCGAACCTATGACATTCACTATTCAACAAATAAGTCAACAAAACCTAAACGGCCAAAGCAGGCTAAGATGTTTACATTCACTATAATTCTTTCAACAGACACGATCAGATCATCGTCGCTGGGGGTCCAGCAGAAATGATTTTTTTAAAAATAGATCATGAGGCGGTGCTAGTACAACCAATAGTTGTTGTAGCACTCGGTGTACAAACGAAATTAACTAGATTTAGTCCGCTTGGCAGTGGCCCCACGCCATATGGGAGATGTATACGGTGAACTGTGAGTCAAGTCCTATCGTATGACTGGTGTGAGTGTATGAACCGCAGAAGTTAGACTGGTGTGAGTGTATGAACCGCAGAAGTTAGACTGCTGTGAGTGTATGAACCGCAGAAGTTAGACTGCTGTGAGTGTATTTTTTGAAAGTTACGACCACTCACTGCTGCGTGGAAGAGTTCGGCGTGACCTGCTGCGTGGAAACGAGATTAAGAACTCCCCCCTACGCCGGTATCCATGCGGAAAATACGCAGGTAGGTTTTGACTTATCGGAACTCGCTCGCACTACAAAAAAAAAGTCAGCACGAGAAGAATTGATGTGGAACAATTTAAGGTTATGAATTTTTATTTTCTTGTTTCTCTTTTATGCAAACGATGTTGTAATTTTTTAGTAGATGATCCATCTAAGAATATATTCTAGGTGTTGCTATCAATTTTCACGCAGTGTCCTAATTTGTGTCTGGAATCTCATTAGGGGCAGAAGGACGAACACGCGGCGCCTAAAAAAATAAACGGATCCTAATATAAACGTGGCCACTATAGTTCTTCGATAGGCGTTTAGGCTTAGATGATTCTTTTCATAATTTTTTTGTTTCCTAGATAGGCGTGCTCCACCGATATTATTATTTGAGATCTAACTAGTTTCTTACCTCATAAGAAGAGTCCCGGTGTCCCCGTTCTCGGAGTAATGAAATGTATCTAGAAGTTGAACAGCGACGGACCTTGACTCGAGTGTCATGTCTTAGTCTGTCACATATATCTCCCCTAGTTAGCTCCTCAGCAGCCGCGTATGTCTGCCAGTTTTTCTGGTAGGCCCACACCTAACCTAACCTAGTCAGGTCGGCTCTACCAATATTAATTACAGCTTCTAGGTGGAAGTGCTACCTCATTATAGGGAGTTCAGTTTGATACAACTCACGTATATCTCCGATTGATAGTCCTATCGATCCGAGTTTTAATTTAAAAATCCGAGTACCTACGAGTTTTGAATTAATTCACCCCCTTAGTATAGGGAGCTATTTTGCTATGAAGCTGCCGTGAGTGCCCCTGCGTAGGGCGCTACGATCGCTGCACGCTGTTGCTGCTGTCTACTGAGTTGTAGCTACTACTGTCTACTGAGTTGTAGCTACTTGAACTTGAACTTGTACTATGAATTGATAATGGGGTTTTTAGTTTTGACAGATTCTAGGCGACTTCTAGTGGCTAGAAAATGGGTTTTGATTACCGGTCCTCGCTGTGATAGGATTTATAACTTAATACTTTTTGAAGTTAGCTACGACTACATCTCATGCCTTTTGGCGTCGTACTCGTAGGTAAGCGGAAGCTTCAAAGAAGAACTGCTCAAAGAAGAACAGACTTCGTTCAATATCTTGGATAACACCATTTTTACGTGGATTTGTAGTATGCATTGGTCAATGATTTTATTTTGATCGTAGTCTAGAATACAAGAAAAATTTCGGACGTTGTGCATGTGTTGCGGCTTCTTTCATTTTTAACTTGAATGGGGAGATGGCTTCTGAAAAGGACATCAAGAAAGAGGATGCACATTTTGCTAAAGTCGTTTTTATGTTAATATGGAGGCAATGATATTCTTGTAATAGACAAATGCAAAAGCTGGCAGGCAGGACAATGATCTGCTACGTTTCACAAGCACGGCATCTGGTAGTCTACATCTGGTAGACGACATGGGGCACGGCATCTGGTAGACAAGTACGTGGAGTACGGCATCTGGTAGACGACATGGCATCTGGTAGACAAGTACGTGGACGGCTACAGTGCGAACAAGCAGGTGCCCCATGTCGTCTACCAGATGCCCAATGATCGTCTACGTGGAGTACGGAATCTGGTAGACGACATGGGGCACCTGCTTGTTCGCACAGAAAACGGCTCGCGAACTACTTCTACCTAGGAAATTTCGAAAAATTACGAGAGGATATTTTCGGAGAAGCTAACATAAAAAGGAGACGGGCATCAGCGTGAGGGAAGTCTTCATTGGTCCAGAGCATCACTAGTTAGGTAACTTGTATGCCAAATGTGATAGAATAATTCGAAGTCGTCCTCCCCCACCCCAGCTGGTGCGCTGGCCCTTTGGCCGAAGACTTTGAAATTGAATAATAAATATTTAAGAGTTGCATGGCTCTCACGAGCTGCAGATCAAGAGAGGTGCAGCAAACGTATTTAGGATGCACAGAATAGAATGGCTCTCTTCGCGCTCCGAAACTCCTCTCTACAGTCGCGGAGCGCAAAATCGCTGGTGCTTTCATGGGGGCATTACCAGCAGCGGCTTCGCTTTAGTTCCTACACTTCGTGTGCAGGCAGGTGCTGGAATAGTGCAGAGTCCTTCAACACCATCGAGCGGACCCGATCGAGTCGAGCAGTGCTTTGCCGACAAGTACTGCGATTCATCGAAAGCAGAGTAGCTGGAACTGAGTTTAGCGAAGACCCGAGTAACGACCCGAGCAAGGAGATGAACGAAGACGTACTTTCCTTCACTGTACGCAGAGATAACATCGATGCAGGACTGATGGTTGTCGACTTCAGGCCTTCTGCTCTAGAAAGATCTAGCAAGAATGAGTCCTCGCTTTTGAGGAGATCTCTCTGGTCCTTGACGCGACACAAAAAACGTTATCCAAATACGGTCTTTCTCCGTTCTGGTGTTGTGGTGATACGTGATCTCGACGACAGTTCTACTTCTACACAAGTGGTAGCGGTGGATGAAGGTGATGTGCAAAGTGGACCTCGATTGCAGTCTGCTCTAGCCCATGAGTGTGGACACGCTTTACATTTTCTATTTTCCAGTAAGGGCATGGTTGAGAAACCAGAAGTGTTTTTCAACTCTACCAGTTTGCGGACGCGCGAGCTGCCGGCGTTTGTGATGCAGTATTTGTGGGAAGCGAGTCGTGGAGAGGGCTTTGGCGGCGGTTGCAGCTCTAGAAAGCATCAGGGGAAATTACCAGTTTCATTGGTATCACGTAGATTATCGAGTTTTTATCTTCGCCACTCATTCCTAATGCGATTGTTAAGGAGATTCACGTCTGCTTTTGATCAATTTTCTCCTGAGGATAAAGACGACTACAAGAAAGCACAAGAAGATGCACGACACTGGCTTGCAACGGAGTATGGTGTAGCAAAAGATCCTCCTGAGAAACTGCGTGATCTTTTCTCTACCGTCAAATGGTATGAGGATAATCGTCATGGTACTCGGAAATCTAGTTCCAGTACGGATTCAAATGAAATATCTACTTTGCCAATGAAGCGCTGTCTGTTGCCCGTTCACCGACGACAACAAAGCAACATGCAAGTATGTGTATAAGGTAATGTTGTTTATTCATGTATTCAACCTGACTCGCACTCGCTGAGATATCAAGTTGCAGGTCGTGAATAATGGCTTTTCAAGGATGGGGATGATCCAGATTGGAAGATCACAGCATATCTTGGAAGATCCACAACCTGGATCTACAACTAATTGCATTGGATCGGGCTATAATCAGAAGATCTTCGACGTGATACTTATGCTCAAAGCACATGAGTAAAGCAACCGGTTACTTTTCCGTCTCTTCGTAGACCTATCCCTGCAAGCAACATCTGACTCACTTTTTATCTATTTCTCTCGTAACACAGGACGCATTTGCTTGGTTGAACTGATCGGTTTGTTGTTTTTTCATTTGATTGATCGTGTCTTGTATTTAAACCTTTGGGAAGATTGTGTCTTGTATAAGCCTTGGGAAAGATTACCTCCATTGCACTGGAGACAACGACAAACGAGAAACATCATGGCAGAAACAGCAAGACCTCACTCGACCCATCAGGGTCTTCTCGTACGTACGAAGGCTGGTGAATCTACTTCTTTGCGTGACGTGGTAGATATCCCAGCGACATTCGCAAATTTGGATACCTACATGGACAGCGACAAGCTTTTGGGCACTAAAATCGAGTGGCCTATGCTAGGTCAGAAGTGTCCGATCGTTGTTGCAGGTTCTACTGGCTCGACAGTTCTTGTTCCTGCGGAAGATGCCCTAGCGACTTTGTCTGGTGGTAATGCTCATGGGGGTTCATCAACTTCAACTAGCACGACAACAGACAAACAAGATGCTAGTCCTTCGGCCAGTTCAAGTTCCCCAGAGGACGCCAACAAGATCTCTCCAGACTTCGTCATCTCGCCCAATGATATGCAGTTCCGTTCAGTCACCTCTGGACCTTTAAAGGGGAAAAACATGGGTTGGCATGCTGAGCGGGACCTAGCAGAAGGGACGATTTTACTAGTCGAGAAACCCTATCTGGGTATCTTAGACGTGGAGATCGCGAGAAAATACCCAACGTGGGATGAGTCTGGCGAGTCGGTGGACTGCGACGTTTTGGCCTGTCAAATGGTGAAATTAGATCCGGATTTCGCTGAAAATGAAAATGGAGGTGGGATGATGAGCTTGTTTTCTGGCAGTGGAATGAAGATGTCCTCTCTCTTTGGGGGTCAAGAGGAAGAAGGTGGAGATGATAACGGCGAAGGAGATGACAAGGACAATGATGGAGAAGACGAGGTTGAGGATGACGGAGGTTCTGGGGACGAGGATTCCAAGGATTCCTCTTCTATGATGTCTCTAGGAGAAGGCACTTTTTGTCCAGATACCTTGATCGAGAATTTGCATCCCCGTAACGCTGACGACATCCCGAAGAAATTTCTCGCGGAGGAAGAGCAAGAAGGAATTGTTGAAGAGGAGGGGCAAGAGGGTGCAGAAGTACTAGAGGGGGACAATGTTGAGACATCGATGGCCTCACTTGCATCAGTCTTGATGAGCAAGAGTGAGATCAAAAAAGCAGCAACGGGATTACTAGACAAGGACGACTGCTCGGGAGATGCTTCGGTAAGGACAGCTGCCTCATCGACAAAGTCAACAACGTCAGGGTCAGGTGGATCTCCCGAAGGAAGCAAAAGTTCGCCTGAAAACACGAAGAAAACAAGACCTTCTGCTGGTTCTGCAGAGAACAGCGACCACGACGAAGAGGAGCAGGAAGAAGAAGATTCGGATGATGAAGCTGAGATTGCAAATCGTATCAGACGGGAAGTGACGGACATTCTAGAAGCAAAGTTTCCAGATAAGTCCGATCGAATGCTACTCCGTGCGCGTACCCGTTATAACGCCCTTGGTTTCTACACGAGCAATGAGCAGTTTTGCTACCCTTTGACTTACCAGAAGTTCCAAGGAACCGGTTTGTACTTCCTAGCTAGTGGCTTCAACCACAGCTGCGAGCCGAACGTGAGTCGCTATTCCTGTGGTGATGTGATGATATTGGTGACGAACAAGGCAGTGAAGAAAGGACAACAACTGTGCATCTCGTACGTGGAGAACGAGATCTTATCCGAAGCCAAGAAAATCCGAGACGGCACATTGGATCGTGATTTCATATGTGCTTGTGACAGATGTGAGCGAGAAAAATCGGCACACGAAACCTCTAGTACTCGTTCCAAAGCTCAAGACGCAGAAAAGAAGCAAGAGACTTGGGCAGCCGTAGATGCACAATTACAAGCCGAACTCGCACTGATGCCTCCAATGGAATCCTTGGCCTTGATCGATGAGTATCTAGACAGTGACCACAAGTTGCTGGCCAAGGACAAGCAGGAATTGCGCAGCACTAAGGGAATGACTCTGTGTCGTTTGGGAAGGTTTAGAGAAGCTATTGAGACTTTCAGTGGATGCGCAAAGTGGCAGGCGGAAAACACTGGAGAATTCGATGAGAGTTTGGTAACGTACCATTTGCTCCGACTAGTATGCGTGTTGGCGATGCAGTGCAAAGGGCAGACTAGTACCACTCCCAAAGCCTCCACAGAGTCAGAACCTGACAAGAAAAAACAGAAAAAAAGTACTACATCATCTTCATCGACTAACGAAACTAGCGAATCTGCCACGACTACTACTTCTATCAAGAACGAAGCCTTAGAATCCGCAGTCAAAGTTCACGGTGTCCTCACTGGAGTGCAAGGAATCGCTTTTTTGAGACAGCGATATAAGCGAGAACTGGAGGAATACCTAAGGTGGACCAATGCAGCACTGAATAAGAACCAAAGACAAGAACTTCAAGAGGTTTTGAAGACTACTATGGCTGAAGCTGTAGAGACGAAACTGTAGAGTGACGATTGAATGTGTCATACGAGCAATGCGACGCAAAACCTCCAAATGTCTTCCTACGCGAACCCCATCTCGATGTGTAATGACCCAAGCCCGCACGGATGCTGTCAATGAACACGACTCTATCTGATTTCCCCAGTATTATTGGTTTGCATGATACGAAGAGATGCGTGCCTCATCAACGAGATTCATTCAAGAAACTTTGTCCGTTTCTTGCATGCGTAGAAGCGTTGTTCGTCCACAGAGTGTCTAGGAAAGACAAAGCATGGCCTAAGAGATGTGAGCGACATGGAGGAAGGCAGCGAAAATATGACGGTGTACGAGTCGACGACATATTGTAAGTACTTATGTCATTTCGACGAAGTCCCCATTGACGGGTGGAGTGAGTTTCCAACTTGTCTGACTCGGTCCTCAGCTCTTGTGAATGTCCATGTCTTTATAATGTCTTTGAATTTCCAATATTTATTCAGTGAAGTAGGGTGCAGAGAGCTTTCGTATTTTATCTCCTGTCCCATACACTTGGACACACGAGGACCCTTCTCAGCTTTGAGCTAGGTTTAAGCTTTAATATCACGGTGTAGTTGGTCATTATAACCTGTATTTATACATGTGAAGAACGATCTTTATCTTGCTTTGTCAAGAAAAAGCTTTGTCAGCTGAAGAAGCTATTGTAAAAAAGGTAAATCAAGTGCTCGTTGAAACGAACAGATTGATACTGTCGTAAGATGTAAGAATTAGGAATTCGTACTCGCTCACTTTTACGCCCATCGCACAGTTTATATCCGTTTTCCGAGATGATATCCTTGCAGATCTAGCAAGTGAGTCTTATATCGACAGACACCGGAATGTCATTGTGACTTGTGTGTAACTATAAAAGTAAAGTGAAGTATTGCAGTGCATCTGAGTATGTTGTAATCTCTACTAGTCGGAGAAAAAATGGAGACACAGCGGCACTCTGACGCAGAGTAACACAGAGTTCAGCGGCCATTATTTTCCAGCATTTCCGTCATAGCAACGAGAATAAAGCGCATCATATCGACCCCTTTTTTAGTATCATCGCAGCGACAGCAACACAGCGACATCAATAGTACTTACCATTGCAATTTATTGCCGAGAGTATCATAACAAAGACATCTTCATCACGGCGACATCACGACAGGGAGGACGCCAGCGACCAAGGCGAGTGCAACAAGAAGATCGACATTCTACAGCAGAACTACTTTTGGAATATTTACTTTACAACGACGACCTAGACTGATCCCCAACGTTTTTCTCCTCGATTAACGCCGCAGGAGGAGCTTTTCAACGTGTCTAGAACTCGAAGATCGAAAGTCGATCGTTATTTCGCGAAAATGGCTCCACCAAGTTCCGTCCCCACCACGGCGCTAGTCGCCACGAGTTCCCTACCCGCACTAGCCGACTCCTTCAGGCGGAAAAAGCTCTACTCACTTGCCGCTTTTGTCTTTTTGTGCTATCTGTTTCGGAAGCACATAAGGCGAGCACTAGGATGGAGTGAGGACGCAGATGCTTCGATATCACAGTCTGGCTTGTTTATTCGCAGTTCCATACGAAACTGGATCCTGTCGAATTTAGGTTTTCCAGAATTGCTCGACGCGCGAGTGAGCTACACGAGCAATACAGACTTCAACAAGGTGCAAGCAGCGCTGTTGTCGTTATGGTGTCTTGTGTGACAACGTTGTGTTGCTTGTGTGACAATGATAGTTCCCCTTTTCTCTTTTCTATCTTCCTCTGGTCTTTCTTTTTTCTAGTTAGGTGCGTGGGCTCCACCACAATTAAGTAGGGTTGCTACAAGTGTCTCTCTTGTTCTGGCTTGAAAAATAGTACATCATCCTTCGCTAGGCTGTCCTGAAAATAAGCCTGGTTGACGTGTACTATTTCCTTTATCCTCCTTCCCTCTTCGATCTTCTCCTTTCATACCAAACCGAGCATCTAGGCCTAGGACGAGTAGAGAAGAGGACCTTAGCGGTCCGTCGACTGGATGAAATGTTTCCGAACCAGTATCTACGCGCGAAAATTTTGAAAGCGGCCGCGGATTGCCGTGACAATGAGGAGTTGATTTTGCCAATCTTCTTGTCGGCGACGGATAAGTGGCATGTCCTGAATACGTGTACAAATTATGTTGAAAAAAAGATGATCAAGCTCATGTTTCCGATTTTCTATGCTACTATGTGATAATCCCATCCTGCACGAGATGTTGTCCAATTAGGAAATCATCGCCGAATAAACCTAAAAGCTCTCCTTCATCTTTCCACCCCGTCCACTTGTACCTCTAAGCAACTGCCGTTTCGGAGTTGTTCTCGTCAGCCCACGTTTACTTCAACGAAGCCCGCGCGAATGACAGTTACTACAGAAGCGCTTGGTACTTGTTCACGATCACGTGCACAAGAAATGTAGCTGGCGGTCGGTTCTTCATCACGCCATCCAAACCAGTTCATAGTGGGTCTGATGTAGGCCAGCTGTGCCTGCGCATCATCCTCGTGTCAGAGAATGAGCTCAGGAAAATAGCTTCCGGCGAAACCTCAGAACCGCCGAAAGGGTTTTTTAACGAGAGGCATAACGGTAGATGGCGCGTTTTGGTGAGGATGGCGAATTTGTTTATACGGCAGTTGGAAAGCATAACAGACACCACGTGGGATGGTAATCAAGACTGGGGAGCGAACCTTTGTGGGAGATTAGGTATTCTCTAAGTGAATGATGTTTCTTGTGCTACATCGAAATTGATGAACAGCGGTGGGATATGGCACGAGAAAAACATATTTTTATTTTTTTTGATTAATATTGTGGTCGGAAGTCTAAAATCACTTCTAGTATAGCTGAGTATGATGAAGACTGGTGCACCTAAGATTTTGATCTCGTATTTTCACACTCACAACCCTAGGTGCCACGGCCCTTGAGCGGCGGAAAATGCGGATGCAGGCGTTGGGGGCGAATAGCACATGCTACGAGAGTTTTGCGACAGATCTGCCCAGCAACCTTGCATACGACCCAGAAGACAACTGTTTTTTGAGAATTCACATTCCCTATCCTGGTGGTCAAGCAGTGAAAGCTCACGACAACAACGCGCGCGCTTGTCAGGACGTTGTGCTGTATTCGTAATGAAGGAGTTATCTACTCAAGAAACTCGGACTTAGACATCACCTATTTCTGATTTGCTTCTTCTAGAATCTTCTATCATCAAAATGACTGGAAAATGTTCCGCCTTTATTGTTTCAATTGCGATTTATGAAAACATTGTTCTAGGTTTTCCAGCACTCAAGAATACTGCTCCTCCCATATGTAAGTATGCTGAGGTCATATCAGCATCTATGTATCTGAAGGCTTTCAACATCGCAATTTCAATGAAATTTAACGACTCCTCAGAAACTGAATCATTTTGATTCATCTGCCTGAGAGCAGGGGATTTTTTGGTGTGTAGTAGTATGTAAGGTTTAGAAGGTAAGGTTTAGAAGCATGATAAACCCAAAAATGTTCCGCTGGAAGAAGAATTTTGCGTAGGGTGTGCAACCCAATGCTTGCGGTTTTTATGTCGAAGCATCACCATCTACACCTTGAAGTGGCTGCTGGACCAGCGCCTCTGGGCTCAACACAGACACTACTGCTGTGTTCTTTTAGCGCATGGGGACTTGTGAGGAGTGGATTTATTCCGCGCGAAGGTTTTTACGCATACCAACAGGCATTATGAGTGTTTTTCTCCCCCGGAGTGATAAGCATCTAGATGTGCTACCAGATTTATGAACCAGCACCTCCAACAACATTTATCAATATAAGTACACGGACATCAAAATCTATCAACATGATGACTCAAGAACATGTGATGCTTTCTTTGTTGTTTCGCGAGCAAGTGCTAGTGCGGTTCTTGAGGAGCGTTTTTCGCTGAGCACAGGTGAACACGACAGCAGGATTTGAACTATGACGCCGCGCGGCAGTCTGCACTGATAACTGTGCGAGATTCATTGTATTGTATTGTACCTTTCGCGGCCTTGGATGTGCATGTGACAGCACACACTTCTCACGCACCAGGATTTGAGCTACTACACTGTACATCATACCAGACAGACGAGGACACCTTCAAGAAGAGGACACCTTTGTACATACCAGACGAGGGCACCTTCAAGAAGAGGACACCTTCAAGAAGAGGATGTCTTCTTCCTCCTCTTCCAGAGCTCGCATTGCTATTGGAGCTCACGACACGGAAGAGAATGACAGGAAGTTCGGTCGCTGGTGGAAGGATTACAGGGACAAGAGGAGGCCTGTTCTCTACAGCACGATAGGCGAACTTTGTCGTTTATGGTGCACCTCCACATAAATGGTGGAGTGATTATTTGGAACTCTTTGTTCCACTTAGACTTAGTTCTTTATTAGTGATTATTTGTTCGAGTTCCACTTAGACTTAGTTCTTTCTTAGTCTAGGTCTTTCACGATGCGTAATCACGAGGCGCGTTGTAGATCGAAGTAAGTAGAGTAATCTTCTTTTACACCCCTGGAGTGGGTACATTCATTCACTCATTCATTCATTTCATGACTTCATGTATAGTTTTTTTTTCCATAGGACTACATGCTGCCTCCCATTCAACTACTTATAGATAACCTTATTTAAAAAGTTTACATACCGGGGGAGCAAGAAGACCGTGTCACAACGGCCAAACCCTAAGACTAGTATAGCATCGAGTTGGAGGAGAACTTCAGTGTTAAATCGAAGTATCATCTGCATAGCGGTAAGTGAACAAGAACACTATTGATTTCTCTTTTTCATACCCCAAGCCTGGCATCCACAAGAGCCTTCTCTACATTTGGCAGGCACGGACGCGAGCTTGGTGTGACAGACTCAAAGACCAACATAGGAAGCGGTGGCCCCAACATTTTGGACTTTGTATAGCTTTTTTCGCAGAGTTCTGTTTTGCCAGACCATGGTACAGAAAAAACCTGTTCGAATTGTGTGCGATGCTTCCTGGGTATGGAGTAGGCTGTCGCTTCTGGAAAAAGTCACATAACCGAGGGTTTGGAGGAAGTATCCACGCTAGTAGTGCTACAACGAAGCTACCTTCAGGAGGAGAAGCGTCTTTTGGGTCAACAATTTAAGGTTTTTACAACAATGGAGATTTGATATAGTGTTGAAACTATGTACGTGGTTATAGCTGGGCAGTTGATCATGATAGTTTACTGAAGACCTGCAATCAGTCTTAAGGGGTAAAGCTGCATAACTGGATGAGACAAAATGAAGTCGCAACGCTAAGTCCCATCGTCAGCCGCGGCTCTCTCGAAATCGAAAATGAGATCGCCATTAGAGGGCCAAACTTTTCTTATGCAGGACATTCGCTTCCGAACAAGGCCGTTTCAAGGGAAGGTACTTGGAGCAACCATGTTCGCGCAGCGGGTGGTGAGGAATATTATGACCTTTCGTTCAACGTTGGCACTTCGATTAGTATCTCTCACAAGGGAAGACAGCCCGTTGAGGAATGTAGTATTCAAAGGAAAAGCTTTTTTAGGCGAGGCGTCAATCCCAACACAATAAAATACAAGTAGCACCCACACTCTAAAACCAATCACGCACCAATGGGGAAAACACATATGGGATGGAGCTACGCCTACCCGAGTGACCATAGGGAAGATATCTGGCTCTACAGACCGAAGTTTCCACCATTGAAGAAGGAGGAAACTTGAACTTCATTTATTTATGAACGAGTTTTGCTTTCGCCATCCCATAGGAAAAACAAGTTTGAGAATAGAGTCTTTATCCATGTTTATGCCGTGCTTGGTCGGCCTCTTGACTTCATTCGAAGCCATAGAGTGGCAAAAGGACACCTGAGGAAGCGTTTTCGCACCTACCGTAAAATCGGTTTCAGTATGCCATGTCTGTTATGGATATATTTTGTTGGTCTCGTTGTTAGTAAAATGAGAGCGCACAAGCTATTAATCTTCAACATTGAGAGTGGTCATCAGCAAAGGATTTGTCTGTCGCTCTGCTTCCCAAAACCCCATGATACCTTCAAATGCCCCAGCTTCAAGTCCTAGCTTTTCCGAAAAATTGATATTGTCATAGTGCCGATTGTCATATTTTTTGACATCAATTTCCATCACGCAATCACGTCACTACTTACTTTGTTTTCTGAAGTTAGTAGACATCACACAATCACGTTGTCGACGCCTATCACACAATCTCCTACGGACGGGTTGCAGCCAGAGTGGTCGCAAGTAAAAAAGTCTTCATAGAAAATATCTCAAGCAGAACTAAAAGTAGAGCCTCAACCTCCACTTCTATCCTCTACTATTATAGTACCACTACCAGTAGAGGTGGACATACAAAAAATACAAGAAGCAACATGTCGCAGCTAGAGTCATTACGGAAGATAATTCGAGAGGCGTTCGGCTTCTTCGATAAGTTGGGGAATGCGACAGTGACGCAAGAAGAAGTCGCTACCATCATGCGATATCTCGGACAATTTCCCAGCGAACAGGATGTTGTGGAGGTGATTCTGAGGGAGATACAGGTATTCGTAACTTAAGTTAAAAACTTCATGTAGTTCTCCACTAGGGAGCTACGATAGAGGTGGTGCATCAGTCAGATGACGACTCATTAGTCAAATGTCAATTAGTCCCTTAGATTGATAAACTGACTGACTCAGCACGCTGGATTTTACTTGGTAACTAGAATCATTCTCATTCCTCTCTCTCTCTCTCTCCTCATCGTTCATGGCCAATCCTTGTTCACCCATCCATCTCGAACCAGGACGACGATCCTTCCAATGTCGTGTCGTATGATGCATTCGAGAAGATGATGCTGCGGTGTTTGATGGAAAGGGAATACGACCCGGATGATAGCGAAACTCTTTTGGCGGCTTTTAATTATGGCAGTTTCTTGTGAATACTTGTCACATCTGGGAAGCTACTACTACCAACTTGGATACCTACATCCTCTGGGAAGATAGAACTACTACGAACCATCTCACTCTCTCTCAAGTGATACAGCTGAATGCTTTAGTCTAATATCACAAACCGGTAGAGGACTGCTTCTTGAAGAAACGCCATAATGATAATCAGGAGTAATTCCACAGTATTAGCAACCAGCTTTAATCCCTAGTCCTCGATCCAGATAATCGAGGTTACATCGATGTAGACAAGATGAAAGAGTATCTTGGAAGCGGCGCAGTAGGGTTCCGTGAGAAGGAATGGGCCGAATTCTACGACTATGCCAAGGATAGGGATCCGAATAACACGAAGTACTCCTAGATTGATTTTGCGATGGTAAAAAGTTACCTAATTATAACTGCAACTACTTCCGCTTTTTACTCATTATAACTGCCAATGATGATGATAAAACTACTCATCACCACAGCCGAATATATTACGAGGACTATGTGGCAAAGCTGACGGGGTTTGTGGACAAGCACATTGAGACGCTTTACGCTGATGCTAAAAAGTGAAGACGTCGCAGTCAGTCCTGGATTTGCGAGAGATGTTGATGTAGTTATTTGAGGATTTACTAGAGATTTTGACCGTCTATTAGTAGAAGGCTACTTGTTTTCAGTACCCGTACACAATTTCTTGGACTTGTTGCGTTTCTTTGAGAGCGCTGTATTGGCCAAGGCGCTTCTCGAAGGACGAAGAAGGCGAGGCAAGAAGGAATGGGTGTTCTCTTTGATCCATTCTGAACTGTTCTGTGGTTCCTGTCTTAATCAATACTCTGCAACATGGTCGTGATGAATCTTCAAATGTCATCTGTACAAATCGATCTAAAGGAGCTGTTCTGTGGGTCCGTGGAATGAGAATGTCAACACTGCTGTGAATCCGTGAAGATGTTGAAACAAATAATAAATCTGTGATGTTGTCGTCCGGAACCTGATCTACGAACCAGAAGACGAATTTGCTTCTTGTGATGTATCTAGCCTGACACTTCTTAAAAATTTTGGTTGCATGAATTTCGATTTCCATGAATATACTCATTTCAGACGGCAGTGACTACATCCTCGACAAAAGACAAATAGCAACTCCTGCATGTTTCCTCATAGTTTCAATTACGACAAGCGACAACTCTTTAAGTGACTGTAGACCACTCGCCCCTGGTATTCGTGCCTTGCCAACTGATATCCTTTATTCATCTTTTCGAATTCGATTGTTGATACATTATAGCGAATACTACAAAGATGTCGTCTCACAGAAAGTTTGGTGCTCCTGCATGGGACAAAGCTGGGCGACCCTCGCAGGCTGCAGCCCGTCTTGCTTCATCTTCCAGGAAGCCTTTTCGTTTTGTCCCGACTGCCAAAAACAACGACGTGTTTGAGCCCCAGGCCAGAAACGACTTTTCCGTCCAACCAAGAGCATCGCAGCCGTTCCATGGTGATGTGGTTATGGTGCATCCTCAAACGGACTACGACACACGACCCCTGGTTGGAGGCATGCATCAACCTAATGATGGTGGAGGAAACCAGCAGCAGCCCTCCACTAGTACAACTCGCTACTTTTCAATGCTTGGTCGTGATCCGGCACCTGTGGCCGACAATTTCAGACTGCCTAAAATGCCGCCAAACAAATCTAAAGAAGCACTAGAACACCAAGAATTTATGTCGCTTCTCGCAGGTGTGCCGAACAATGCAGGGAAAGATCAGAGGTATTATAGCAGCTCGAGTGATGTTCAGTCACTTTGTGGTCGTGTACTGTTTAGAATTTAAAAACCGCAGATCATCATGAGAGCCAATGTCGTTGTAATATCACTATCGTAAACAACCCATCATGAGTTACTATCTAAATTAAATAACCAAAAACATCAAAAGGTGTTTCTCGGTTGTCCAGAATCGCGTTCTCTGTCCGGGAAATGGTGTCGGCGGAGAGTATCCTGTAAAAAGCAGTGCTGTTTTGCCTGTCTCAGTAGCTGAACGACGGGCCCAAGGCCAGATCACCATCCTAGAGGAGGTAGCAGCAGAGGCTACATTTTCCTCCAAGGGAGAGCTCAGCTTAAACCCTGAAGCTGCGGGAGCCTTGTTGGACAGGTTGTGTCGGTTGGAATTGCCTGATCGTGATGCACTGGGAGATCAAGGCAGTAGCAATGATGTCGCAGGCGGAACTACTGGTAGTGTCACAGGTGGACAAAAAGCAAGCTTCTCAGGTGCTTCCACTACTTCAAATAAGAAGAGTATCAACAAGGGAGTGCAGCAAGAGCAAGCTGGTGGTTCGTCTTCGTCTGCTCAGATCTCTTCATATAATAGACAACAACAATTTGCCGAGGTCGATGGAATATTCCTTGGCGCGATTGAAACCTTTCGCTTGTTGCAGGCATTGGAGACAAATCGAGTAGCACAGTGGCTCTCAGCGGCTGTTGCACGCAGGTTGCAAGAGGAGCGGTTAGCAAGAGCAGGAGGAAAAAATGGAGGTTTTGGTTCTTCTAGAATGAGAAGCAGCAAAACAAAGGAAGATCTGATGGGAGGGGCTCAACCAGGTCACGCTGTGGACGACGATCCAGAGGATGTGAACTCCGTTTTAGAACAAGTTTACGGTTTTCTCTTGTGCAACCAGTTGCAAGAAGCCGTCTCCTTACTCCTATTGCAGGAGGAGCAACCGCGTGGCCGCTTCACGCACTTGTTGCAGTGTGTCACCGCTTTGGCGCCACCTTGCCACCAGCGTGATTATATGGAGGACCAGCTGTGCGCGTGGGAAGCGTCAGGCGCACAAGAAGTGATGCCGCCAGTACTCTGGAAAATCTACTCACTCCTCGCAGGACGAGTCGGGATTGCAAAAATAGAGGACTCACCAGAAGACGGTAAAAATAGAGCGAGTAGTCCTCTAGGAACATCCTCGTGGCATGTGAGATTAGCTGCGCATTATTGGTATCGCAATTGCAGCAAACCTGGAGAAGAAGCCAGCTTAGAGGCGTCTGTGAGAGCTGCTAGTAGTAGGAATATTTCGAAGAACAGCACAAAAGACGAAGATATCAACGTCCTCGATGAGGGCAATTTACAACTTGCGCTGTTTCGGTATAAGGTGGGACATCTAGATTGTAGAAGTCTTGCAGACTTTGAAAGCGACGCTATCGAAACCAGTTGGACGGTGGCCTTGCTATTGCGTTCTCTAGGCAAATGCGGTGACGAACATGCGACGAGAGAGACAGGTAAAATTATCATGCATGCAATGAAATCATTCGAAGATACGGAAAAAAAATGTATACTATACATAGTTACCCGAAACAAACTGTAAACTCAGATAACGAACTTGCGCAACTATGAAATCATTCGATACTCAAATAAAATGTATAATGGTTACCCGAAACAAACTCTAAACTCAGATAACGAATTTGCGCAACTATGCGAACGCTTAGTCCTGCATTTGGAGCGAAGTGGGGCACCGGAATGGGCTGCTTTTGTGGCTGGGTGGATTCCCTTTGCGGATATTAAGACCCGAATCCTTAGACAACTGCTGAATCAGCATCCCTTTGACGATGAGCAGATTGTGGATATGCTGAGGGCATGGAAGGTACTTACAAATGGTTTTATTGATTCAACGCCATCGATTAATGAATAATGGTAAGTTTTGATCCTCTATTATAATTTTTGTCTCATTGTGTCTTCGATAGCCAAGAACCCGTAGATGAAAGTCCCCACTGTTACTCACACAGGTCCCAGAGAGGTGGATCCTTGAGGCGCGTTTGGCAAGATTTGAAGCCTGCGAAGAGTGGACTGGCGTTGCTGACACTCTGCAGGATCTCATTTTAGTCGCCGAGGGAGCCGGTGAAGATGCTAGAGGGACGGTATCGAAATTGATTGCTTGGTCACATACTTATTCAAAACCAGCAAACACTTATATTACCAAACTTGTTGAAAATTGCGAATTTTTTTCTTCCGTCGGTATCCAGACTTCGTCATCAGGTATCACCTTTTCTCTGAAATTCACTTTCGCCCACAAAAACACATTCAAAACAGTTAAAGCAGCTCGTCGCGTGCGTTACAAAGCATGTTTTTCCGACTGTCGTGCTTGGTCTAGTAGATCGTGCAGCGATGGATGACGGTAGTGGGACAGGCGTTATGGTGCTGTTTAGACGCGAACAGAACCAGAATCTTACAAAACAGGGACACCAACAAGGAACAATGGGGGACATGCTGAACCAGCAGGAAAACATCGTACACTTACAACATGACGAACTGTTCCAGTGGTTGTTGGACAAGCTAAACTTCGCAGTCGCCCGCGACCCACGACTGCAGACGGACATCGAGTTCGAGCTGCTGACGCAATATCGACATCACCTAGCCTCCGAAGGAGAAGACCCTTTCCTGGTGCCTTCTGACTTGTTTTCAGCAGTGGTGTCATTTTCAAGGGATCCGGCAGAGTGGCGGGATGGAGCTGTATTTTGAAGATCATAAAAATTATTCTCTGGGGTTTTCAAAGCAGATGTTGCAAACATAGAGAAGCTTTTACGTAAGATCATGACTCACATGGAGACTGATTCCCCTCATACTGGTCATGGATTTCCCTCATGCTAGTCCTGGATTTCCCTTTTGCTTGCGCGCAATTCCTCTTGACATTGATTTCACGAAATAATTGCCTGTGCATGAGGTCTCAGCAGCCTCGTCGTGTCAGCATGTGGGCGTCACATTGTTCATTGACTCGTTTGTCGCGGAAGAAGCTCGTACTCATGAAAAGTTCAGATCTTCGCAAGCACGCAATATTTTCCGATCGACGAAGGAAAACAGATTTCGTCCTCAACCGGAGTTACTTCGGAAATTTGAAAAAATCGAAAAAAGATTTTATCGACTATCGAAAAAACTATCGAATTCGAACGCAGCTAGGACTGTAAAAGAAGCCCTCACTCTGTTGGTAAAAATTTGTCGTGCACTCAAACACGATTCTTCCCTTTACTAGCACTCAAATTTTCTGCTCGCCACAACAATCCACTTTACAGGAAATTTTTTAGCAATCACTATCTAAGAAGAACGCCTCTGTTCTCATCTAGGCCATTTACCACAAGCAAATTTGTACTACCAGAATTTTATTGACACAAGCAGTAACTACTTCCATTTCATGTGGATTCTCCAAAAGTGTTTTCTTGTACGATAATCGCAAGATAATTGACGAATACTAGTAAGTTTTCTTCAAGATTCATCAGATTGTTTTTTTTTGTACCCTTTCCAAGATATCGTGAAAAATGTTCATGTTTCATCGGATTTTGAACCTGGTCACGATGATGTACCAGGAGGCGGAGGAGCTTACAGTGTGCAGCTACTTGCGTGAGCCGAAGAAGTACTAGTTTTTTGCATCAGCTGTCATTGATTTTGATTTTCAATATTTGAATATAATTTGAGTACTTGCTTGACATGATTGACTTTTCTTCTTTCGGTTTTTGTTTTTTCTCGTTAGGTCTGCTCCACCAACAATATAATTGGAGATCACACATCCCTGGCACTATCCTATTATATTCTCATGATCATCTTCTACAGCTATCCTACATTCTCATGATCATCTTCTACAGCATTTTTTATCAATCTGAAGAAGCTGAATCAAAAGGTCTGAACACGGCCGTCGAGAGAGGGAAGAGCGCAATGACCAGCGGGAAAGGCAGCAACAGCGACCTTCAGTACGCAAGTCAACGAATCAGGGAACAAATGCTCCTGGCCCTTCCTCATCAAGTAGCACAGGAGGTCCTCCGCAGCTTAACGTAGCTCCTCCTTCGCGGACACCAAACAATGGAGGTTCGGGAGAGATGGAAGCCCCAGATGAAGAACCACATCCAGCAGGTGCGATGAAGAACCAAACATCTGAATCTTCTTCTAGCACTGGCGAGCAAGGTCATCCAACAACAACAACAACGACGACCCTTGGCACTGCCTTGATGCAGCAGAGAAGTAGGGATGGAGAAGAAGAGGATTCAGCCTCTGCAGATGAAGCAGATCTTCGAGAGCAGCAGTATTTACCAAGTGGTGGAAGCGGTGGTCAACACCAAGGCGTAGACCAAGACGACAACACTGAGCGCCTGCTGAGGCAACACGCACAGCGAACTGGTGCCACTGGCCAAATCGAAGAACAAAACTGTCAGCCACCACAACTAGGAGAGCAAGGTTCTGGAGGACAAGCTGCGATGTAGTTGAAGTACGACTGTTGTACTAGAAATGACGATATAGATAAGTAGAACTTTTTTTATTGACTACAGCGACCATTGATGATACTGAACTGGCAATGTAGGAGTATACCGCAGACGCGAGACGAACGATGACGCAAAAAACGCTCTATGAATCAGAACTAGAGGTACAATACTTGAACTAGCAAATTACGCAATTGGGGAAGAATACCAGAGTACTAACGAGGTCAACCAAGAAATCTAAATGAATCTAACCAGCTGATGTTATGGAAAGGGTTTAATGAATACTTTTTATCTATCCACCCCTTCATGAGCTTGTAACTAGAAAGGCTCCACCCCACTCTATTCCTATGTAGTAGTTCGTGAGTTTGACTCAGAAGTCAATGCTCTCTTGACGTTGTTCGGAATCGGACATATAATCTAACTTTTGAAGATAGAAGCAAGTATGTTTGTTGCCGTGAAGTTGATACCTGTTCTTGATGTGCTAGTACGTCTTTTATCTTCTTCCTGCTCAGTTGTAGTATTGAGGTGGAGAAAACTTGTCACTTCGCGACTTGGCCACTTCAAGATCAACATGAGTGTGGACACACTAAATTTGTCTAACACCACGCAATGAAGAAATATATAGACCCCGTAAAGAATCATCTTCTCTATGAAGTGGATGACTCACTCAATTTCCGCAAATAAGCAGATGACCCGCGTCGTGTGCATAAGACGTTTACGGTGTTCTACTGGGTCAGACTTCAGTGTGCTCCAGGGTTATCATCGTTATGTATGTCCGAAAAGTGAGGGTGTGGAGTGATCAAACGATAAGACATCGGTCCAGAGGTATTACAGAAGCAAGCGCCGGGTAGTGGAAAGCGGAGACTATTCTACCAGATGTTGAGGGTTGTGCGGTGAGTAGTTTGGAAAAAATTGCCCCCCTTGGAAAAAATTGCTTCGTATCCTCTCCCTCTGATAGCTAGGCCCAAAATCGCATGTCCCTAAAAATCGCAAAAACAACGAAAAAAGCTAGTTCAAGAATTGCTACTGCTGGTCGCTCAATATTCCTCAAGTCATCAAGACAAAAGTATTCCTGAGAATCATGCACAAAAGCACACTTGATAGTTTCCACTTAGAGAATAGTTCTTGAAAAGTTTGAACCATAAAGCAACAACCTATATCAATTACAACTAAGGAATTCTTTTACTTCTGAAAATACCACCAACTCCTACGCAATGGAGCGCGTTCTCGATTGGATGAAACGGGTGTTCGAGGCCGTCTACCTCAGCGGCGCAGGCATAGACTTGGGTGCCGGCATATTCGTGGCTTACTCACATCTCATGTTATGAAAGGATGACCACTCTTTTTATGCCACAGAAATAGAAAAGGATGGCTATTACGACGTGCTAGGTAAATGAGTGAATGAATGAACGACCTGTTTTATTAGAAAGCATGGCTATGACAACTTGTTTGATGTCAGTTTGACTTGCGCATCCTACTCCACCGTCCTATCTCACATAGCCCACATATCTCCTCTCCTTTCTACTACGGAAACATTCTATCCTAAAAAAGCCACTCCTTAATTTTTTCCCTCTCTTCTAAGGCCTTCATACTTTTTCTTAATCCAATACTTCCATTTCCTATCTCACATAGCCAATAGATTTTTCCTCTCCTCTAAGCCCTATCGCAACGACTCTGACCGCAGCGGCCTTGCCAGTATTTTGGTACCTGTTCCGGAAAGAAATTTTGACACTATTCGAAAAGGATGAGGCAATCCTCAGTAGCATGGCTAAGCAAACTGCGGAAGAGGATGAAGGTACATGACACATGACAGATATGTGTTGAGTTACGACCCAAAACCAGGTGTATATTGCTGTGTTGAAATGAAGATGATATCCTAGTTCTGAGACCACATACAAAAGTAGTTTTGCATCTTCCTGTTGCGGAGAAATTGGCTTGATTTGAAAACCTCCATCTCTCTCTCCCACAGCCGACGAAAAAGCAGAGTTCAAGAAACTACTGGTGGAGTACGAAAAGTCAATGAAAGCAAAGGCTTCAACGACGGCGATGAAAAAGATGAAGGGAAAGGTAATAATCTTTGATAGACAATTTTACTTCTTTTCTGATATCTCCACTATTCGTTGTTTGCAACATTCAATCCACAATTACACTGCAGTCGCCTGCTCGCTCCAAGTCTGCGGCGAAGGCACCGGCGATGAAGGTGATGAAAAAGAAGTAAGGTGCTACGACGAACATCTAATGATGAGAAGTGGTGAAATCTAGTGATTCTTTTACTTAGAGTGACCATAGTAGTTAAGTACTTGGAACCCCGTTGTTCTTCTCGTATCTAAGAATTTTCAATCTGGTGTCTGAAAAAAACCCACAAAGTTAGAAATTTCAATTTGGTGTCTGACAAATCATCCACTTCTACCTAGCTTACAACCACGAATCAAAACTAACAAATACGTTTCTCTTAGCCATCAAAGGATCTGTTTCTAACCACATGAGTCTGTTTCTCGATTCCATGTCTTTTTAACTAGTTTCTTGTACGGTGACACTACTACAATGGCTCAGCTACCTTTGGTGGGTGAAAGAATTATGCTTTTGTTTGAGAACGAAAGTAATACGACGAGTGATTCTTGAGTAGAAATTGATGTCTGTCGTGTTCTAAGAACCAAGAGGCTCAAAGAATACTACATTTCGTTTTTTTTTGTGATTCCTTGGAACTGCGTGTTCAACTCCGCAACCAAGGCATTAGAGGATCTGTCTATGTCTTTGACCAAGGTTGTTATTGTTTTATGAGAAACAAGAGGACGAGGTTTTTTATAGAGTCTACAGTGAGCATGAGTTGATCCAGATCTGGAACGATGGGTTTTCCGATCTCATACTGAGATCTCAACCGATGCATTCTCAGGACTTTTTCAATGAATGCTGACCCACCTCCCTTTAGGTGGTAACTTTTTTTTGACACCTCTCTCATCTTCTTGGTGTAGACGTTGATTTCCTCTGATTACTTAGAAAAGCTTTTTGATCAAAGATGTAACTGTACCATAACTCTTGTACATCATTCACGTGCTTCAAGGTAACCATAACTCTTGATTCCTTCGTATACACATCACAATACTACTATTTCTTATTTTTCTTTTTCCCATATCAAATTGGAGTTATTTTGCTTTCTTTTTTTTCATGTTTCCGACCAGTCTTGACATTTTTGAAAATACAATTTCCTTCTTCGTAGTCTCCAGTAAGACCAATGCAGATCAAACTGTTGAGAATTTAGCACTGTCTTGAGACGACTACTAATGATATTTCCTATATTTTAGAAGTCTTGATTGCGTTGAGCATTGATTCTGCAATCTAGACTTGCTTCCAAATGCGGAAGTCAAGTGGTTCCTCATGTGCTAGTAGATTCTAGAAGTAGTCATACGTCTACCTGGGAGATTTAGAAGATTTGTAATCCTAGAATATTAAATTGAGGGAAGGGAGAAAATGAGTCAGCCTCTGAATGCTCTGCAGCGGTCGCTCTACCGTGGCATCACACGGGAGACGCGGAAAACGATTTCACGAGGTGCCGCCGCACACAAATTCCGTTTGCCGGCTATCAAAGAGCTATGGGGTACAGGCGTATACCAGCCAGCAGCGGTCCACGATCGGGGTCTTTTGCGTCTAGTGCCCTCCGAACTGAGACCCTACGTCTTTGGCGATGTGAGACAGGAAGAGGAAGATTTTCTTGATCCAGCAGACAAAGTACTCAATAGAGTAGAGGCAGACGAACTGGAGGAAGAGTGGGGAATGGAAGAAGATGGGGCCACTGCCAGCATGCTAGGAGCAGAACGAGATCTTCATCCGCGCTCAACTAGAACTGGTGGCGAACCTTGTAGTCAGGAATTGAAAGCAGGAACGCGGAATAGAGTTCGGAAAGACGTCATTCGCTGGGCGACGGAAGACAACACACAAGGGGTGTTTGAGATTCTCAAGTACTTATACTTCTTGATCACGGGAAATTTTTTTTGCTTGAAGACCAAGAAGCCGTGTGAGAGTCTTGATTACAAGGAAATGATAGAAAGCAAGTGCACTCACTCTCGCAGAATCTACCTTGTTTCGACTGTAAAATCACAGAATCTACTTTGTTTAGAATGTAAAATCCCTATAACTTCAACATCAGGTCTCTGCGACAACAGCGCAAAATCTCCCATTGTTCTACGGAGAGGAGGACCCAAGGTCTCCGCGTTGAGATGGTCACAGGTTATGCGCATGCGGTGTCGGATGAGGAAATGGGTATTGTGATAGAATGTGATATACTTCAGAAAATGTTTGTTTCACTTCGGTTTTCTCGTTTGCTGTTTGTTAATCTCTGCTGTCGAAGTTTCATTCTTGTGGTATCTATCATTTGTTTTACACTAGTGTATCCGCTTTTTTGTCAACACAGCTTGTTTGATTATCGTTGTTCACACAACGACTACGAGCATTTGTAAGTACCTCCCCCCACATATGATTTTTTTCAGACCCGCCACGTCACATATTCTCGTACTTGTAAGTACCTCTCCCCACATATGATTTTTTTCAGACCCGCCACGTCACATATTCTCGTACAACGTTCGCCTAACGAACGTCTCCACCGATACTACCTACCGCGTCATCGGCCGCTCACTGGTCTTCCAGAATGCTGAGGGCAGTGTTACAGGTGTAGTTAGAGCCAAAACAAAGGAAGCTCAAGGAGTCGTTGGGCACACACCAGTGATCGCGCCAGGGGAGCAGTTCTTGTATGGTTCGGGGACAACGCTCAATACGAAGACGGGCACCATGGTTGGCACGTTTCATGTTATCGTTATGGCGCTTCCTTGGAGATGTGCTTGAAATCTATATATTTAGCACGAGCTAGAAACTTCTTCGAAGTACTCAACATAGTACTATGAATGAATAAGCAGCAGACATTGCTCCTGTAGTTGGTAGAGCTAGAGACTAGACGTAGTGTTGTCGTGGGCGGTGCAAGTCACATTATCTCAGCTCCTTCTTACATCTCTGTCTGCATCGAGATGTAAGAAGGAGCTGAGATAATGTTCTCATTTTCTCCGTCGTGGCTTTCCCCCTGACGGCTTTTTCCTCTTTCATACCGGAAGACGGACTGCGATCTGAGGAATTTGAGTCACGTCCATTGTCTGAACGCTGTACGTTTTTCGAGCACCTGATCCGAGCAGGCAAGGTCGGCGCAAATTTTAGAGCCGCATTCCCAGTCACGAGGTGCGACGCCAACGTGTTGAGCCTGGATCTGCCGCTTCTAATGGCTCGCAACGCCGATGAAGACTTGCATCGAGATGAGCTACGAGAACAACAGGCGCGAAATAGCTTGAAGGATATGGCGATCAAGAGAAAGACTAGCAACAGAGACGACGTTAGCACAGCCTTGGGACATCATGATGCAGGAGACCACGCTCTTGGAGGCACTCCTACTAGTGGCGCTTCTACTTCCACATCCTCTTCCCATGAAAAAAAGAAATCAGCGTCTAAGAGACGGCCATCGCCAGCTATCAACAGCGTCCTTGCAGAGGAACAGGAACTAAGGACTTCCGCAACCCGTAGAAGTAGTAATCTTGGCGGGGGTGATGTGAAGGGAAACAACGACACTGATGTTGATGCTGGGGGTAATCACGACGATAGGAAATGCCCGAAAAAAGACGACTAATGAGCTTGTTTCTGGGCACAACATCAAAAGCACTCCCTTTTCCTCCATTGCCTCCCCTCTCCCTTACTGTTTTGACTCTTCCTGTATAAAAGAAATTGAAATGTAGTCCTCCCCTATTTCTCTGACAAAAACGAGGAAACGGACATGTATAGAAAAAGTTGCGAATCAGCTCGCTTGAATAGGAATAGTCCATACCATACTGAGTGTAAAAACTGTACAGGTTGATGGTATAATCTAGTGAAAATGAAGTGAACATGTATAAAAAAACACGCCATCGCGTCATTCTTTGGTCGACGTTGATGTGGTATTACAAAAATGTAAGATACATATTATCTAAATATTTGGTAGAATCAGCATGGTGATGCGGGATTCGAGACGTAACGAGCTCATCCTCGTGGTTGCTTGATGGAAAAGGGATACACATACTAGGTCACGCACGTAGAATCGTAGATTTTCAAAAAACCTCATGTCTTGAATGACCAGTGCCTATCGCCAACGGGAAGCCAGCCTACTTAGGTCTTACGCCATAGAAATGAGCATCAATGTCAACATAGCTGAAGCTATCACATGAGCAATGTTAGACAGCACGCCCTCATCTTTTCTACTATGTGCAGATTCCCCTTTTGAGAACCTAAAGTCCAATGATACAACATGCTTAAGAAGAACTTTGGTCTTTCCACTTGGAGTCAGTAGGGTGTTCCAAAGTCCATCGGAGTTGTTCGTAACTTTTGGGACCAAAGAAAATTGTTTTGCTGGGGCGAAAAACGAAAACCGGAAATAACTTGGAATCTGATGGGTTTTGTTTTGCGCCGTGTCATTGTACCTGTTCATGATACACGTTGAGGTTTTCTCTCCTGTTTTACTTGATGTAGGGGTTAGGGACGTAATGTATTCGAAAGAGCGTAGTAGTTCTAGTTCATCTGAATGAGCGTCGAATGAGGTCGCGAAGATAACTCGATACGTAGGCAGGTACTTCTTCGTATTTTGGCATACCAGCATTCATAATATACGCACGGAGGAAGGAAGGAACAACAACAAAGATGACGTCATCACATGGGGGTTTCGTTCGAGGCAGCATAAGGGAGATACTCTCCAAAAGCTCATCTGCCGCTGAGAGTCCTCACACTTTCGTCGCTGGTGGCTTATCGTCTCGTAATTACGGAAATACGGCCAGTCCCACGTCTTCCAGCGAAGACGGGTCGTCTCCTGACGGAGAGAGTGGCAGCGTTGGATACGGTAAAACCAGGAGTGGAAGCAGGCAGCTGGACCATCGTGAAAGACGTGCTGACAAAGGGAATCATGGAAGGAGCAACGACGATTCGGACTACGACGGTTCGCTTTCAGAAGGCTCTGGTGACCAGCATGACTCGGACTACGATGACTCCGGCCACCAACATGGTAGAAGCAGAGAGGAGGGGAGCGAATCAGAATCTGATGGAGACGATGTCAATCGAAGCCATAATGAAGACGATGACAGTCGGAGCATCGAAAGCGATGTGGATTTGGCAAGGTCGTCACCATCAAATAATAGGTCGTGCGTAGACGATAGATCTCACCAAGAAGGCGAGCAATCATACCATTCCGATCACTCAGGTGGATCTGAGGATGATAGTAGAAGCAGAGACGAGGAACAGCAAAACGAAGAACTTGCAGCAGATAACTACAGCAGCGAAGAGGATCATCTGTCGGACATAGAAGCTGCGCATGAGGGTGAAGATGAGGATGAAGAAGATTATAGTTAAGATGAAGAAGACTATAATAAAGAGCTGGTACTAGCATTGCTGTACTCATGATTTTTATATGTCTTTATCAACAGTAACTATAATTCCGTCTAACACTTCTTTGAGGTAGCAGGGTGTCATCGTATAGTCTAGGTGTTGGTATGCTGGCCAATGATAGACTCACTGTAGTGTAATGTAACTTGCTCAGTCACATTGTTTATCAACAGTAACTACACAGTGTGCATTGGTTGCTATAATAGTCCTCCTACTTTATACAGTTGTGTTGTCTTTCTCAAATCACAGTGTGCATTGGTTGATATAATAGTCCTCCTACTTTATACAGTGGTGTTGTCTTTCTCAAATCACAGTGTGCATTGGTTGATATAGTCCTCCTACTTTACAATACAGTGGTGGGCTCTTTCTCAGAAGAAGTATTGTGAAGGCCTCTAATCTAGTCCCATCGACGAGAGAGGTCGACACAACGGCGAACTGAATCGTGAAGAGGCTGCGCGTTTTTTCGGTGTATCCGATCCAGAAGACGACGATGGTGGACTAGAGAACGACGATGAGCTGGTGTATGACCATGAAGGAGGAGAAGAAGGTGCAGAAGAGGATGCTATCCAGCGAGAAGGGGAAGGAGCAGAGATAGAGGCCTCAACACAGCAAATAGGATCACAAGCAGACGCAGCTAAGTGGCGATGGATCCAGGAAAGTGGCATGTATCGAGACGGCGTTGTTGATGAAGAGGAGGACTCGGTGCAGGAGTGTCGTCGTGCCAGTCAAGAACAACTTTTTGCACATATGAATCAAGATAGTGCACGTGGCGGCGATCGTTCTGTCCGTGGTGTTGATCTATTGGTGGAAAAATGGCGAGAGCGATCATCTGACTCCGCGGGTATCGCAGTAGCATCATCATCATCAGGAAAAGCCGCACTCTCTTCTGTGTCGAGGAGGGCATCACCCAGTACTTCTAAAGCTGCTGTAGTATCACCTGGACCTGCTGGTGTCGTAGGCATAACACCAGAGAAAGACGGGTCGTCTTATTCACGACGTAGCTCATCAGATCAACGACGCGGATCGCGAGGCTACGTTCAGATGAGGGAACAAAGACTACAACAGCGCATGCGAAATTCGCCCTTTCAACTCAAGGGACAGACGAACTCTCCAACACAGGTGAAAGGGAGTCATGGAGTACCACAGCAAAGCAACACAAGTGCTATTTGTACTAGACAAGAGGAAGCCGAAGCTCCTAGAAGAAGTGCCAGCAAAGAGGAGCCAAGAACCTCGTCCTCGTCCTCGACACATCCGAATCAACAGAAACAACACTCCTCTTCTCGTGTGAGTTCTGCTACCACCACGGCCGATGCGAATTCATCACACTGTTTGCTGAACTCCGATCTACTTTCGACGATCAACTCCGTAAATTCGACACTCATATCCACGAATTCAGAAATTGTACCAGAAACAACTAGAGAGGTTGTTGTAGATTCTGAAGCAGGAAGTCGTGATCAGCCTGCAGATGCTGTTGAACGAGCCGATGTCCCTACACCGTTCACTCCTGTGGATTTAGAACGCCGCAAGCATCCTAGCAGATGTTCTACTGCAGCTTCGTCTAGTAGTTGTGAAACTTCAGGGGAAAAGCAGCTGCATTACAGCCACTACTTGGCTGACGACCATAAGCAAGATGCGCCTTCGTACTCGCTGTTTCGCTCTGCCAATGCAGTTTTGGCCGCACAAGAAGCTGAGGCTACGAGAGGTAGTCAGAAACAAGGTGCTGTTTCGTCTTCGCGCAATTCCAGTCGTATGAACTTCTACTCGGCAGCAGAGGAGCACGAGGGTTACGGTTCATGCTCTTCGAGTGGTGTGAAAACAAAGTCCTCGTATCAGCTGAGCACCAGCGTTGGTCATGATCATCATCCTCGCTCTGGAGTGCGTATGGAGCGACAATGCAGCACGCTGGCGAGTCACCACGCCTCAACAGCCTGCTCACCACGTCGAGCATTGCAAACATCTTTCTCAAGGGAGACTCACACCCCTCCTTTGTCACCTGCCGTGGTACTAGGAAAGGCATGTTGTCGAGCACCAGGTATTAGTATTCAAAAGAGTGTTTTGGGTGGAAGAAGCAGAACACCTACAAGCAGTGCCCAACCGAGTCCAAGTAACCACAGTTCAACATCTCTGACACCGAGTCATAGTCCGTGTCCGTCCTTTTCTTCGCCTAGCAGTGGTGGTGTGGTGGAGAGTGGTGCAGCTAGTGGAGGTTTTTCTAGGGAGAAAAGAGGAAGCAATTACAGAGTGGAGGAACGAGATGAACGACAGCAGTCTACTCCAAGCTATGGTGGATCCCTTTCTTCATCAGGGACTGCAACAAAACAAACTACAGCTAAACAAGTACTCGAAAGACGGTTTGATCCTCGACGTGGCTGCTACAGCTACGGAAATGGGAAGCATCCTGGTGGGTATAGCACAAGAGCAGGATCTACTTCTGGTGCTGGACTTGCATCGCTGCCTTCCGCCTTTCAGCCTAGCGCAAGGCGTGCTGGACCGGGGCCTTCTGTTGTTATTTCTGGCGACTCGCCCGCATCATCTTCCAGGAGTTCTAGAACTGCAGTAGAAAGAAGGACCAAGATGTGGGATCAAAATTTCAGTCCAGTTTCTAGTACTAGTAGTTGTATGATGAATTATCAAGGTGCTGCGCGAGGATCTGCGACGAGACAGGCGACGACTGCATCTGTAGCATCCTCGTCTTCTTCCAAAGGGCACTATGAAAAACCTAAGAGCCGCGTTGCGCGTATAAAGCTGTGTGTCTGCGCGAATTCTGCTACACTAGCTAGAGAGCGGTGTCGCTTACTGAAAGAAGAGGCAGCTTTCTTCCAAGATGTGCAGAGCTGGCAAGCTAGAGAAAAAGGCTTAAACGAGCGCCATGCCCGATTAGAATCACGGAAAGCGCAGATCGCTAAGAGAAAGGCCGAAGAGGGCAGTCGAAAATCTGCGGTAGCAGAGGCGAAAAAGGAAGTGGAGCAACTAAAATCAGAGACGTTGCCGTCACTAAGGCAAAAAAGCGAGGCCGCAGCAAAGCAGATCGCTGACGTGCGAACGGCGCTCAACGAACGAGAGGGGAAGGTTGGGGAAGACCGTTCAAAACGGTTAGCCGAAGAAGATACCTTCGTTGCTGAAACGTCGAAAGAGCGCGCTCGTTGGGCGGACAAGGAGAAAGAGCTACGGCGAAAAATCGCAAAGATGGAACGAAAATTGGGCATAGAAATCCTCTCTGGAACGTCTAGTACATCTTCGTCACGTATTGAAGCTACCTCTCTACTAGAACATAAAAAAGACGAAGATCAAGATGAAGACGCAATCATGTTGCCACAGGAACTAGCTTTGTCACTTGAGGAGACGAAGATAGCCACAGATAGCGTATTAGACCCTCTACGAAAAGACGTCGCGGCTTTGCAGAACAACGTCCTCTCCAAGCGCCAAACGGTAGAACGACGACGGGCAGAGCTCTTGCCACGTAAAGAGAAGTTTGAGGAGAGACGAAAACGCAGAAGAGCCTTTCAGGATCAAATTGCGAGTGTCAAACGCGAATATGCGCTAGCAGTGGAGAAAGCGGAAAAGACGGATGCAGAATGCGCGCAGCTTGCGCTTAGTATCCGCCAATTTGGAGAAAAAATCGAAAGTTCCATGTCCTTTGCCGCTGAGCAGTGCGAAATTGGAGACCGTCTAGAGGAGGAAGTCGAGGATCTTCACGCGAAAAATGCTGCCTTAGAAGCAGATCTAGTAGCCCGAACTAGACTAAAAGAAGCAAAACAGCGTCAAATCCGAGAAGATGCTAGGCAGAGACAAGAAGAGGCGCTTCTGAGAGCAGGGATAGACGCAAAACGATCAGAAGAAGAGCGACGAGAGGACGCTGAACTGGAGTTGAGCATGTTGCAAGTGCATATTGAGACCTTGAAACAGTCGCATAAAGCGTTGAATGCCGCGATCGAAGAGACGACAAAAGCTGTGGAGTTAAGGCAATTCTTTATTAGGCTCTAGTCTACTTTGGTCTTCCTCGGTCTATCTCTTTATTATCCTCTAGAAGTGGGTGGAGTGCTTTTTCTGCTTTAAGGCTTTTTATCCTCTAGTGCATTTTGCTCCTAGATAGTCATTGAAAGTAGACCATGAATGATTCTAACATAGGAAAGTAGGGAGAAGGCGCAGGCGAATCGCGATAGACGCGCAGCGATACGACAACGGATGAAAACACAATCCTTATCGCTGACGGGGACGACAGGTGGAGGGACGAATGGATGAGTCTCTTTTCAAGTTTGGCAGGATTTACGCAGTTGTCCTCAACAAGCAGAGTATTTCTTCTTTGCATAGGCATGGCATACTGAGTTGCGAAGATGCGACTCAGTGATCCTAAACCATTTGGATCCCACATCTGTCTCGATACCGTCAAGGGGCTTTTGTTGTTGAATAACCACGCAATCTGCTTCTATGATCCACTCTTTGACTTTTACTTACACTTCTGCAAAGAGTCAAGTGCTGAAATCTCCACAGTGTTCATCTATCGAAATGTTGTGCATGTGCTGCTGGAACCATAGACAGGCACTGCCGTAGTGAATTCCGCATCAAGAATCCAGATTTCCACATCAAGAATCTAATCCTGTACGCATCCTTGATACTAAGAATGTCGTGGATCTGTCGGTGGCTTCCCCTGACGACAGCGTGCTTATTGGGTGTGGTTCTTGACCGAAATACGTGCAGAATGTTGACGTGATGGTGATGTTTGCACCTTCTAGTGTCTCCTCAACTCTGGTCATAGTTTGATGGAATGGAAATGTTAGATGGAAATGTTAGGATATCTGGCTTCGAATCGGATGTCTGACATCTCATCTCTTTTCATATTCTACATCACTCTTGGCTATACCAATTACTGCAATAGTCAAGATTGGAATGAAATACTTTGGATTCTTGGAATAGCAAATCAACTCTTGGAAATACTTTGGATTCTTGATTATATTTCATAAAGAGTACTAAACTTGTACAATTCATGCCCATCTGTACCATTCCATACCAATTCTAGACCGATGCAGGCCCAAACTTTGCGAAATCTCCAAGTTTCCACCTCAGGCCAAACTTTGTGAAATCTGATGATTAGTGTTGATTTCTTTGAGCGTCTCAGGACATGAATTCGAATGAAGTGGAATATAATTAGAATTTTCTGGATATGAGTAATTTCAAATTTTGAAATTTCAAGAAATGGCGACGTTATTTTCTGGAATGCCGTTGCTGCTGCCGCGGTAAACCGATATTGTTACAACACGTTACACTGGTCCATCGTCGCGTAGCCTCGTGCTGCTGATGATACTCACTTGTGTTGCTGAAAGACTACACGATAAAACAGGCGTTCGGTAGCCTTCGGACCGGTTCTCGTTGAGCAAGTGAGTAGTACGCAAGCGATCTGTAGTACATGAAGTCAAGCAGCCTCTATCTTCGCAGCGAGAAAAGCAGATATAGTCTCCCGTAGTGGTCGTGTAAGCTACTCTTGTTTCGGAGTACAACGTCTTCTAAGGACAGGAAAGGATACTGGTGAACAGCCTTCGCGTTTTGGTTCTCCTCAACCGAACATCTATAGCCAGGAGTTTACATCACACAGTAGCATACAGCATCAGCCAAAATGCCGAGCAAGGAGAAGGAAGAAAAGGAGCCTGGCAAGGAGAAGGCCAAGCACGAGAAGTGGGAGGGCAAACAAAAAGAGGACTGGGACACTTCTAGAGGTGGAGACTCGTCTTCGAAGCACAAGTCTAGCAAGCAAGACTGGGGAGACTCTACTAAGCAGAAGAGTTCTAGTTCATGGGACATGAGGCAAGTGCTCATGGTAGCGGAAAAGCCAACGATCGCGGAAGCAATAGCGACCGCTTTGGCGGCAAATCCGAAGGACATACAGAAATCTAAGAGAATTTCGCCAGTATGTCCTATCTTCGAGTTCGAAGGATATGCGCCTTTTATCAAGAAGGGAAGGGAAAAGGTATTTTGCTACTCGCTACATTGGAACTATTGCTGACTAGAGTATAGTACTTAAATCTTCTGTTGTCGTGTTTCCCAGTTCTTCTCTCACGCTTACCAGTTATTGCTGACGTTTTACTTCAATGTAGTATGAAAAATAGTGTGAAAGTGGTACTTGAGAACGACTCACCGAGGATCTTCACCTCTTCCCTCTCCAGGTCTGGATGAAAGTTACCTCCACTGTCGGCCATATCTACGGTCTAGAGTTCCAGAAGCAATACCTCGACTGGAAAACAGTAGCTCCCGTAGACCTTTTCGATGCGGGGACCGAGCAATTAGAGGCAAAAGGCTCTAACAAAGTGCCTGGTCATCTCCGACAAGAGGCCAAGTATTGCTCACATTTGGTGTTGTGGTTGGATTGCGATAGAGAGGGCGAAAACATCTGCTTCGAAGTTATGAAGTCCGCGTGTTGCAGTGAAAAGGAGAAAGAGGAGGGGAGCAGTACTACCTATGTTTTACTTTTTTGCCTGTTTTTTGATCGTAGAGCTAGACTTCTTGTTCCTGTATGAGATATAGATTATCACTTGGGTACAACTTGATGTCTCCAGAACTTGATGTCTCCAGATCTACAGATTATCACTTGATGTCTCCAGAAGGATCCATGATTGACCATTGACCTCAAATCACAGAGCTGATCCCCCGAAAAAACGCTTTCCGAGCTCTCTTTTCCGCTCTAGACGCGAAGAGCTTAGAAAAAGCCTTTTGGGAACTCAATTACGATGGGCCCAACAAGAATGAGAGCGATGCCGTGGACGCACGACAAGAGATGGACTTGAAAGTGGGGGTAGCGTGGACAAGATACCAAACCATGTTTTATCAGGGTCGCTACAGGGATTTAGACGCAAAGCTCCTTAGTTACGGACCGTGCCAGACGCCAACGCTTTGGTATTGTTAACATTTTTTCTCCGGGTTGGTTTCCCAAGGTGTAGAGTTTTGAACAAATCTAGTATCTTCTGTTACTGTCACGAAAAATGGTTGTTGCAAATGGTCTTTGCGGTGTTCTGTCGCTTTGCCTTTTATTAAAGGAACATTAAATCGGGAGGCTTGATAGTGTAAGTAGTTCCGAGACGTCTTTGCTTAAAATCTTGGACTTATCAGGTTTCCGTCCAACGGCAGGACCAGATCAAAGCTCTATCCAAACCAAACCACTCAGGTTTTGCGTCCAACGGCACGACCAGATCAAGGCTTTTAAGCCAGAGAAGTTTTGGGTGATGGTGTTGAAGATTAAAGTGAGGTCTTTGCTAGAGGAAGTGAAGAAATTCACCAAAGCTTTAGACCCTGACTGCAAGCAGCCGAAGAGTCAACTCTTGAAGAAGAAGTTTGACAGTTTTACCCAACGTCAGCAAGAGCAGCAGGCCAGGTCAAATGGTCTTGCCTCTTCTATGCCTGATGAAACCTTGGAGATCGAATGGACGCGAGGGCCGATTTTTAATTATGAGGCAATGACAGGCATGAAGCAAATGCTGGTGGCAGGAGCTTCCTCTTCTAGCAGTAGTGGAGCGGGATCGAATGCGACGTCTTCTGCTCTTAAGGCACAACTCTTCCCTAAAAATCAACATGATTTCGCTCACAACTACTTACATCAAGTGATCTTTCAACTACAATCAGCAGAATAAGACTCTCTGACAGGAGTACAACTTCAGTGCTTCTCCTCGTGTGAAATTTTTATTCTTATATTATATACTAGAATTAGAAAGTCAATTATGAGACAACATTTCCAAAGCCCCCTCATCTCTAATTATACAACTGGTCTGCACGAGTTCCGACTTGAAGTGACAAAGCAGGCGTCGAAGGAGATGCGGTATGAGAGGCCGCAGGGCATGAACACGGTGACCATGCTGAAACTTGCGAGTTCGAATCTAGGTATAGGTCCTCAGGAAGCCATGAGGGAAGCTGAGCACTTGTACCTGCGAGGATATTTGACTTACCCGCGTACAGAAACTACGGCCTATCCAAAGACGCTTGACCTGGATGGGCTGCTTCGAGCGCAGACCACAAATCCAGTGTGGGGCTCGCAAGCAAAAGACCTAGTTACCAGAGGACGAAAGGCACCGAGAAAAGGTGATAATATTCATACTAGATACGGGATTGCGCATCTTGCGACATGGCTTGAGTATATTTCCGGGGCGGGTGCCGGCGCGCTGCATGCGGCAGCTGCTCGGTGCTGACGAATGGCCACCTTACGACCGGGGGGGCCTGAAGTGCCTGGCGGCGCCGTGGCCGCCCTTCTCTTAGCTCGGGCAACGACCTCAGCGCGCCGAGCCGTGTGCTGCGGCTGCTGCGTGCTGTTCCACCTGAGTGCCCCGAGGGAGTTGCGAGCACCGCGGAGGCGTCTTGCGCGTTGTGTCCCGCTGAAGCCTGGGCCGCTGAAGGCGCCGAGCGCAAGTTTCTTCCGGGTTGGTTCCTCGGGGCTGTGCCGGTGTAATTTCCGCCACCGGCTGCCGACGGGGATTGGCCGGGTACGTTTGCGGGCCCCCCGGCCGCTGTTGCTTGTCGGTGTCCAACAATAGAAAGCACAGCGAAGAACCGGGCGGCCCAGGCTGGGGCCATGAGTGTTGCGTGATGTCTCCAAAAACTACGGGGGCCACCTCCTGACCCAGAGACGAGCACCCACGCGCAAAAAGCCGGCAGCAGAGGCCAGGCGGCAGCGGTGGCACGGCTGGCAAGTGCTTCGGGCGCTGTGCCGGTCTTGTTGCTCTGCTTTTTCACTGGGAGGCTAAGGGCTGCCCGGGTTTTATGCGCCAGCAGTACGGCGACAAGTGTAAAAGCTTGCCCAAGCTACACAGATGCAACAGCAGAGCTGTCGAAGGGGAAGACGCGGGAAGCGCGTCCAGGCAACGCATAAGCGAAGGCGCCGAAGGAGTGCGCGCAACCGGCTCGGCCGGGAATGATGCGGGGCCCGCAGACTGGCCAAATTTCTTACGAAGTCCGTGCCGCTGGCGCTGTCGCTAGTCGTGTCCCGGACGCGACAACGACGAAGAAAACAAGGGCAGGCGCCTCCCCCCGAGCTGTTACGAGCCCAGCTGAGTGACAACAAATGGCGGGGAATGCGCGCCGACGCAGGTGCCCCGCAGCAAGCTACAAACCCACAACGTGCCCGATGTGGAGCGCAAAGACCATACTTCTGAGGCCGACGTGGGCAGATGCTTCGACGAGACCGGGAAAATTGCGGAAGACGTGCCGCACAATGGAACTGGAAACCCAGCGGCGCTCGACAGGAGCGCCAGGGAATTGATAGAGGCGCCGCTGGGTCATGCTACACTGGAACAATGTTGCGCGCAGTTGAGCGGGGGCGTGATGCTGGCAGCGGCGCGCGCGTGGCAGTGCGAGAGCGCCCCAAAGTTCCAGACGTTGCGCCAGGCCGAGCAGAGTGGCCGCCGGTAAGCGAATGGCTTGCCGTAACAGGCTGCAAAAGCAAGGACGCCGCCAAGCTCCGCGCTTGTTGGGGGGCTAAGGGTTATCCGCCTGGTGCCCAATCACTTCGCACCCACGCCCCTACTCTTCAACGCGGCGCCTTGCCCTTTAGACTGGCTGGGGGAGGTGGGTGGCCCCTCTCCTCTGCCGGTGTAGGTAGGTCCCACTGTTTAACTACACGCCTGGGGGCCTAGATGCGGTTCTGTCAGGTCCTTTGGCTTGGGTTTGCCATGCCTCTCGTCCCTCCTTCCCTTTCCCCCTTTTCTACTCTCATTTGCTTTTTAGTTGGCTCTTTTCCACGCTATATTTCATTTGCTCTTACGCCTGTTCTCGTCCTCGTTACAACTCAATTCGTTTAATGCCTTTTTTTGTATCGCGAGCGAGTTCTGTAAAGAACCCCCTCCGCCTAACCTGTAATAGTTTTTTGCTACTTTCTACTCCTCATCATGATACACTATCTAATACTTGTGCCTGCTTTAGTTCCCCGTCTCACTTCATATCACATAGCTCTAAGTAATATTGCCGCCTCGACTTCTTTCTGGTGTGTGAATTTGTATTTTTCAACGATTACTGGTGTGTGAAAATTTTTCATCCAATGACTACTAACTCAGGTTTCGACGCTGGCGATCACCCTCCTCTAACACCAACGCTTCAAGTCCCCAGCTCTGTCGAAGAATTAGGCGGAACTCGCGCGTGGCGTGTCTACGAGTTGGTTTGTCGAAATTTTATGGCCAGTATTAGCAGTGATCTCCTTTTCCTCAGTGCAAAACTTCAGCTCTCGTTGTATAGCGCACAGGCGTTGCAGTCAACACCGAGTGGCAATACAGATGAAATGCCGAAATTTCATTTCACTTTATCGGACAAAAAACTCCAAGACCCTGGATTCCAGAGAGTCATGAAACGTACTTTTTCATTGTTTGGGTGTGACCAATTTACAACTGAGAAATGAATACTTCGCTAAGAATCCTGATCTTCAAAAGGATTTCTTTAGTTCTACCTTAGAAGAATGATGAATCGAAGTTCAAACTTTTTTTTTCTCCTCCAACCACCACCCACATACTATCAATTACATTTCTCTTCTCCCAACTACAGCAAACTTCGACGAAGAGGCGTATCGACTTGAGTTTAACAATGGCACTCCCTACGACATAGGAGACCATTTGAACTTGTACGACCGCTATAGAATGCGCTACAATCCTAGTATTGACGATGATATGCACCGTCGAAGCGGAAGAAAGCGAATCGAAAACGATATCATACTAGAGTTGAAGGAGCAAGAGACCAGTGCGCCAGACTACTTAACGGAATCAGACTTATTAGGGCTGATGGATGCGAATGGGATAGGTACTGTTTAGAGGTACAAGTAGAGGTTTAATGAAAATCAATGTAAGATAAAGTCAGATTCCTGTTATATTCAATCGTTTTCAACAAGAGTTCTCTTGTGGCAATATCAGGAGAAGGTAAAAACCAAGCAAACAACATGGAAAACCGTCTCTCGAGCTCGCCCACACCTAAAACCAAACAGGTACCGACGCCTCCATGGCAAATCATATCAATACGATCTGTGAGCGCAATTATGTCGACATTGCTGGCGGTCGTAAGCTTGTGCCGACAAAGGTCGGCATCTCCCTCGTACACGGTTATTCCTTAGTGGACAATGAACTCTGTGTACCGAAGATGCGACAGGACATGGAAGCTGCTTGTACCTTAATCGCAAAAGGCGAAGCCAAGAGGAAGGACGTAGTCGCACACATGCTCAACACCTACAAGTCGAAGTTCGCGTTTTTTACCGAACACCAAGAAAACCTTATGGACCAACTCTTTCAGAAGGAGTACGAACTAGCAGTGCCAGGCAGTATTATTGGCTCTTCAGCGGACAAGATGGGCAAAGGCGGCAAAGCAGCGATACCATCAACAGACGAGTTGCGAGAGTTGCAAAGGTTGGGCTTGGATAAAGGCGATTTTGGTGGGAAGTTGGGGGAGAAGGGGAAAGGTAGTTTTCATTGTTTTTACCTTTTCAGTCTCTGATGCAATCGTTTAGTATCACTTCTGACAAGGAAGTCACTTGTTGAGGGTCGTAACCCTAACCCATCCCCATCTGACGTGTTTAGTCGCGAGTATCACTTCTGACAATCAAAAAGTGTTTAATCACGAAGCTTTTTCCTACCTCTCACTTCCCGTTACTTCTTTTATGTACCCATCAGGCGGCAAAAGTAAGGGCAAAGGCAAGAGCCGTGGCAAGGACGAGGAGGGCAAAGGCAAGGGCAAAGGGCGCAAAAAAGGCAGAGACGACGAGGACTTTGTAGGTAGAGATGAACAGCAATATCTAGTCCAGTCTGGCGGCTACAACGCCATGGCTACTGCATCCACAGGCAGCACAGGAGGTGGCGGAATCGTTATTGTCTCCGCGAAGGAAAAGAAGATCAAGGAGTTGGAGAAGAAAATCAAAGAGATCACACGTCTAGAGCAAGATGCCGAAGACGGCAAAAAGGTGCTAGATGCAGCACAGAAGAAGAAGATTGACAGCAAAGCAGGACTGCAAGACGAACTGAAGCAGTTGTTGAATAAGTTCTCCAACTAGACGAAGAGGACCATGCCATCTTCCCCAATACTAGATGGGTACGGGTAGTCCTCCAACAACTTCTAAAAAGCTGCTTCTATTTAGGAATATACTTCTGCGTCCATCTTCTCCGATATCAAACGCAAAAACGTCATCTCATCTGCGGTGGAGGGGAATTTCGAAGAAGTTGCAGCTCCTCTAGCAGAATAATGCGGGAAGCGGGAAGCACGATGACGGGCTCGTGTGAAGGAAAAAGTAGTCCTTTGTGTCATAACAAGGGGATACTTGTTGTAGGATGAAAGAAAAGTATTTACACTATAGGCTAACTATGCTTCGTTTAATAAACTCTGTCATTGAAGAGCAGTCTCTGGCTGATAACTGGACACTATGTAGATCATGCTGCGCGGGTATTCCCATCGTAGTAAACGCAAGATTTGTAATCTATTCACCTGGTGACCGGTTTTAGACCAGTATCCCTAGGTCGGAGCGAGTCAAAAAACCCTAGGTCATCAACTAATAGTAGTAGTTTTTCTTTTGTGATAATCTACGTAAAACTAATTTTCTTTGTACTCTGTTGAATCTCGAAGTTGTTTCTACGCATGATAAGTACATTTTAGGAATTCATTTTCATATCTCTGTACTTTATTCATATTATTTTTGTAGTAGTAGTTGTACGTGCTGATCATGTCGTCTAACCATATTCTCCATATTGTTAGAAACCCCTCCCGAGCCCGTATGAACAACCTCCATAGCTTCATGCTATGCTAATGTTTCGTTTATGTCCCCGCTCACTCGTGTCCGTGGCTCGGGATGTAATCAAAACTGACGCATTAGTATGCTGTACCTGTACCATAAAAACATGAAGAAGTGTGTCAAGAAGGTGGTGTATCAACATGTGATGTGGGAGAAAGTTTCAACCTATCATGGCAATCCTCGCTGGTACAACGAGCCGTGTCGGCCCTTGCTGAACATGATCGGTGGCAGGGTTGTGCCGCTGTGCATTTGCGCGTTCTTCTCAACGTCTTTCTCACGAACTGCAATATATGAGTTCTGAAGTGCTGTGGAGAGCCTGAGTGTCAATTTCAATCATGATATGGCTCTGTCGATCGGTCTTGTCTCCGATGGAGAAAAGTTCTTTTTTATTTTGACGTCCCAAATATGTTTTGACTGCACGTGGTTTCGGCCACCAGCATGAGAAAAGTACGCGCTGCTTGATTTTGAGTGGGACTGAGTGATGTTTTGAGTGACCTGTTTTGATGTAGTTTACCCCTAAAATGATCACAAGAAGAAAACATTCAAGCTTTCATTTTTGTCAGTGAGTCTTCTGGCTCTTAGTCAACGTTCGTAAGTACTTAGAACTTCCCCGGATACAACATGCACAACTAACTGTTTGTCGACCTCCGGCTTCGGGCCGTTCTATCCCACACTCCACAAAGTGATGTCTTCATTCAATGAAACAAATGGTGCACTGGGCTGCTCTACTGCCTGCTCGGTACTTTTTGTCCGTCAACACCCATCCTCTGGCGCAAGCGCGCCGCGTCCGTTGGGGAATCGAGTGGAGCATCCAGCACCGGAGCAACTTTGTACAGAAGTGGTGGCTTGATCTTGCGTAGCGGAAATCGACGCAGTACCTTGATCCTGAGCAGAGCTCGAAGATATTGCGTGGGTGAAGCTGCTGCAAAGATGGGGGTTTCAGTGCGTAATGGCGTACTTCGCGGCCTGGTGGGCTGCTGCCTGTGTCCTGGGACCTTTAATAATTGTCTCAGTCTTGTGGCAGGAAAGTTCGACTCGGTGGTGAAACTTGTCGTACCTCCAAGCACTGACGAGGATATCTGGATTCGCGATGGTCGTGGTCTGGGACAACATCCAGGACATCCTCCACCAGGTCAAGAAGATCATCCACACGTGAATCAAGTCAGCAACAAGGATCGTGAAACGCCTGAACGTGTTGAGACAGCTTCTGTGCCACTCCTTGGCGCTCCTGTCGTTGGCGTGGACGAAGAGATGCTCGTGGACCCTGAACTCGAGACTTCTTGGCGTGAAATGACCTGGGTGCCGGAGGTTGTTATTGGCCTCACATCCGTTTTCAGAGTTTCAGGAGGTGGCGACTACCTCTTCATGACCGTGATTACGTCAGCTACATTTTTTGTTTTCGTGTCCATCATTCTCGGCATCTTGGTCGTCCCCTTTTCCCTTGTATTCTCCTGAAATACAAGGTAGAGGGGGCCAAGATGAGGGGACCCAGATGCCTTCTAGCACACGCTAACGCGAGTCGGCTGTTTACGGACGTGGCGCTGACATCGAAAGTGGTCGTGGTGGTAGCGTTGACGGACGTGGAAAACACTTCTTGGTTAAGGCTTCCCCTAATCCATCTCCAGAAGGGCGGCTCTGAAGCTGTCCGATAAGGAGAAAGACGCATGGATAAAAAGGGAGAAAGACGCATGGATAAGGGTCGTGAGCTCTAACTTGGATCGTGGAGACAAGGCTGAGGTTGATTCGCGCGTTTCCTCAGTACTACAAAAGTGGCAATCTGCACATCATCGTACCTCCGAGAAGGTTTTATCCAAGTCCGAGTACGTTTGTGAAGCAGAAGTACCGGGATCCCGAGGATCGGACGAAGTGGAGGACTTTATGGACTCTAGATATTCAAGTGCTAGATATTCCTTTAAGGACTCTAGATATTCAAGTGTTGTGAGATAAGGAATGCTAAAACTTCGGGTGTCTTCTATCAAGCATTCGGAGGACTTTAAGGACTCTAGATATTCAAGTGTTGTGAGATAAGGAATGCTAAAACTTCTCCACTTGTTGTGAGATAAGGAATGCTTCGGGTGTCTTCTATCAAGCATTCATCGTCCACCAATTAGCCTCAAAAGGCAATGAGAAGTGTCATTACTGAACCGTCGGCAACAGTAGCATAGTACAAAGACAAGCAAGCACTACCCTCTAGAAAGATCTAGTATTCTTTCTTTCTAATTCAAAAGCAAAACTACGACGTGAGTTTTCTGTTGCTATACTGCTCGTTTGCGAATGCGAAATGGTTTTTGATGTTAGAGGACGACATCGCGACACGGCCAGGGTTCGATGCCAAGCTAGTGAAATACCTCCAGGGACGAAGGCCAGACTTCATTCATGCGCAATTTTAAGACTTGGTTTTGGACCACGATTTTGTTGGGCAACCAGTGCGCGGGGATTGATTATCTACATGAGATTTTCTACTAGAGTAGTTACATCTAGCTCCACACAAATCGAAATGTCGTAAGCTAGAAACCGAAACAAAGAGCTCTCTTTGGCTCATTCCCTTCCCCCATTGTAGCCTGACTCGTATCATCTTGATCTTCTCTAATTTTCCACCTATCTGGGACTCATAGGAAAACTGTTTCCTATCTCGGTGATATTGAGTTTCTCGAAGTTGATCTTCCATTTTGCAGAAGAGATGCCAGTCGATTGGCTGATCTGGCTCTTTTTAGATGGGGTTACTCAATACCCCATCACGCCACGCCTCGTCCAGGAATCAGTGGAGAAACCAAGGGCTGACTTCGTCTTGTCTTACCCAGTGAACAAGAGACTGACTATCATTAAGGGTTGAAGCATTACAATTACGTCCTCGAGACGGACACGAGTAACATCTCTCTTAACGTCTACTTACTTTTCAAGTCGAAAATAGGACAAGGACGTAATGCTGCAACTCTGCTGCAACCTTTAACATTATGGGTCACGCTGTAGGGTTTGTGCCGAAATGTAATGTGGAGTATGTACCAATAGCGATCCCGCCAGCCGTGAAGATAGAGCGGGTAGACCCAACTGGTGCGGAAATGGGCCTAAGAACGGACTTTGGGAGTGGTATTCAGTGTCGTGCCATATCCTATCCTGTTCCTGTCTTGTTCAGCAGTAGTTTCTGTAGAAACAGAATTTTTGGGACTTCCTATTTTCTTTTTACTCACTGACTTTGACTTGTTTGGTTGAACCATTCCCCATTTGTTTCGGACACCCACACCAACCTCAGTCGACGTCGAGCAGCATTTTCCTATGGCTTGGAAACGCTTAAGGAAAGAACTATTCGACGACAATCCCTACCTTGGTCGTCGTTGCATCAAGCACACTTATGCCGTCACAATCGGTGGAGGATGCAATACGTCAAACGACTGGCGCTGTCAAATGCTCCGATTAAAATTGGATCGGCAGCTCAGTGTAATCACTGGCATCACCTTGGTTTTTCAGGCGGCTCCGACAGTGAATGTCAAGGTTTATGGTGCAGTGGACGCCAACGCTTGCGAACCCGGGAGTAACAATGGAAATTTGCCGAAGCAATTCATTTTCATGCATTATAAGAATCAGGCGACAAGGACATGGAATGGCTATGTTGAGGTGAGCTGCATTTTGCTTGTGTGGACAGGAATTCCAAATACACCGCTGAGGGTGAAGTTAAGACATAGATGATAGGGGATGTGAAGTGAGAAGCAACAAAAAGTTTTTGGATATTTAGACAGTGCTCACTGCTCGCTTCATCATTTCACGACATACATGTTCCGATCTCATCATCATTAATAAAGAAACCCCAACAGGAGAAATGATCGGCCTCTAACGACACCGATGCTGTATCGCTCGCAGCATATCGTGGACAGACGAGCGGATGGAGTCAATAAGGGCGCTTGGTCGCTAGATAGACTCGTCCGGGCTGGTCCAGAATCGCGTGTCCTTTATCCTACGAGTCAAGCGCGACAGATCTGGAAAGCTCAGAGTCAGTACTTTTGGAGTGCTTCACTGAGATAGCGGTTGCAGTAGTTTCATTATATCAAAACCAGAAAATCCTTCACGCAAGTACGAAAAGTCTTCTTCACAAAATAAGCCTTGGTCACTACGAAAATTCACAGGTATTCCATCAACCGCCTGTTAGCGCAGGATAAACCTCTGATATACGACGGGGGTCAGTCTGGTTGGGAAACTCTGCAACCAGAGTTGAGACCAGAGAGAGCCCATCAGACATTCTCTGAAGCTCGAGAAAATCGGGGACTGCGAGAGTCTTACTCTCGAAAAGCGCGGAAAACAGTAAAGGACGCTTTGAAATTCGTGACACCATTGACGATTAAGGCTGGAGGTTCTGGGTTTTTGCTTGGGGTCATGTTTCTTGAAGCAGCATCTTAGACATTCTGTGTAACGAAAGTTTTTAGTGGATCCTGCGTCTACACTCTAAAACCAGCAGCGTCGCTTCTTGGCAACATGGAAGAGGGTCCTTCGATACTAGGATAGGTGGATCATCATCAGGACTCCCCTCTGGTGGCGTGACCGCAGATTCGGAATCTGCGCCAATTGATGTCAAGGATATTTTTAAGTCATCTGGCTCTTCTGCCACGACGCTTGCTCCCGCCGCTACAACTACTGGGTCAATAGATGCTGGTCAACCCAGAGAGGAAGTGGATCCTCATTCTACGTCAATGCAACAGGCTCCAACTGGTGCGAGTGTCCTCGCTTCTGGGAGTGCGGCAAATAACGTAGTGACTATGGTCGGAGACGTCATGGGAGCACCGGGATCCAGCGGATCACCTGCTTTTCCTACGGAGTTCGAGCAAGCAGCTGACCGAATGGTGGAGTATTATTTGACAGCGTACTCGTATCTGTTGTTACAGCTCATTGCGGGAGCCGCGGCTTTGGTGTTATCTTATATTAAGGGTGTTATCTTATATTACATGTCCCACAACCAACCATTTCTCACTCTTTTTCCAGTAGGAAAGAGGTGAGGGATGTTCTGAAGAATGTAATGCTGCAACCTTTAATGATACCCAAGTTTGGCTGTTTGTGTTGCGACGGTCGCAAGTTTTTGGCGACCAAACGGCTAGTGTGCTGGACGAAAGCATCAATAGCCTGTTCTCGCCGATGATTGGCAGCATTCTAGTCTTCTTCTTCGGCAAAACTGGGAGTTATGTCTACAGCAGAATAGCTGGAGGAGCTGGGGTTACTCCGTCGACAATAGGAAACTCATCATCTTCAACATTCTCACCTTCAGGAAACAACTATGGCACAACTACATCTTTAGGGAACAACTACAGCGGAAGTAATTCTTCGAGGATATTAGATGATCCATCAGCTGCAGCAGCTGAGAGGGATTCGTTGACGAGGAACATGTCGTCTGGGTCTGACTTAAGTGTGGAGATGGAAGAAATGGAGGGAGCGACAGGCGGCTCTCCTGGCACAAGAACCACTAGGAGGACACGAGGAGGTGAGGACGAGGGGACGAGTAGCACTGGCGAAAGTACAGTCGTGCAAGATGAGCAACATGGAGGAGGAATCAAAGTCGACATTGGAGGCGACAAGAGCAGTCACGCACCAGGAAGTCAACTACCTGGACAACCGCGGTCTTTCCGTAGTAGAATACAGAGCTTTAGCGTGGTTTTTCTGTTGCAGTTATTCTTGTTTGGCATGGAGACTGGCTTGCTAGACATGTGGTGCATTCTGCATGTGGATCCAACTTTTTCCGTGCTGCCTGAAGAAATACTACGAAAAGGAGAGAATCAAGTGGTGCCGCGTAGACGGCGGAGACGCAGGCTAGAAGCTGCGACCAAAACCAAGACAGAAACAGCAAGTAGTGAGGAAGGTAGAAATAGGATAGCTACAACAGCAGGAGCAAAGACGAAGAGTGAAGCGGGGAAAGGAAGTACAACTAGAACGAAACTCTTACCTGCTCCAGACGAAGGATCTAGCACGCTGTTGCAAGTGTTTTCCACAAACAGTTCCACGGACTCTCTAGATCTGATTCACGAATTGACTCAAGAAGACGTGGTTAAACTGCGTTTCTTGAACGCATTGTCGAGGCACAGCGGATGGACACCTGCTCCAACCGCAAGGACCTCAAGGACTAGCTTTGCCGATTTGTACGAGTTTTTGCCATATAAGAGACCTCTAGTCAATCTCTGTGTGGCACTGAATGGCTTCTCTGCAGACGAAATCGAAATATTCCTAGAGGAGGCAGAGCATTTCTTTCCGATGAAGACGGCACTGAACATAGTGTTCGAGATCGATCTGTCGAAAGTTTTAAGGGAAATGCTGAACCGAGGAGCAAGAATCGGCAGTAGTGGTGATACTACGCATGATCAAGGGAAGACAAGGCGACAGTTAGCAGAAGTGAGTCAGTCCAGCAAGGCTAGTGGAAAGGTCAACAAGACAGCCTCTTCAGTGACAACAATTGCACCGTCGCACTCTGCAATGCAGGGAACAAGTGACAATAGTTCTCCAAGTCTTGCGAACTTAGTGGCAGCTCCTGCTCCTGCACAACAAGCAACGAATGCCAATGCACCAGACAAAGACCAAGCAACGAATGCGAATGCACACAGTAGTACACCAGAAAGTCTTCATAAGAAGAGAGCCACCGAAGCTCCACCAGGTCAGTTTCAGTGGAGTTTTGATTTAGCAAGATTGCAGAGGGTGAAACAGGCAATTCGCAAAGCAGGATGTAAGATACTGACGAGTAAGCTGACGGCGGGAGCAAAAGGATGTCATGTTTTCTTCGTAGAGCCAAGCGAATATCAGGCGTTTTCACGTGGCGTGCGTGAGAAAAGTGGAGCATTAGGCGTGCAGCGTGAACTGCTGGTACAGGTGCTGAACGAAATTAGAGGTTCGCATGAACAGTTATGACGCACGACTGTGCTTCATATTTGAGTCCTATAGAATCTTTTCATATTTTTTGTTTCCTAGATAGGCGTGCTCCACCGATCTTATAAAGCTGTAAGTCATACTCAAATCAAATTTTGACAGCTCTAATCCACGACTGGGCACCTCCTTCCTCCGACGATCCTCATGTCGAAAGACAACCAACCGTCGTAAAATCGAGGCATGCCAATGTGGACGTCGCTCTTCTCTACGAAGCGACTAAAGAATGGAATCCTCAGTTTTATATCGAATTGACACCTCGTATTTTCTTTCGGCATATCCTCGCTGAAGCGCGCAGCCACGATGAGAGGAATTGGTTCTTTGATGAAGTAATGCGCCCTCACGTCCTAGCTAGTGGTGCGAACGCCGAGCATATGATAACTAAAGTGGATGACGCGGATGAGGCAAGATTCGGGATGAAGTCCTTTGTGCACATGAACCCGGACACACCGAAACACTTGGCAGGGAAGCTGATTGTCAATGTTATGGCCAAGTTGTAGAGTGAGCTCTCTTTTGATGAAACGGTTGTCGTTTCTCACATGCATGGAGGAGCATTTCACTATGCAGATCAAGTATAATATCAGCTGTCTTCAGAGGTACTTATTCCCATCACGCTGGATTGTCGTACTGCACTCGTCTCTCTTCTAACTCCCTCGCAGGGACTCGACTGACGCGTCTATTGTGGATGGCAACGAATTGGTTCTATCATCATAAACAGTTTCATTTGCACTTGATAGAGGAGCATGCCAAGCAGCAGAAAGGCATGGCAACAGAGAGGGTGTCAGCCTGGATGAGTCATGCAAGTCACAACGCTCTTCGCCTTGCAAGCAATCATAGGCATTACTACATTTATGAAACGTCACTTTATGTTGCTTGATATCGTCGCAGAAGTGGTACTTCTAGAAGAAAACTTTGTTCTGTTTTCTAGAACTGAGAGTTGTTCATTGACAGCCTAGATTAATCTCCAATAAGTAGTGGTGTTTCTAGAGTTGTTCATTGACAGCTTGTGAACATATACCCCTGGAGTGGGTACATTCATTCATTCAACAGGTCGCGTAGATTCATCCCTTTTCTTCTAAGCAAAGGGATTGCCACAAAAGGAGTATCTACCTTACTTCTGGAGCGAAGCCGTGCTAGACACAGCCAAGCCAGGCCCGCCAAACTGCATTGGTATATCAGAATTGTGGAAAACCAATCCTTTGGTCTCGAGTTACAACGACGACAAGCCAAGTGACATCATCCTGGAGCATGTTGGGCATTTCTCGTCCTTGGACAAGAAAATCCAGAAGTTGCACGATTCTAGAGCAGGACTGCCACAGTGGAACAAGGAGCATTTCGACTTGTGGCCAGAGATAGGCAAGGAAATGACGTTGAAAATGCCTGAAGCAGGATCGATTTCAATAGATTCGTCCAAGGCGTTTGCCAAGCTGGGAGTACCAAGTGGAAATGGAGGATGGTCGGCGGAATTTACCTTTATTAGGTATGGCCTTGTTGATTTCTGAAGCTGAACCTTTGAGGGTGCCTTTTCATTGGCAAAGAAAATGACCAAAGTGCATTTCAGATATCACTCATCGTGGATTTCAAGCTGTCACGAATGATGGTGAGAATTGATCCCAATCATGATCATAATCTGTCAGGATTTGCATTCATTTGATAAATTCTTAGATTTTTTGATGAATATGTTCTAGAAACTTTAGAAATTCCACTGTTTGAGACTTTCCAGACATTTCTCAAGAGTGTAAAGCGAGTTGCAGCTTCTAGAGCTCTAAGAAACTATCGTAGGATTCTAAAATTCCTCAAAATCCAAATCTCCTCTTCTCCCCCAAACATCTCTGAAATCCCTATCTTCATCTTTGAAACGACCGATGGCCGGGGCTAGAAGCGTTTTCGACGTCAGCGTGGCCCGTCCAGTATATCGAATTCCAGACAGTAGCAAAAAAATTCGATGAGTGGTTCCTCGATGTGACATGCTATCGGTCAAAAGATTAAGGCTGATTCTTGATGTGGACTTAAATTGAGCGAAGAAAGTACAATAAGCAGTGAGTTATATCAATTATCAGTTTATTTTACTAGATGAAGCAGTTATTTCCTGAGTCAGCCTTTTGCAGCGGGGTACTAGAATGGGTTAGCGATCATGATATTCTGATACTTTTTCCTTCTGCAGGTGCAGGGGCTATAGTAGAGGGACATCACTAGTTTTTTGCTTACTTGATTGCTCAAACTAATCTCACTCTAAGAAAAGCTCGTAGGGAATATCCGCCGGGAGCTGAGAAAGTACGTCGCGGAGCGTGTGGACATGTTTGGTAACGATTTTCTCCAGAAAACTGGTTTAGTACAACAGAGTACATCCTCATCAAACAAGGGAGGTAATAAAAATGGCGCTTTACCTGTAGAGAAACGAGTTCAACATCCTAGTGTGAAGAAGAACAAGGTGCACTATTTCGACCGGATTAATGGGCCTGACCTCAGCGACTTGATCCTAAAGGGAGTCGAGCTTGAGGAGAAGAAGTCCTATAAACTTCGGTTACGGCAAAATTTTTGGACTCTCCCATGAAAGGACGATTCCATAGCTCGCGAGTAAACTTAACTAACAATAACTTCGATCGAGGAGGGGCAAACCTATTTCAGTTTTTCAAGCATCGATTGAAGGGAGGACACACCTCTCTGAGTCCGTATTTGGCGCCCCTACTTTGCGCTCAAGAACGATAGTCTTCTAAGTAAGTTTTTTAGTTTTAGAAATACAATTCTATCGCCTCCGAAGAGCTCTAATCCTCGGTGGCCACCAAGTCTTCTGGACAAACCGTTTCAGGGACAAACTGTGCGAATCGATCCGTATCAAGTTTTACTGTCGCAACTTCCGGGATTTCGCGTTCGAGAAAATCTACTTGCGCAGCAAGCCTTTATTAAGGGTTAACCAATTTTTACATCCCCCAGCACAACCATTCCATCCTCACTCTTTTTCCATAGGAAAGAGGTGCGGGATGTTCTGAAGAATGTATTGCTGCAACCTTTAACTTTACCGGCGTTGCTATCATGGGGTGAAGGTCATGCGAATCTGACCTCATTGTCTACTTTTGAAGACTTCGGCCGAGAAGTGTTCTACGAAGTGAATCAAACCAGTGTTGCAGGTTCGACAGGTGTACGCGGAGGAGGCACTGGTGGAGAAAAAGGATCCGGAGCAGGAGGTACTGGTGGAAGTGGCACTTCGTCCTTGTCCGGTTCAAAAGTTAAGGATCAGCAGAGGATAACAGATTGAATGAGGATCATTAGATGATACTTATAAGAGATTGTCGTTTTCTACTGAGGCACTTGTGAAGAGAAGTCGTTTTTTTAGATTAGAAGATGTGACTCAGTCTCACTGTCCTTTGGCTTGTGAAGTAAGTAGGTTGTCGGTCGTTGATGTTTTTCAAATTCAGCAGTAGATGGACACTATACGTTGAGAAACCTACTGGGGGGCCATATACTTTCTAAGAATGCCTCGTCTTCTGCAGAAAGCAGTAAGCAAGCGGAAGTGCATGTCAATGCAACGACGGGGGAGGTCACAGTGAAAAGACCCAAAGGCGCTGAAGTCTCTCGGCTTTTTGAGAAGAGTTGGTATGGTCGTCGCACACGGAAAAAGCGATGCAGTTGTATGGTAGAAGAAGTTGTATTCGTAGAAGCGATGTTGATGATGGCTTGGATGTGGATAAGACTCGTAGATCAATGTGATCAATGATGACTCCGACTCGTCGCAGTACTAGAAGTAGGAAGCAAAGTGGAAGTGGTTCTAATGTCCTATTTCCGACGTGTTTGCTTAAGTATAAGTAGATGGACGAAGACTTTCGATTCCCTGACCTTCTAATGTTTCTAGAGCTGCATCAGCGACCTCAGGATCTGGAGGCAAGAGCGAGACCAGTACTGATGGAGTGGCAGCACAGAAGAAAGCACATGGAGTCAATTTCTTCATCGACACCTATCCTCTTCGCCCACTGTTGATTTTCTTGCTCGCCATGGCATTAGCGCCGCGACCGAGCGTTCTAAGGTGAGGATGAACGTAATAAAAATATTTATCATAGGTGTGCTCTACCGATAATATTTATCAAGATTTTTGAAAATGCATGGTCCGTAGTCGTAGTCTCACTTTGATTGTGAGAGGACAAGCACAAGAAAGCGCACGATGATGTTGTAGCAGGTTTATGATCACTGACAACGCGAAAAAGCTTGCAGGTCTTCTGCTAAAAGTTTTGAGTTTTTTTCATCTACTTCAGTTTTTTATTCACTTAAGTTTCGACTCAAAGTAGTCTCAGCAAATTTTTTCGGAACTCACTTAAGGTATTCTCTTATTGAAGAGTTTGCTCTTGCAGGATAAAGATGATGTACTACTAGCGCCTCTGATGTGGCAGAAGTGTTCAACCGTAGATTTACTGACCTGAAAGACCGTACTTAGACGTTAGCACCAGCATTAGACGTGAGTTGCATTAGAGTTGAAACTCTGTGTCTGCTTATCTCAACAAGTTACTCCGAGAGGCAAAGGATACCGAGTGAGGTGCTACCCCTTATAAAATCGGCTGAAGGAGCTTATGTATGAGTCGGTCAATCTATGTTGCAGTCAGATTCCCGTCAAACCTGTACATATTTTTGTAGCCTACTTAACTGGTTGAGTACAAGAAGATTCTTTCTCGAGTACACCCATGCGCCCCACTCACAATGATTTGAAGTCGTTTGTCCTTTTTCTCACCTGCTCGTAAGCCTACCTTATCCCATGATTTTTGTGAATTCCGCATCTTGAGGTTGAGAGTTCTCTTTCTCATACAATGGAAGCGGTTAGTCTTTTAACCTTTTACTCTGACCGTGATTTCACTCTTCCGTTATTTCACTCTTTCATACCTGAATTTGTATTCTAGCTCCAAAAGCGTCAACGTCAGAAGTGTTTTTGTTCAAGTACAAGTTTTTTTTGAGCGTCCCTATGCCTTACTACGCACTCAAATTTCATTAATTTTCCAAGAAACTCCACAATGGCATCGTCAACATATACTCAATCTTCATGGGTGGGCTCATCGGGCCAGTTTTTATCCGCAGACAGGATAGAGAGGCTAGGCCCTGTGTTGAGGACACTGACGGAGAAGGAAGCCCTGGTACTAGAGGTGGCTTTGGGTTTGAACGATCAGTTGATATCGCTTGAGAGCTGGCGGGAGAAGCAAAGGAAATTTCTTCATGATGAGCGCGGAATATTCTCGACAGCAAGTGGGGGAGCGAATGGTATTTAATAGTGCCCTTATGGCAGTCTGCGCTGAACTTTGTGCGAGATTGGTTTTATTGTATTGTATTGTATGTCCTGGGAGTGGTCCTTCATCAAGAATCTTTGAGGTAAAGACGGCATTTTTTGAGGAAAAGGTCGGATCCCAATGGCGAGAAGGACGAAGGAAAGACAAAGGAAGGACAAAATTGCTAATGAGGCTCATGTAATTGATCGCCCGTCTAATGAATCACCCACGTACGGCGAGGGGGAATCAAGCCATTGTCACTCATCTTCACTACAGGTACAGCCACTCCAGGCTCCCCAGGAGGTGCGGGAGACCAGGCGAATCCAGCGGCTTTGAAGCGCGCGCATGATGCTTTTCGCAGCCTTTTTGAGGAACACGTCAAAGAAAATCTGGACACAACTGCGCAAAGTCCTATGGTGGATGCAGCCTTGAAGCCACAAAGCTTTTTACCTTCTCTTATGGTGCAAGTGCCACCTCAAAGAATAAGAAATGTTCAGAGAAACTTTGATGAGAGGACACTGTTCACAGAGGATTCTCTAAGTGCCTCCAATCCCTTCTCGATAGCAGGAAAGAGCAACAAGTAACGTTAGCATCGAAGACAGTGGCAGAAGCAGGAGAGCGAACGCCTGGGGAGATCCTTGCCGACGCGGCAGTGCTACTACGTAAGGCTAGTTTTTCACTATCCTTTGGACCACTCTGAGAGAGTGAAGGGCCCCTTGCTTCAAAGTGGAAAACAAGGGCTAGACAGGGCGCCGCACCGAGCCAGGGAAAGTGAAAAACTAGCGCTAAACTACGCGTTGAGTTACTCCACGTAGTCGAAGTTTTGACGGCAGTGGTGGACAGAGATACGAGCTTTCGAGATTTCATGTGGAAGTCAGCGAGGATTGAAAGGATAGTAGAGACGTTTATTTAAGGCTGGAGAAGGTGATTCGTCGTACTTCATTTTTCTGATTCCTTCTTTGAGAGAGGCTGGGACAAGACCGCAGGCGAAGAAAGCAAAGCGTTTTCTAGACTAAACAAGTTTTTCTGGTTTGTCTTGATGTGCGACCTAGAGCACTCTCGTGAGTCGGCGTTATCGTCACAGGTCTAATCTCAAGCAGGAACCGACCCAGAAGAAGCCTTATTATGGAGTCTGTTTGATGCTGTGCAATTGAATCCTGGTTTAGCACTCAAAGAGGAGGCAGGTGAGCCTGCAGGTGGAGGAAGCAGCGTGTGTCTAGTAGGAGGCAGAGAAGCAATCAGGTACTTCGTGTGAAAGGAACGAGGCTTGATAACTTTCTATCACTATGTGTCCAGTTCAACAGAAGTTCATGGTAAGAACAAGAAGAAATCAAATGTTTGTTTTTCCCCGCAATATGTTTTTTTTCCCTCTCGGTATCGGTTGCGGAAGTCTGCTTCAGACCGGAGGCATCCTTGCAGGGGGCGCTTATGAGGATGTCCCGGGCCCCCTTCCGCTCGGTAAGTGAGGATATTTCTTCCTCTCTTCTTTTTTATCTCTTTGTTTTTTTTTGAGTGACCCCGTGTGAACCCTTACCCATGCGACTGTGTCTGCTGAATGTTAAGGTCGTAGTGATTTGACTAGCAGAGTAGGTACTATCGTACAGTTGAAACTGTACAAAGGATAGTGCAATGTGATCATACATTTAGTAAGTGTCAGGTACTTCTTTCTCTATTTCTCGGCTCTTATCTCACGCTTACCAGTTATTATCATGTTAGTGACAGCTACCTGTCCGGTGTCTCACCGAGGTAGAATGCCTAACGCAAGATCTGAGCCTTCGCCATATATTTATCAATGCTATTCAACAAATCAGTTCTCACACAGCGCGGTATACAACATGTACAACAAGGACGGAATTAGTGTGGATGACTGGGAGCAAAATATCTAGAGTGACACACAAGAGAGATACTGTGACGAGAGAGTCTTGATGGAAGAGTGCCTTTACCGAGAGTCTGTCACTTGTGTTGTCTTATTTGATTTTATGTGTTGGTCTCGTCTGGGGTAAACCCTTCTCCTTTTACTTCTCTCTATATCTTCTAGATAGCTGTAATTAAGTTCTTATTTCGTTGTGTTCGCTTTATTGTCTGCTAAAATTACTTGATACTGTCTGTTAAATGGAAATGTGCATATCGTGTTTGCGTCTCTCTGTGTTTTTTTGAGTTTTTTTGACACATATGTTTTTTGTGTGGTTTGCTAATTATCCCCTGATCCTTGCTTGCTCTATTTGCTCGCTTTCCCTTGGAGAAGTGCTAGCACTGCAAGGCCCCTTTCTGCTTTCTCTTCAGCTTTCCTAATACAAGTACAAACAACGACTACATCATACTTCTTCTCTACACTACACAACTGTAACACATCTATCAACTTCTTGTTCTGCGGCTGCCTTGGCTCTTAGTGCACAATGGCATCTCAACTAGGACTAGACGAAGAACTGCTAGTGGATGCAAGACCAACAGGCCGTACCCCGCGTAATAGTAGTAAAAGTGTCGATACGACGGAGACGGACTATGCAGAATTTGGACTACTAGATCCTGGACCGATGAAGATTCTCACGCCGAATGCCAACACAGTGTCGTTGGTGACGATTGAAAGCTGGCAAAATACAAAGTATGCGGAAGGGACGAGTGAAAGTATCGCAAAAACGGGCAGTAGCTGTGGACCATCTGTGACAGATGTGAAGGATAGCGTAAGCTTGAATGCGGAGGAGTCCCAAAAATGCCCCCCTCTAAAAAGACATGGTAAAAGAAGGACGGCTAGCTGGAAGAAGATACAGGCGCCTGGAACCAGTGACAACATCACTATCAACGCATGCTACGAAAGGATACGGAGGAAAGTGCAACTAGCTCAAGGTAAAGCTGTGGCTATGAAACAAGCGGGAGCTGCTAGTATAGTGGAAGAAGGTTTTCTTAACTACTCGGGTAATGGACCCACCAACCGACTCAGTACCAATACTAGGAGTAGCAATGATGATAAGCAGTGGTTCCAAGCGAATACTACTACTCTTGGACTCCCTTTTCAGACAATACCAGAACTAATACCACATCAGGACCAGACTACAATTCGACTAGATAATAGCTACAAGTGTCTTACTAGTAGTGAAAGTAGAGCTGACGACAACATGAAGCAGTCTGTAGCTCTTCACACATCTAGTAATATGATGACTTCTAGTGGTGTTAAGGGAACAAACAGTCATGCTTTGTCTAGTAGAGGATGTGCATCGAGTGGTAAAAGAGACCCTAAGAATGTCCCTGTGTCTCACAGTCGCTCTACTTCGAGTAGTAGCAAAATACCTGTGACATATGAAACAGCAAACAATAGTGCTGCGAGGACTCAGGATGTGGACACAACTAGCACTAGGACTACTAATACCTTCTTAAAGGAGCTGAGTAGCAACGTTGTGCCAATGGTTGAATCTAAGCAGAAGACAACAGCTAGTGGCGGCGCACTGGGCAAAAGAATAACACTTGTCAACAAAGCGCTGGAAACAAGTACGCTTAGGCTTAAGGGGTTCGGCGGCAATAGAGAACTGCATGCGGCAAGGAACAAAATGGCACTAAAAGAGCAGTTTCAAGAGCTAAAGCTGCAGCAAATCCTTGATAATAAAAGGAGGAGACTACTTGAGGAACTAGATGGACAATCACAACTTGGCGCAAATGACCAACGGACCAAGAATAGTCGAGATTGGGACAACATGTACAAGACGTCAAGGCACAGAAAGATACAGCAACCTTCGAAGCCTACCCTACTAACTATAGATGAAGCTGAAGAAGTGAGTCACCTGCAAGACATAGAGAACACTAGGTCATCCTCGTCGTCGACTACAATGAAAACGAATACAGCGTCCTCATCGTCGACAGCTGCCTCTTCGAAATCACTGATAGGGATTGAGGCCTCTTCCAGCTCATCAATCTTAGAAAGTTTGGCCTACGCTACGCTCCAGTCATCCAAAGAGAATACAACATCGACCCTTAAGAGGCGGCAAGTGGACACAATAGCGAAGAATAACGATCGTACATCTAGTAGTATAGTAATGAAGTCTACTACTCCTGGTCTCAAGAGGAACAAGAACGAAGTAGTTGCGAAAGGACTGGGAAGACTGGAGAATGAAAGATTGCCTAGTATAAAGGAAGAAGATGAAGAAGGAGATGAAAATGTGGGGCTGTACAAGGGACAATCAATAGGGCTAGGGAGACGTAGAAATAGAAGGGGAAGACTTCGACAACAAAATGAACAATGTGCTAAACATAAGCTACTTACTGACAGTCTAGAATCTAGGTATAGCATAGATAAAGGGCAGAGACCTATGACACTTAAGGGAAGGGGCTCCTGGAAATACAATAGGGTAGGTAAAATGGGGAAACAAGCTGAAGGAAAGCAGAAAGGTAATGAAGCTGGAGGGCAAGAGGGTCGGGAGGATACAAAGACAGGTGGGTACTCTGAACAGGTAAGTAGTAATAGTAAGTCTACTAGTCATAGAAATAAAGAGTTTAGTGAAATCTACTCCCAAGAAGGAGCAAAGTCGGAACAAGTAATACAGACTAGTGAAAGAAGTGTCAGTGACGATAAAGGACCCCAAGTAGGGCCGTATGATCAAGTAATGCTAGAGATAGAGCAACAACAGGAACAAAGTTTCAACATGATTCAAGCAGTCCAATTGTCTCGAAACTCCAAAGAAGTAGAGCCAATTACTGCTATAAGAGTAAATAAGCCTAAAGTACTTTCACACAAGCAAGGATCCCAAAAGAAAGTTAAGAAGTTAATGGCTAATGACAAAGAACTACGAATGAAATTAACTAGACATGTGCTCCAGTATATAGGTATTAGTATACTGTTCGACAAAGAGGAGTTGTACCAATATGGAATCGTGCTCAACCGAGTATTCCATAATCTACACTTCCTACATAGGGCGACCAAATGGAATGCAATACAAAAGACTCTGGAAGAGTGCCAAATTGTTGAACAATCGCCAGATATCGAACGGCCAGCTCTATCAAGTGTAGGACAAAGTGACGCACTTACGATCAATAGTATAGATGGACTAAGTTTCTTCACTGACATGATGAACCCCTGCACACAAATCTGTGAGCTAGCGCCGGATCTGTGTGTGGATCGAAATTCATTTGCCATTTCAAGGAAATTAACGCGATTAGATAAAAAATTTGGGGTACGGCAACCAGTTAACACTAAAGACTATCCTACTGGGATCCTCTTCTCGGAACTACCACTCTTCTACAAGTATAACTACCTCTTGCATCTATTAGGACTACAAGGAAGACTGACACTAGGAAGCGTACCATACAGAAGATTCTATAAAAAGCAGCCACTTAAGAGGTGTGGCAAATGTTTACTGTGTGATAAAAAGTGGTCTGAACGAGTACAGATCAAGAAGAAGTGCTATGAAATAAGCTTTGCTTACGACGAAATGATAAGTTGCTGTGGTGAGCAAGCGTTGAATAGAATTTACCTGTGCTCCTGCAGCTGTGGCATTCTCTACGTAGGACAGTCCATGGCTAGCGGACCTAAATATAATAGAATGCAAGTACACCAATGTGAACTATTTAGACCACTCTGTAAGTCTCCCCTCAAAGTACATCAACAAGAATACAGCACACATACACTAGAATGGAGAATCCTCTGGATAGATGATGATATCTCGAGAGTAACACTATATGGACACACAGTTCTCTCTTGGATAGAAAGCCTCTTCATTATACATTTTAGATCTTTTTACCCTTTTGGTACTAATGTTAATTTTATTGACCCTTTTAGTCTCACACTCAAGAACGCGTATCAACTAGAATTATCAACGTTGTACACCTACTTCTACTTTAGGAACCCATACAGTCGTAATTTTACTAGAGACCACTTCGCACTGAGGAAACACAAAAAGCAAAAAGAAAGCAAGGATAAAAAGATAGACTTAGATCAAGTGAGTACTCTAGTTCGAGAACTTCTCGCTGGAGATCACACGGAGCAGCTTCTTAATCGAAATGAACTACCCTTCTTCATCACAAATAATGACTACATCAAGAACTGGTCGACTAGGGATGTTGTTGAGTTCATTTGTAAGAGTCTCCCAAAGAAGCATGCGGAAGCTCTTATAAGTGATCTTGCCTCAGCAATTGACCTCCCAAAGGTAACAGAAGTATCTGACATTAATAGAAAGTTTGTCATCACCCTGCTAACACTCTTCCACACGTCGAGGAAAGAAATTCTTGACAGCTGTGAAGCAAAAAGGAAGATATGTGTGCTTAACTACATGCATACGAGTCTAGATGAACTTAATGTTAACAGACTTTTTAGGAGAGATCCACTCCTCTCTAACTATATGATCTCCTGGAGGCTGAATCCCAAGAAGAATATTACTACTTACAAAGAACTGCTCAAGAATAAGTTCCCCGAGAAATTCTTCTGCAGGTGCTATTTCTATCGAGATTTACTACCTAAAGAATTTTTTGATCTGGGACACCTGTCGTTCTCGTGCAATGCATACAATCTTTCTCTCCTACTCCCGGACTATAACGACTTGCTTTATGATAGCCTCATACTATTTAATAGGAAATGTCGAGTTAATGCAGATCTCAAAACTTCGGAGGTGATTAAACCAGCGCCCAAGCAAGTGCAAAAGTACATTAAGGATCTTCTCACTACTGCACTTCAGAAGAAGAAAGGGCTGAACCTACAAGGGCAAAATCTAAATACAATGCAGCGAGTGCTTGAGTCTCTCTCGGGACCACAGGGACTAAGTAACTTTACAGTAGATAAGACAATGAACATGCACTACGAATGTTCCGCCCTCTACCATGCGAGAGTGGGTGATGCACTAGGGGTAATGAAACTTCATCTCTTACACGCACACAATAATTATGAGAAGAAAATCAAAAAAGCAAAGGAAGAAGTAACCTCTGACTATGTAACAACTGAAGATACAACGTCCTCACAAATCTCGGAGTATGGATCTCTCAAAAGACCTCAAGAAGAAATAGAGCTTAATATTCCCATTGATCTCGAAGGTAATACACTCAAGACATACCTAAGCCTACCTACAGAGGTTCAAGAACATGTCAAACAAGCGTCGGCCAAGTGGCGTATGACCAAGAAGAGTAAGTCTAGTAAACTCGCATTGCCTTTTAGCTCACCTAATGACCATCAGCTATCACTAGGACTTGAAGAGCAACTATTTAAAATTAAAGTTACAACAAAGATGAACAACACATGTAACTTGGAACAGACAAAGCAGTTGGCTCAACAGTGTGAAGCAGGCAGTAAAAGGAAATTGACTAATAGTACTACGAGTAATAGCTGTGAAAGGAAGAGTACGTGCGCGATACCCGTGCAGTCTCGCCTACAACAAGCTATAGAGAGACAAAAGAGCCTTTATCAAGCTTTTCAAGCTAGGAAAAAAGAGGATAATAGAGATAGAACTAGTATACATACTCAGACATCAAGTACCAAAAGCTCCTCAAGCAATGGGAAGTACTCAATAAGCTCGTCAACCGCTCCTACAAACAAGACAGCGCACTCTTTAAATCCTGTCAAGAAAATTCAAAATACTGGGAAAGACTACTCAAGGCGACTACCTCATTTAGGAGTCAAAAAAATACCGTTCATAGCACGAAGGCTGGACACATGCCCTAGAGATAATTGTCTCCTACAGGTACAAGCAATACAAAGAAGCCAAACAACGAAAGTTGGGCTCTTTAAGTCACCTAGCAATAGGACCAGGAAGGATACAGTGCTCATGTACAACAAACGGGCTAGACTATATCAAGTTGTACATAGTACCCTCCTCAGGAAGTACAAATTAGATACAAATGAATTAGTTAAAATGTCTGGTGACTACCTTGTCGGTATCTGTAACTTCAAAACACAAGGTAAATGGTTTCGAATTATTCCTGAAATTAAAGAAATGCCTACACCTTGGAATATTCCGTTTTTCTATTCTCCACTGACAAGCGAATTCAACCTGTTCACTGATGCTCACACAAAAACGCTAGGACATCAGCAAGTGGGAGAAGCGTTTGCATTCTGGTGGATTAACCGTAATGCAGCAAGACTAGGACTAGCAGATAAACAGCCTTTTTGTATAGATTACCTTCTAGATGATAAAGTAGGACTACAATCAGTTAAGGGGCCTGATATTAAGGGAACCAGGGCTGAGGACAGTGATGAATACTTGAAAGAAGAAGAAAAGAAGGTGATAGTTTCTTCGACGGCGCATAAGGACCAAGAAGAGACCTCATCAGAAGATACAGAGGACGAGAGCAGTGATCTAGAGAATGATAATAATGAAGTTCTAGAAGAGCTAGTAGAAGATTATAACAATCAAGGACCAGAGTATGTTACAGCAGAAATCTCCAATAGACAAGTGACTCAAACAAGGGAAGAGGACTTGGGAGAATGTGAAGAGGGAGGGCTACAGGAGAGAGTAGGGCACTCAAGAAGTAGCAATACAGAAAACAAAGGGGCTAAGGCATTTGACTTCTACGAACTCACAGGAGTCAAGTATGAACCTAAGCTCCTGTTCTTCAAGTACTATAATGACAACATTAAGACAGTAAATAGGAACAAAATAGAACAAGAACTACCCTTTCAGACCTGCTATTCTACCCTGAGTAGTGAGCAAGAACTTGAGAATGCGAATAAGGATAGTGAACCTATAGCACTTCAATGGCTCCATTCAGTCAGGTATCCGTCTGAAATTAAAATAGATACGTGTATAGCACATGATTTTCCTTCGGTTATACCTGTAGAATCTTTTGAAAAGCATCATATTTCTGTTCTAACTATAGGGCTACAAAGAGCACAGTCAATCTTTATGCTACTCCCTGAAATGGAAAGTGAAACTGCTATCAACCTACTTGCAGGCACACTTAGATCTTTACACCTTGAGCATCTGATTCCCAAGGAAAGGATGTTAGCACACTTTTATCTCTCTATAAAAATACATAAACTACCACTTTCTGCAACTAGAGGGATTACGGGGGCTACAGCTTTCACCTTCCTAGGTGGAGCAGCCCTTGAGCTACATCTTATTCTTAAAAGTGGACTCAACTACCTGCTACGCACGACCTGGAAGGGCAAATGCTTTAGAATACTTAATACTGACGAACTATTGATCCGTCTATCTCAATTAGGTACTGCTGCGAAGTCGTTCTATGGATTTGACTTCTCTTCCATGTATGATAGATTAAAACATGAATCCATCCTGCAAAATCTTACCTGGTTTTTTGCTGAATGGTGGTCGGTTAAAGAAGATAGTAATAATGTGGAGTATCGTATAGTTAAGGAAACAGCCTACAACTCAAAGAAAAAAGAAGTGTTTTATTGCCTCAAAAAAACGGAGTCATTAGACCTTAAAACTAAGAAAGCAAGCACAACATATACCTTCCATGGAGTCATTGACCTGCTTCATATGTGCATTCGATGCAATCTCATCCATGTGTCTGAACTACTGTTCCTTCAAATTATAGGCATACCACAAGGGTCTGGGGCCTCGCCGATGGTTGCAGACATATGGTGCGCTACTCATGAAGTTAGGTTCTGCCGTCAAAGGCCTGAGTTTATCTTTCACGACACTGGGAGATTTATGGATGACTTAATATCATCAGTAGACCTTCCAGTGCAGGAAATTTATGGCTCACTGCCAATAGACAGAACTTGCTTCAATGCAGTAAGCACGTCGTTTCTAGATTTGGAAGTGGCGACGGTGAATAATAGAGTTGTATTCAAGTTGTTTGACAAAAGAAGAAGTTTCAACTTTCTATTGCACAGGTTTACTCCTAAGGGTACAACTATACCTAACGCTTCGCACTCCGCACACTTCAAAAGTGCACTTATAAGAGCCTATAGACTCAACTCTTTTTTACACTTTTTTTGCTATGATATGACAGACTTGATTGGTACTTTTTTGTTTAATGGTACTTTTGCGAAAGACTACATAAAAACAGCTCTAGTGAGAATTACACAAAAATACTTTACGGGTAAATGGATCTCAAATAAGAACTTGTTTATTGATAGGCTCAATGCATTTGGTCTCAATGTAATGTCTGCGCTTACACCTACTATAATTAATCGTAAAAGTTAAAAAGTTCTGTTTGCAAAACTTCTTAGACCTCACAGAAGTTTACAGCCGGATTTAAAAGGATCTCAAGTATCCATAAACCCCTCACACCTCTCAGATACACATAACTATAACCTACATAATACTTAGTTATAAAGAAGAGGGTACTACACTATTTCTTTATCAATTTTTCTGATAGTTTATATTAAGTGTTACGCGGAATCTGACAACCTGCACGCACTAACACAAATATGCACCACCAAGAGAATAGAATAATAGTGTTCGATATGTTTAAGGAGATCAACACTCATAAGAAATGCAGCCATCAAATATTCGGTAAACGCTTTAGCAACGGGTTTAAGTAATTATACTTTCTACCCAAAACTAAAGCTACATTAGTCGGGATAAGACCTATGGCAAGATCATGAGTCATAAACAAGAGGACACCTGAGTGAGTTCTAGAAATATAAAGATAAGAAGCTGTTACAAAGCAATCAATAAATAGAGACACAAAGGGTTGAAAGGAACAAGGTGAGATGAAGCAGACTAGTTTAATTACTGAGGGCAAAGTCCTACGGATGAAGGGGGATATGCTAGTTACAGAGAGTCTTGCTGAAAGACTCCCGTTGGATGCATGCTCTACCTACCATGGGGATGGACCATGTTTCAACGTCAAAGATCACGTCTGGAATAAAGTAGCAACGGAACCAATAAGGCAGTTCCGACACAAGTCGACGGTCCCGCAGCGAATATTGGTAGATGGGGGAGTCAAGGTGCTTTCCTCAACAGCAGCGAATAGGAACCGACAAGGACTACTCAAGATTAACTCAGATGTGCTCTTCATGGTGCTTCTCCCGTACATCAATGAGAACTGGGAAAGAATGACAAGTAGTATGAGATACGAGTTACTACTGCCGGCTAATCAGGAAACATTTGTGCTACTAATGGCTGCAAGCGGAACAGAGCTAGTACAACAGCAGGATAACCTTTCAACGCAGTCAGTTGGAGACGAACTACGTGAACTAGGGCGAAGAACCATAGTAGAACAAGCAATAATAGCAAGCTACTGTGGTGGATTACATGAAGCCTTGCATGTACTGGTAACAAGGCAGCCTCTCATCACATCCAGCACACTTACAGACGAATACAATCGATACTCTGCAGATCTAGAAGTCAGAGTATGGGAGAGGAACAACCGAAGAGCTCTTACAAGATTCTCTAGTACCCATCTAGCCAATAATAAGCCGCGAGATGTCCTGGACAGCATGTTAGCACAGCCACATCATAAGTTGCTAGTCAGCCAAGATGGTGCAGAAGAGACTAGCAAACTACCGAAAGATCACAGGAGTGTTCAGATACCAGTAGGGCTTGCGCACTGGTACATTTTCAGCAAGAAGAAAATCAGCTCTAGTGGTGAAGCTCTCATGAAGAACGATGTGTACGAGTCACAGCTACAAAAAGGATGGTGGGATAGCAGAACGATACTACTGCCAACGGAAGTACCAGAGCTGAGTGACTATGACATACAGGATCATCCGGGTGATCTAGTGCCTGGAATGTGGAGATCCTACAGACACCTGACGGAAAGTACCCTAACGCTGACATGTAGCTGTGGTAGCAGAGTAGTAGTGACCCTGGGCCAAACATCTGGCACGCATCAAGTACTTGTGGACAAATCCAGAAGAGCTCTAGTAAACAGCTGCTTGCTGTGCAATGTCAAAGATGCTAGCAAGATGAGAAGAGGTTACTTACAGCCAAAATTTCCTCTATCACTAGCTGAGGGCAGCCAGCGTCTCATTAACTTTCACATAGATAACCTACCTTGTACCTGTGTTGATGAAATGCTGGTCTCCGCCTCTGCAGGGATAGAGGAAGCAAATACACTGGCTCTGGCACAGTATGGTCGAGACGCGGCGAGAACATACCTGGACCTCAAATCTGAAGAACTACTGATACAAGCCACTCCTAGAAATAAGTCGCCGGATACCGAAGGTGCAAGTGAAGGTAGACAAGTCAAAGAAGTGGTGCTAGATACGCCTATGCGCAATGCACTAGTGGATGGACTACTGGATGTCATGGAAGGTGATGAAATAGAACTCCCAGTACAGCAGATACTACTAGAAGAGTCTCACAAGAACACTAGTGTCAAACAAAGCGCTGAAGAGTACAACAGTGGTGTGCTACCCAGCAGTAGTTCCTGCCGGCAACATGACGATGTAACTCTTGCTTCCATCCCGCTTCAACAAAGGTCTGACATCTATGATGAGTTCGAGTTACATGCCCAAGTACCAAATACTGAACGAGACAACAATGAAAACATCAACTATTCACAGCAAGGACGAAGTGAGGCAGAATATAGGTCTGCTCCAACGTCTCGCTTTAAACCACACCTAGATCTACATGAACGCAAGTTCAGGCCTATTAGGGAGAGCAGCTGGATAGCACAATTAAGAAGGAATCCGAACTACTACACCCCGACCTTGCGTGGAAAGCGAACATACCACAGGGCGCGACGTAGTCAGTCGCATCATAACAGTCTGCAAGAGGAGCCTCAAGATCATGACAGTAATGACGAATCCACCATCAGAGACCTTCGTACATTCTCCCCGCTCAACTTCAGTAACATCTCTACCATTGTTGATGATCAAGAAGGTGAGCAACCAGTAGTGGTTGATGCTGATAAGACGCCGCGCAACAAACGAAAGTTGCCCCTACTGGACACGCCGCTAGTTGATCCTCCGTGTGAATTTGAAGCCCCGTTACTACGAGAACGAGACCTAATACAAGAGTCGAGAGCTGCTCTGCACTATACGGTTAATTCTTTCTTACCGATTGCAACGTCCAATACGAACTACACGAATCTGGCTGCGACGCAAATCGTGAAATACTACAGAGGATACAGAGTTGAGGAAGTCAATCTACCACTGTCTGTACTACAAGAAGATACTAAGTTCGAGGATCGCGAGCTTCTTCAACAAGTAGAGACGATGACGCAAGCAGTTGAAGATGAGGCACAAGAACATGCGTGGGTGGACTTTGCAGTTGCTACAGGACACATTCCTCTAGAAGAACTTAATCAAGAGGAATGGCATAGTAGGCAGGTGAAGTACAGATATATCGGCCTCCATAAAGGACTGCCGATTTGGGCACCACTAGATCGAAGAGGTGAAGTTCGCTTCTGCCAGTTTATACGTTTGCAGAACGGAAGTTATAACGTCCGAGATGTTGAGAAACCGCAGCACCTAGCACAACTACAAAAGGAGAACATCAGTAGAGTTCAATGTACGCCTGTAATGTCCAAGAGTACTACAAGACCACACTGCCAAGGCATCAAGCAACTAACAGCGGGAAATACTACTACGGCTCAACGACAAGCAATGCGAAGTCATTACCCTGTTGTACCTGTCTCATGCACCATACAATCACGAGACCTGGGAGTAGAGCCTATTCTACAACCACAACTAGAACTACGAGCACCAGAAATTGAAATCACGCATCTAGAAGGACAGCTTATTACTCCTATTCACCAGAACCCATATCGAGCACGTGAAGCAATAGATGAGGAGGAGATATTGCCACTACTCCAAGGAGATGGAATTGCTGAGATGGAGGCTCCGCCACTGCTGCAATTAGATGGAGAAGAAGAATTAGTACTCAATGTAGATGACCGACTGAGGGACGACGTGCTACTACTTCCACCAGTACCGCAAGCGATGCAGCTAGCACAAGAAGCAGCTGTTGTACGACGAGAAGAACAACTACAGATCCATCCTATCAATACTGACCAGGAGGAAAGCAAGGATGTAGTTATAGTGCATGGAGTGGAAAGAATGACACTGGAATGGAATGAATACCAAGCAAGGCTACGTGTAGACTTTGAACTGCGCATGCGTAGCAGGACTCAGATGGCGGACCTACTACTAGAAGAAAGAAGGAATCCAACAGTAATGCCCTCACCACGAAGACAGGCTCTACTTAGAGAAGCCACAATACATCAAGCGGACCGCGAACAGGATAGAATCACGATTTTAGAACAAATCCAACTAGAAAGTGGAGTACGTTTATGATATAAGAATTTAAATAGGCTATGCTTTACTACACTGATCCATACTGATACCTTATGCACTGTTACTTCCATCAAATCTCTGTTAATCTAACCTGGTGTTTACTTACTTTGTTCTTGTCTTTGTATACTCATGCTCTTTCATGTTTGTTGCTTACTCATTCTTTCATATGTGACTGTTTTTGTTCTTCGTTTAAAGCACCTACTGATCTTCCTGTACTTATATGTACTAAGCTTATCCTCCTATGTTGTTGACCAGATACTGGTATAATATTTTCCTTTCATCTTCCTTTAAGTTAGTATATTGCTTTGCTGTGTAGTAGATTTTTCTATATGTTCTTGGTTTATTATTTTTTACATCTCCTTCTTAATGACTCTTAATATTGTCTTATGCACTAGTTCTTCCTGGTTGTATCATATGTTTCTAAATAATCCTTCTGTTGACCTACTGTTCTTTTCTGCTACTCTTGTTGTCTCATGTCTTACTACCTCTCTTAAGTCCACTGAAGAGTAATGACCCTCAAGTTACTATCCTCTGTAGTAATTTTTACATTTGTATTTTATATGTTGTAACATGAACATATGATAGTTGTGTCATGGAAGAACATAGTATGACAGCTGGATTTTGCACTATACTGGTTCTTGGTATGAAATGCCTGCAAGACGATAGCCATGGAATATATCGTCAAGCCTGGGTGTGGAGGAATAAGATTGGTGGGGCAGACCACGAAATACCTCGAACTTGGAAATATATGCTGGAGTGGAAGCAAGGTCTCTGAGCCCAAAGTGAGCAAAGGAGTGGACAACTGCAGCTGACAAAGATTACCATTAGGACCCAGAGGCGAGTAGTGAACATCTAAGTGACTTCCTCTAGTAATAGAACGAACAAAAACAATATCTGAAGCTGATCTACGACAAGTAAAGCAGTACTCTGAGTACACAGTTGTGCAAGAAACTCCTGCGCAACAACATATCTCTCTTCCTCTCTCTTGGCTATGCCCCTCTTTACAGGATCATGAAGCTCTGCTTCTCCTCATGTTCCTGTCCTACCTACTCTTTCCTTTCTGTTTATCTCTGGTTTTTCTGTTTTCTGCTAATATCTATCTTCTTTTTATTGTGACTACTAAAGCACATCTTTCTTTCAAGTTACCTATTAGTATTCATTGAACAAGAGAGAAGTACTTCGTCGTAGTAATGAAGCCGCGATCCTACTACTGCATAGCACACATCATCTTCATGCAGAGCAGACGATACAAGCGTTACAGGCCTACTTAAAGATTGTGGCCTTATATTTATTCCAGTTCAACAGAAGTTCATGGTAAGAACAAGAAGAAATCAAATGTTTGTTTTTCCCCGCAATATGTTTTTTTTCCCTCTCGGTATCGGTTGCGNTACTTAGACAGTTCTACCTCCTCCTTTCTCTTCTAGTAGGATCTTCTGGTTACACAGTTCTACCTCCTCCTTTCTCTTCTAGTAGGATCTTCTGATTATACTTAGACAGTTCTACCTCCTCCTTTCTCTTCTAGTAGGATCTTCTGGTTACACAGTTCTACCTCCTCCTTTCTCTTCTAGTAGGATCTTCTGATTATACTTAGACAGTTCTACCTCCTCCTTTCTCTTCTAGTAGGATCTTCTGGTTACACAGTTCTACCTCCTCCTTTCTCTTCTAGTAGGATCTTCTGATTATACTTAGACAGTTCTACCTCCTCCTTTCTCTTCTAGTAGGATCTTCTGGTTACACAGTTCTACCTCCTCCTTTCTCTTCTAGTAGGATCTTCTGATTATACTTAGACAGTTCTACCTCCTCCTTTCTCTTCTAGTAGGATCTTCTGGTTACACAGTTCTACCTCCTCCTTTCTCTTCTAGTAGGATCTTCTGATTATACTTAGACAGTTCTACCTCCTCCTTTCTCTTCTAGTAGGATCTTCTGGTTACACAGTTCTACCTCCTCCTTTCTCTTCTAGTAGGATCTTCTGATTATACTTAGACAGTTCTACCTCCTCCTTTCTCTTCTAGTAGGATCTTCTGGTTACACAGTTCTACCTCCTCCTTTCTCTTCTAGTAGGATCTTCTGATTATACTTAGACAGTTCTACCTCCTCCTTTCTCTTCTAGTAGGATCTTCTGGTTACACAGTTCTACCTCCTCCTTTCTCTTCTAGTAGGATCTTCTGATTATACTTAGACAGTTCTACCTCCTCCTTTCTCTTCTAGTAGGATCTTCTGGTTACACAGTTCTACCTCCTCCTTTCTCTTCTAGTAGGATCTTCTGATTATACTTAGACAGTTCTACCTCCTCCTTTCTCTTCTAGTAGGATCTTCTGGTTACACAGTTCTACCTCCTCCTTTCTCTTCTAGTAGGATCTTCTGATTATACTTAGACAGTTCTACCTCCTCCTTTCTCTTCTAGTAGGATCTTCTGGTTACACAGTTCTACCTCCTCCTTTCTCTTCTAGTAGGATCTTCTGATTATACTTAGACAGTTCTACCTCCTCCTTTCTCTTCTAGTAGGATCTTCTGGTTACACAGTTCTACCTCCTCCTTTCTCTTCTAGTAGGATCTTCTGATTATACTTAGACAGTTCTACCTCCTCCTTTCTCTTCTAGTAGGATCTTCTGGTTACACAGTTCTACCTCCTCCTTTCTCTTCTAGTAGGATCTTCTGATTATACTTAGACAGTTCTACCTCCTCCTTTCTCTTCTAGTAGGATCTTCTGGTTACACAGTTCTACCTCCTCCTTTCTCTTCTAGTAGGATCTTCTGATTATACTTAGACAGTTCTACCTCCTCCTTTCTCTTCTAGTAGGATCTTCTGGTTACACAGTTCTACCTCCTCCTTTCTCTTCTAGTAGGATCTTCTGATTATACTTAGACAGTTCTACCTCCTCCTTTCTCTTCTAGTAGGATCTTCTGGTTACACAGTTCTACCTCCTCCTTTCTCTTCTAGTAGGATCTTCTGATTATACTTAGACAGTTCTACCTCCTCCTTTCTCTTCTAGTAGGATCTTCTGGTTACACAGTTCTACCTCCTCCTTTCTCTTCTAGTAGGATCTTCTGATTATACTTAGACAGTTCTACCTCCTCCTTTCTCTTCTAGTAGGATCTTCTGGTTACACAGTTCTACCTCCTCCTTTCTCTTCTAGTAGGATCTTCTGATTATACTTAGACAGTTCTACCTCCTCCTTTCTCTTCTAGTAGGATCTTCTGGTTACACAGTTCTACCTCCTCCTTTCTCTTCTAGTAGGATCTTCTGATTATACTTAGACAGTTCTACCTCCTCCTTTCTCTTCTAGTAGGATCTTCTGGTTACACAGTTCTACCTCCTCCTTTCTCTTCTAGTAGGATCTTCTGATTACACAGTTCTACCTTATCCTTTCTCTTCTAGTAGGATCTTCTGATTATACTTAGACAGTTCTACCTTATCCTTTCTCGTCTAATCGTGAAGCACTTCCAATGCAGGGACGAAGCTGCCCGATTCAGACTGCTTGGAAGGGCTTGGCTTCGCCTGTTCTAGTTGGGATCTAGAGCAAGACAAGATGGTCGAAACTGGCATTTTCCGATTCGCCAGGAGTGGTGTGGCCAGACGAGATAGCAGTGGGGGAGTGTATTATATACTGTCTTATATTGCACATAGTAGAAGGTCTTATATTCTAGAAGAAGACACTCATCAACAATATCAAATTAGGAACAGTTGGATTTCTTCCTTTTTATGTAATTTTGTTTCCTAGTCAGACGTGCTCCACCGGTATAATACAGTCTAGGTACACACTCAATATCTTCTGTTGGAAGATGTTTCGAGTAACAGTTTTTTCAGGTACGAAATTCAATCATGATCGTTTGTAGAGCATCGTGAATCGATGAGCTATCATCAGTATTCAGTAACTTTACTTTCTATAGTCCAATCATACATAGTAGTTTCACTACTTCCTTGTCGTGCATCGATCAGCATTCTTCGCGCACTCTTCGTCCCCTTCAGATACGTGACCGAGATGGCTATGACGGATCAAATGTCATGGGTGCCGCATTGGGTTTTGGCGCAAATAACTGAAGGTTTCATCGGTTCTTACATTGCCACAACAATAGCCAATTATCGTTAAGGCTCAATATATCTTATTCCTACAAGCCATTTCTCCTTATTTCCTTCTTAGGATTGGGAGAAATATAGGGAAGACTAAATGAGTCGCTTTGCGCTCTAATATCGCGCGTATGCCAAAAGGAAGAGGGAAAGGCGTGGGAGTAAGATGAGGGAGAGCGCCGGGTGATGGGTGGCGTGATCATGCTGACTCAGAAAGACATCAGATTTTAACCTCCTTTTTTTCTGCTGCATAGGAAACAAGATAAAACTTCGGGAGAAGTAGATCATGCACATGTTCGCTTGATGATGCAGGTCACACTGTGGAATGCGAGTCACTTCGTATCCTATCCTATCCTACCGTCTATGATTCCTTTGGACAACTCCTCCTTTCTAGGATTCCTTTGGACAACTCCTCCTTTCTACGATTCCTCCTGTGAGTGTAATTACTGTTGTATATCATGCAAGCGAATGATCGGAAATTTGTATTTGAACTATATTCACTCTAGAAGTTGCATTTGCAAAAACTAAGGGCAGGCGATTTTGTGAGGTTTCATCTCGAGCCAAGCTCTTACAAAAAGTATAAGATGATAATGGATTGATTGCGCTCAGCTGCCCTGACAGCAATATTCAGGAAAGAGACTCCATTCCAGCCGGTCATACAACTACCGCCTTTCTAGTAGCTCACAGTAAAAACCGGCAGTGTTCTTCTTCTCTTCATAGTCGTGGATGCTCACCTCGTTGAGGCGAGCCAGCTCCTATCCTATCCTTCTCTAAGTCTTGTGTCTCCGAGAAGTAACACCTCGTTCATCGTCGGCAGGAAGGGAGAGGCTAGCGTGCTCTTGGAGGACACCTGTAGTGAGTACAGGATCGTGGTCAGACGATAGGAGTGCCGCTTCTCTATTCCAATCTTTGCGTGAGTTCCATCGTGTATACCATCTATGACGCCCTTAAGGCAGTCTGCACCGTTTTGATTTATCGGAACTCGCTCACGATACAAAAAAAAAAAAGCGAGATTAATTGTATTGTATTGTATTGTATTGCATTGTGCGGTTTATAGTAGCATGATTTCTGAGTAAGGCACTGCTTGTTTGACCACAGGAGCTAAGAAAGAGGTACTCCGGTTTTTGAATCCATTTACTAAATTATATTGAACATACTAGTACATATACAGGCTGCTCCATTGATCTCCCTACACACAACATACGAGTAGGAGCTTGACGTAAGCACAGGAGCTGCTCCTACTTCGTACGAAAGAAAGATGAGATCGTCCATCACGAAGTCGCTCAGCGCAGGAGCCGTGATAGTGGCGACACCAGGTGCAGCAGTGGGATTACCAAGTATAGTGCAGGATGGGGTACCTTTTCGCACGCAAAACGCCCAACGTGAACAACTCGCAGACAAGTTGGCGAATGAGGTACTATTTGAGATGGTAGTTGAGATTGCTAGTACTAACTTGACTGAGTCTTATCATTTGTCATCAAGTCATCAGTGCTGTTGCAATTAATTCTTGCGTAAACCTGAATTATTCAATATTTCAAAATCTTCTATCAAAAACGAACCCATGTGATTCAATTATATAAGTTATCAGTATCAGTCTCTACGGGCACTACGGACAGTGTCATCAGAGGCCCATACATGACATTGATGTTAGGTTCGCCGCGACGCCGCACAGAATTTGCATATTAGTACGGATTTCGCCAATTTCGAGAAACAGGATGAGCGGGATTGGCGCCACGTGCAATCCAATAGGAATATGAAAGCCTTCTTGCAACGCAGTAAGAAGTTGCCATCAGATGATGGGACGCGTGTTATGGTGACGGATACTGGAAGCCTCGAAATAAGCAAGTAAATTCAAGCTAAAACTCTTAACTTATATTAGCTCTCTCATATCACTTTCTTCGATATACTTATTTTCATAGCTGCTGCTATAAGTACTGAGTCCACCTATACATGATGAGTAGCAGGGAAGCATCTTCATTAACAGATAGTAGTGTTGTAGGTACTTTTCTAGAATCGACGGATCCCTTGCCTTCGTATAATCATAGTAATTTCAAGAGTTAAGTTTGACTTCCCTTCTAATTCTGGGAGCTCCAGCAAGCTTAGCTTCTCAGGGAATAACGCTTTGATGAAGGATCTCGAGGATTTTTCATTTTCTTCCGGCAGCGATAGTGTTGGCACGACCGGGAGGGAAGATAATGCGAGTAGTAGTTATGGTGGCAGGATACTATTTGCTTTCCTAGAAGACAAGATACTATTTACTTTCCTAGGAGACAAGATACTATTTACTTTCCTAGAAGATAAGATACTATTTACTTTCCTAGGAGACAAGATGCTATTTACTTTCCTAGGAGACAAGATACTATTTACTTTCGTGGAAGGATAGTACGATTTACATTCCATCCAACAATCTTAGGGACTTTAACACAAAAACAAAAAAAAACAATGTCATCCAGCAGCAAACCGCCTCTCTGTCCTGTGATCAGGATTTTTTTCACCTCAAGTGGAATATGTTGTTTGCCTATCTAAGGTTCACCTGCTTACTTTCCTAGAAGATAATATGGATTTTGGCAGATTTCACGGGTCGTCGGTCACCTAGGAATCCCGACAGCCCAGATTATCAGGACTATAAGTCAGCATTTCTAATATATCAAGGCCACGGACGACAGCGCTTCTTCCAGCGTCTTTTCCAGTGGCGAGGATGCGATGGCACGGTAGATAGTTGATTTGCTGCTATAAGATCATGATTTAGCCTAATGAAGAATATTACCACGACCGTACACATCAGGTACATCAACCATGACACCGCCTTCCACGACAATAGGTACATGCGCGAGTTTCATGTGGATACGGAAAAGGTAGGCCGATCCGAGTCGTATGCGACACCTCAGCATCGCACTAACTCCGGAGGCCAAGTAATCTCGATTCCGCTTTCCTCGCAGCTGCAGATCTCAGCTACATTGGGTGGGGCGAAGTGAGTATCTACCTGGTTACGAGATTTGAGAATTCTCAACAAGTACATATCTGTGGTTTAGACGTATGGGCACCAGATTTCGTTTTCGATTTGTTTTTTTCCGTCAGATGCGAGAAGTCGTTGAGGATACGAGGATTGTTGTAAAGCTCATTTGAGAGGATTTCTTTCTGCATATCTGAGAGGCAGAGGACAGACTGAACAGATTTTTTGACACAGATGAAGTTCTGAAAGACTTTCTCCACCTAGTGCTCCGTGAAAACACTAGCATTTTTCCGACTTCAAGTTCCCTTGGCCTTGCCTATCATTGTCGAAGTGTCGTGTTCTCAGTGGAGATGAATCCTCCGCTTAAGGTTGATGTGTCGTGATGTGGTCTGGCAGCAAAGACCGGATCTTCTCGATCATTGTGGCTGGAAGAGCCGACTAATTGATCCACGTTTTGCTCTGAGAAAATCCGAAGCGATCCTTTTTGCAGGTCCTGTTTCTACAACGATTGTTGTTTGCGATCTAGGGACGTCATGATGTGGTACATACAAGCTGGCTAGTGCAATCCATTCAGTAGAAGTCGGCTGCTTTTCTTTTCAAGGCTTACGCTTAGACTTCACTCTTGCTGAGAAGGTCTGTGAGCGTCTGTAACAGTGTTAAAAGTATTTTACTTCTACGACAATGAAATGAATCTTCCGCATGGTTGTATCGTTTATGCCTAGAACAGATAGATCGAATAACTTCTTCACCTTGATGGCAAACACTAACACCTATGTTTCTTCTATCTTGTCAACTACATCACAGCAAGTGGTATTATTAAATAGGGAGGTTCTAAGGAGGTGCAAAAAGGATGACGCAGGTTGCGTGTCGTCGTCTAGGGGATGCTCTGGGACATCGTATAGAAACCTTCACAAGAAGAGGAGTGTCTTCTTGCAGTTCTGCCCTTCGTCCAGATGCGTTATCAGCTTTGCGTCGTGGCGATATATTGAAGACGAGGAATCCAGCATGTCCACCATCCTCAAACGAAATAGCGAGCGGCGGGAGCCATGTTATGGCTATACTTAGCTCTTCTTGTTTGTGCATAGTGTGTCTGTATAGTGTTGACGTTATCTTCTTGAAGTGATCTTTCTACGGAGTAGTTGTACTTGTAGTCTTTCTGGTACATGGAAACAGAATTTTCGATATAATGTCTTTCCAACATCTAAGGCTGGCACTGCAGTATTGCGGTCGCGTGAGAAGGCACAATGCGGTAGTTTAGCAGGTCCTTCCGTCTCGGCGTCGTCGTCAACGCGAAGACATTTTAGTTCCAAGCCTATCGGTAGAGCGTTGTCTTCGTCCTCTAGTGCGACAGGCCTTAGGGATCTTCAATACGGGCTTCACAGCCTTAGAAGTCCTAGGATACTAGCAGGACCTCTGACCAGAGCAGTAGCGGAAGCAAGACGAGCATTTAGTGTAGCGGCGGCCGCCCCACCCAATGAAGATCAAGATCACGGTTTTAGTATGCCAGCAACATCCGCTGGCGACGCATCACCACAACCTGCAGCTGCAGCCAAAAAGCGGAAAGGTAGAAACTCTGCTGTAGTTGATAGTACACAGTAGAATGTAGTCAGTGGACAGCATACTGTGGATTATAGTACTTTCGTATGTATTTTCACGCTTCTTCATCACTTATATGTAAGTCTTCTCCATCTGTGATGGAGAAGAAACCTATTGTGATATTTTCGCATCTGCATTATTACTTTGAAAAAAATGAAGATTTTAGATTTAGATGTAGAACATAGATGAACACATATCAACGCCTTATGACGTACACACAATCTTTCTACTTGGTCTAAGGATTCCCATTCCTACTCTCTCTCTCTCACCTTCATCCTCATCATCACCCTCCTCGAAAGAGAGTTTCTTCTATTTCTAACGCAGTTCTTGTAGGTAAACACGGCGGGGCAGGCGGAAGCATATTTTTCTTATTGAGTTGCGGTGCGGCAGGTCTGGCAATCATTTACCAGGATGAACTGATGCAACAACTCGAAGATAGATTCGGTCACTTCGACAACAGCATTTTTGACGAGTTCAATCACCATTCTCGGGAGTTCTTCATGGGGTACTTGCATGCTTCATCATACCCGTTACAGTGATTACATTGGTTATCAGTGTCGTTTCACTGTTTGTTTAGACCACTGGTCATCTTCAGTGTCTTTTCACTTTGTTTAGACTGGTGATCAAAAGTAGAGTACTTCATTTGCGTCACAGCTATTTAACTGTAACAACCCATGTATGTTTTGGAATTATCGCATACTATCAGAATCGCGGACATCTTGGTCCCTCCACCTGCTGAGCCGTGGTTACTCGATTTCGAAACCCTAAAGTATCCAGCGAACTTACCCACCCTCGTAATCGATCTCGACAAAGTTGTGTGTATTAAGGCATAGTGCTAAAAAACTAGCGTGTGGGCAAAGAGGCAGTCGGAGTTGAACTGGGTAGTGGGCAAGGATCGTGAAAATCCTCAACATGAGCCTTTTTTGGGCTTTGGTCATCTATCATACGATCTCAACCTCTAAAACGAAGCTAGAATTTGATCGAAAAAGTGGTTGGCAAGTGCGGAAGAGGCCAGGCGCAGACCGGTTTTTTTCGGAATTGCAGCATTACTATGAAATCGTCGTTTTTTCAGACGACGTTTTTCCAGTGGCGTCAGATGTGATGCAGGCATGGGGTGTTCCGGTATAATTTAGATATCTTATGCTAGTACTAGGGCTCAAATTAAATCTGGGTTCTCGATGAAGATCTTCCACCTTTTCTACTAGGTACTGGTAAACCTTTTGGTGATCACTAGCGGTTCACCAGTGAATCAGCTACGTAGCAGGTATGGGGTGTTCCGGTAAGTCATTATCTGCCTCCTTGCCTGAATCATGATTGTTCCTGGATTTTCCACCTGTTCTACTAGATATTCCTGTCGAAAGATGAGGTCTTTTGTAGACTGATCCTGAGAAGTACTACTACAGAAACGTTGACTCATGTAACTATGAGTTGACGTTGTTGTAAGTAGCTTCTTCGGATTTGATCTTGACTCGGCGATTTTCTGAGACAGGAATTTCCTCAAATATTAATTTGTCAACGCGCATCCATGTAGTTTCAACACTTTTCTTCAACGACCGCAATTTTTTAATACAGGTTGGTGGCGTGTTGCATCGCGAGTTCTGCCAGAGGTGGTACAATTATGTCAGAATGGACCAAGATTCACCTACAGTCATAATTCTCGTCACTCTACAACTAAGTAGATAGTCCTAGCCGCCCACTATGAGTAGATAGTCCTTCGATTTATATACAGTTTCTAAAAAAGCATTTGACCACGCCCCACGCCCCAATCTATCTCTAAGCAAAGCATAGTCAGTCTTTTTCCCCAACGATTGTCGTAATTAACTAGATGAATGAACCTACCAAACTTCGTAGTTGTACCATGTCTCAATCTAGTACTTAGCACGAGGATGATGTCTCAATCCTTCATTTCCCCCACTCTAAGGGAAGCATTTCCGAAAGGACATCGGGAAATTGGGTCGCAACCTAGAAAGGGTAATCCACATTGAGCATGATCCTATTGCGGTTGAGAAACATCCGGCTAATGCGATCGTTTTGCCAGCGTTTGACGGAGACGAAAACGACACCGCTCTATTGGATCTAATCGACTTTTTGAAGGCGGCAATTTATGGAGGAAATATTATTTTTGTACATCGACGTAGGCAGTGCAGCACGCAGGCTAACTCTACCAAACAGCGGTAGACACCTAACTAATTCCTCCCCGAGAAGAACGCAAAAAAAAAAAAACGCTGGACTGAGGACCAGGGCGACATACAGGGAGACCCAAACTGAATGAATGAACGAAAAAGAATTTGTGGGGTAATTTTTCCCTCATCATCCTAGAAAAGAAGAACTATCACTACAACATGCGCATCTAATTACAAATGCCTTACCCCAAGAGTGGGCACATCAATCAATCAATCAATAGGTTAGTCCCTCCAATCAATTACTAAGCCCAGTGACGTCGAAAAAAAAAATTTTCGTTATCTCAGACAGTGGTCCTTGGAGTTGAATCACTTGTATATTCCTAAATATGCTGCACTTCGAATTGTATCAGTTGTCGTATGATCCTGACTCCCTACGTAGCATGATGTCATCTAGTAGTTCTTCCTCTTTCATCTTCCGCATCAGAATGACGTCCGTGATTTTCTGAAGAGGTACGGGGGTGACGGGGACGTCGGAAAGCGTTACATGCTGGAGAAGCAGGAGAGAGAGCAGCTGGTTGCCAAAAGACGATCTACCTTCAATTTTGTTATGGAGGCACCATAATGATCATGATGGTTAGTACTCTTCCTATTTTCGTGTTTCTTCTTTTCGTAGTTAGGGCTCTACCACAATTATGGAGGCATGATACTGAATGTCTCTCCTGCATTTCTAATCTTTCCGGCGGCGGTAATCGACGGACGACGGTGCGTACTGACCCGATGGGACGACGGTTCTAACGAGAAGATGACAACACTGACACCGTTCTGATAAGACGGTTCTAACAAGGCGGTACATCACTCAATCAATAAGACAGTCGTGAGGACTTCTATTGTTGATCACACTTCCGGTAACTCCGTGTAGCAAAAAAAATCAGAATACAGATTCCTTCCCCATCCAACCCCGTGTCCCTCGCTCGCCGAATGCGCGTGTCCCGCGTAGCGATAGAAAACATAAGTAGACGTGAGATGTACGAGCAAGCCAGAAGTAGTTCTTTTCCACCTTGAGAATACAACTTTAATTGTGAATATCGATTTTTATCTTCAGACACACTCCAATAAGAAGCACATATACTTATACAGTGCTCCTGAACAAGACTATAAGTTTCCTGAAATTATGAATGCCCAAAGTCATTGGTTTTTCAAGAAGCAAGTCAATTTTCTTTTTCAATGTTCTCAATTGCGCGGAGTGTGTCTCTGAACCGCACATGTACTCGTTTCACTCTCGGGTGTTTCTGCACTTTGATCAGAGAGTGAGAGCAGTGGTGTAAAGAAAGACACTTAGACGTGCATCGAGCAATGAGCAGTTTTGGGTTTGCAGAATAGTTCGTACTATGAGAAAATCCTCATTGAGTACTATAAGTCTAACTGTAAGACCAAGACTAAGAGATCCTACGTCGAGAAGAGTAAGACTAAGACTAAGATCTCCTGAGAGTGAGAAGCCTAATTTTCCCGTGCGACGTCTGTTGCGTCTCATACTCTCTTTCCTCCTTGTCCGCCGAGGTTCAAGGAGGAATCAGGGTGTGGACAGCTAAGTCATGTACATGCTTTTTCGTCGCTCTTCGTCTGTTGTCCTTTGTATCGAGAGAGCCACGTATGTCGTATATTGTAGAGAGCATCTTCGTGAGAAGAGAAGACTAAGGGCAGAGAGGAGTCGTGTAGACAATCATCGTGAGCAGAGAACACTAGAAGAGAGAGAAAGGAAAGAATGTCGAAAACACATTATGTGTCCTCTGTCATCTTAAGGCGTCAATTGATAGTTGTAAATGAGTATCAATGTCGTGTACTTACTATGTTACTATGAATGAGTGTACATACTATTTTACTATGTGTCTGTGTACCTACTACGTTGATGTCAAGTCTACGTCGATTGCATCTTCCCACAGTGATGCTTCTCCGCAGGTCACCTTCATGGATTCTTTTCCATCCCGCATCTCTCTAGTTATTTAGCGAAGCTATTAGCTCTGAAACAAGACAAGAAAAGAGAAGAAAACAAAAACATCAGACATCAGTCTTCTACGTACTACAAGATACATCAGATACTTACATCATCCCGAGACTGAAGCTTCTACGTACAATTCTTGAGACTTCCTGAAAGAAAAATCAGTCTCCAATACGGTCTTCTAGTACAGTCTTCAGACAACCTCAGCAATAAACCGCAGCGATAACTACAAACACCTCAACCGCAGCAATATACAGCAGCAATATACCCCGACTTGCTCAATAAACACGACCTCAACCTAGCTCAAAAAACTAAAAACGCCTCAAAACGAACAAGATGGCGCCGGCTTTCCCGGACGTGAAAATCATGTTCTACGCGAACTTGTGGAGTACGATCGCGAGTTGTCACCTTGCCCTCTGTCATTACATGGCAACTATGATTGCTATGGAACTACACTTCTTTCTTTTACATATTGAGAATATTAGCGCCTAGAATAGATGGATCCTACTTAGCATGGCCACTACAATAATATAAACGCTATTTTATCTTTTATCTACGTACATTTCTTTTTACTTTTCCTAGTAGTTAGGTTGGCTCCACCCATAATATGAGTTCCGTGACGATCTTCTCTACTTTCTTTTTCTGAGAATTTTAGGTACTGTATTAGTATCTATAGTAGGTTGGCTCCAGCACATATATCAGTATTTATAGTCCCGGATCGATGAATTAAAAAACTTGTCAGGGACATCAATCAATCAACTGTATGCGGCCACTGTCAGCCACGTGAATCACATCAATCGCATCAATCAATATAGGCACACCAATCACATCAATCAGTCAATCCTTATCGTCCTCATTTTTTTTTGGAGAATGAGTGATATGATTTCCTTAAATAAAGTATCCCCTTTATATGATGTTTTTGGGGAATGAGTGACATGTTTTCCTCAATATCCCCATCATTCTCGGAGTTGAGCAGGTGCCGGGGGTGCTCGATGTGCAGGATTCACAACCTAACCGAAGGAATGAATGAAATAGAAATGACGCACATCTACTTTCTGCAAGTGATTTAAAAATAGCTGCGGTCTAGAATACACAGAATCGAATTTTCTAAGAAGCTTGGGCCTATATTCGATACCATCTACTTTCCGGACTCGGTCAACTGGCAGTGGGTCATCATGACTGCAGAATGGTTCGCGTGCTTCTCTTACCTTCTTTTAAGGCTTTCTTCTAGATGATGAGGCTCTTGAGAAATTGTTTCGCCTAATTGGGAAAAACCATTTGCATTTGTAGTATTTCTCGGGAAAAGTTGAATCACTTACTTCTTGACATAATCATTTGTAGCACTAGCGAAGATTCAGACCACTATTGAGGTTCTTCTCACAAGTAAAGTGCTAGGAGAACAAATAAAGGCTTCGTTTCTCATTTCTCATTTTTACTCCCTTAGGATATATGAGGCGTGCTGCAAATCTAGGCTGGCTTTTCCCGTGTTGTAGGCTTAGGTCCAGCGACGCTTAAAGCACATAAAGAAGAAATGTAGAAAGTAGTCGTCTCATTTCTCATGTCTCACTTGCCTATATGCTTACCTTGTCGAGGGTGAGCCAAGTAAAAATAGTACTGCTGACAACATGATCCCATGAGCCAACTCCTATCCTATCCTATCCTATCTAATTTAAGTGTGGTCCCATCGTTGGGGAGATTTCCTTGGGATTCTCGGAAACTGGCTGAAGATGCTTGGCACGTGCTGTTTTTTCGTCCAATGTGGCGTTTTTTTCTACGGTCCTGTTGAGAAGCCCATCATGAGTTATGAACAGGGGTCGACTGTTCGCTACCCACTACCCGTGATCTTTTTCTATCTCTATCTCAGTGCACCCAGCACGCACCGCACTAGTTCTATTGTTTCACTTCAAACTACTTCATGAACTATAGGGTTAGTAGTACTCTCACCTATGTTTTACTGCTTTTTGAACTGCGACAGGGACGCACACATGATGACATGCTTTTCTGGCTTGAAATAATAATCGAAAATTGAAAATATGCGAGTAGCAAATACAATAAGCGAGCAGCTGCGATTGTTATCGAAGTTTCTCGCTTATTTAAGTTTATCGAATAGGATAGTCTAATAAATTTGAATACATCAATCCGACTTCCTTTAGCCTGATAAATACTTAAAGTCGTCGCTCGTGTTTTATAACCAAAACCGAGGTTGGTTGCAGTTGTCAATCAACAACTCGGGAAATCAATCTCTCTATCAATGAATGAATGAATGAGTGCGTCGCACAGACACAATGAATCAAGCAGACCATCATCAAAGACTACAAGGGGGTACTTCTCAATCCACATTTATGGAAAATCCATCTCTCGTCTGTGGACGGCGAGTCCTACCCCATCCTATCCTATCCTATCCTGTCGTCTTCTAATTTGGTCCCGGACCGTACGTGTCCGATGACGGGCTCTCCTCTCTCTTCGGTATCTCGTTATTCGCTGTGGGTGGCATCGTCCACACAGTCGGATTTTACAAACTTTTCGGTTGGAGGAACACGACGACTTTGGGCATCGTACTGCTCACCATCGGCGCAATTTTGTTGATTTTCTTCTTCCACCTGCTAAGGCTTCTTACTTTGAGGATGATTTAAGTACTTCGAGGTGGATGATTAAGTCTTGAACTCGTACCTCATGCTAGGTAAATGAATGAATGATACTTACAATGAGGATAAGAATATTCTTATACTCTCCCTGTAGTTCTTTCATCTTAACTGAGTAGTTGTTCGAGTTCTTCTTTCAATTTCAGATCTCCTCATTCATCTGAAGTAGTTTTGAGCTAGCATATTTTGACGAGCATAGTTTTCTATCAAATACATAGGGAAGGTCTACTCCATTCTTGAATACAATAGAGGGACACATAGGGAAGGTCTAATCTTGTGCGTGACGTTTGGACCGACGCGCCATTGGTATGGTGAGATTTTCCATCCGGATATCGTTCGTACGGGCATTGCCTGTGGAGATGGTTGCCTCATCGCCGGCTCCGTCGTTCTCCTCACTCCTATGGTCGAAATCTTATTCACAACCAAACAAGGAGAAGGAGAAGGTATACTACCCTTAGACTTTGTAAACAAGAAGAAGGACGATAAAGTATTTAGACTACACTTCTTATATCTAGTAGTCCTCTACCAGCACTTCTTTTAGGAGAAGGAGAGAGTATACTACACTTAGACTTGTATATCTTGTTGTTGTGTTCCCCGACTTTGTCCTTACTGCCAAAACGATAAGTAAATTGCGTGCTTTTTGACAAAAATACTGCCGTTCGCCGCCCCACCCTTGTTTAGCTTGGGTGCTAGGTGTTGGATAGAAGCCCGTCTGGGTTTCTGTCCGCTTCGAAGTTCGCTTTCCGGCAGTCACCGCCAACTCAGTTTAAGTTTACTCACTTTAATACACGACACCAGGTATAGCCCATAAGCGCACTTATCGACACCTAACCGAGTAACCTTTTCATATGATATGATATTAGCTAACTATAACTAACTAACTAACTAACTAACTAACTAACTAACTAACTCTTTCTAACTAACTAACTAACTAACTCACCTAATAATCTTTCTTACGTTCCTTTCACGACAGGTACTAAAGCGTGCGCTTGCTTCACAAAAATACCCTGACTTTTTTGCTTCACACACAACAGGTAGAAGAGGTATTCCATAAATGCGCGCGTCATTCTCAAACAGCACTCACTTTTTCTCATTCCATAACAGGTAAAGTGCGCGCGTCGTTGTCCATGCCAGACAGTGTGTTATATAGCCAAGAGTTTTTTAACAACTATGGTTCCCTTGCAGATGACGAACGCTCGATCCTGAGCGAGAAAGTTAAGACCGTGTCGAAGTTGATGTTGGGAGTAGTGGTAGTAGTATTTGTAGCAGTAGCGCGGCCGTACTAGAACAGCAGACGTAGATAGATTGGCTTAAGAACTGTAGGAAAGATATTGGAGACTGTAGAAAAGATATTGGAGTACACAACCACTTTTTTTAGACTATCTAAGGTTAGCAAGGTTTTACTCTCTGATGTCCCCCACCTTGAACAGCTGTAGTGTAGGAAAAAAATACACAAAGTAGATCACATCCTAGTACTAGCAAGAAGAAATCAAGAACAAAAAGATAACTCCGTCCCTCTCGTGCTTCACAGGCTTCCCGCTGGGTAATGGAATGCTCGTAGCGCTGGAAAAATTTGTCGACACAGGCAACAAAAAAGAAATACCTCAAGAACAGGCAAATGAGTGAGTGAATGCCTGGCGAAGGTAAGCTACCTCCTAGAAGAAGAAGGGTTCCTCCACGAAGGATTTCTACTCTCGTATGTTTCCCATTCCCTTGTGAACAACGTAAACACCGCCTCCCATCGATCCTTGAGTAGGAACAGCGTTCTTGGTGATTGTCCTCTCTCTATCATGTTTCCCTGATCACGAACCTAAACGCCTACCCGCCTCTCTCTAAGAAAAAAACAGCGTTGGTGATTGTCGACTACCAAGCGGACTTTATGGATGGCGGCGCATTGGCAGTTCCTGGAGCCGATTACACGACCTACAGGGGGGCCATGGATAATTACGGCGATGTAAGGAAACGTATTACTAGCAGTACTAGCATGCTTAATACTGCATTGTAGTTTCTATGTAGTTGTAGAAGATGAAGAAAGCAGGGGTGCCATGCCCATGGATAGTTCAGTTAGGAGAGAGACCCACAGGGGGGCCATGGATAATTACGGCCATTCCGAAAAAAAAGTGGATGAAGACTAGATAAATTACAGTAGTATTAGTCAATGCGGCCATGATGTAAATATTACACGACCTACAGGGGGGCAATGAATTTACTGTAATACTTTTTAGAAGAGCAATGTAATCGAAGCATGTTGCTTACGGTATTTCTAATTCGTGACGATTATTTACCCAGTAGCTTAATACCTTTTCCTTTTTTCTAGATGGGTACCAACCACGACCACACTATTTGGTAGAAGAAAACAGTAGCGGGAATCTCTTCCAAGTCTACTGGCTTCTGCTTACACGCTTCGCTAATATTTCTTATCACTTATTAATATTGCTGAAAGCAAGTACATAATGATCCATGCTTAACCGCAACGGCTGTCTATCCTTCTAATAATAACGAATGCTAATCCCTATCCCTGTCTACTAATACTTGTTTATCACTTGTTGAAAATATTGGCGAATAAAGTACATGAATAAATAGAAAACCATCTTTGCTTACCCTTTCTTTCCAGAACTTTGCACTTAGTGATCACGCTAACCTTTGCCATGTAGTTCCTACACTTTCTAATATCCTTCCCCAATGATTATAACCATACCAGTCCCTACAACTACTTTTTACCCTTTCTTCGACTTCTAATATCCATTTATCAACTACTGCCGCAAGCACATGGACTGCGAGGTTTGCTGGTCTATGGACTCTCATCCGCCTGGCCACTCATCCTTCATCACGAGCTATGACGCTGACACGATCGCCGCGAAGGGACTCAAAGTCTTTGAGATTGGCAAATTGACCCGCAAAAACGAAGCCACGGGTCAAGAGGAGGAATATGATCAGGTACTACTGCTTCTATACAACTTCCAAGTAGATTACTATGTACTACTGCTACGTACTATGTCAAGAAGAGGAATATGATCAGGTACTACTGCTTCTTCTCTCATAGTAGATTCTTTTTCGGCGTTTTCATAGTCGTGAATGCTCACCTCCTTGAGGCGAGCCAGCTCCTATCCTATCCTATATACAACTTTCCGGGCTGTTCTCTTTAATTATTCCCATAACAGAGTAGTTTATAGCACGCATGGTGCACGGAGTAGCATGGAGTGCATGGAGCGCAGAGCTTTAAGGGGCGCAAGAAGCTCCCCCTTTGGCTCCATGCTACTCCATGTGATCCATGCACTCCATGCCATGCGCGCTGTGAAACCTTATAAATTGCTCTGCCATAAAAATACTCAGCGGCTTCGTCCCACCATCTACTTCAACGATAAATAGTCAACGACTTTCTTATCGCAAAAATAGAGAATGTTGTCATAATGAACTACTGCAGCTTACTCCTCTAATCTCCTATCTACCAGTCTTACCGCAAACTTTTTTTGTCATGTAATCACCAAGGACTTACTTATATTTTCATATTTCACGACTCTTCTTCATCAATTTCTCCTTTTCACTCAGACAATGTGGCCTGAGCACTGCGTGACTGACTCTGACGGATGGCAGTGCGTATTGGCGCCAGAACCTGGTGAGTACATTCAGCGCAAGGGTGAGCGAAAGGAATTCGACTCCTACTCAGCATTCATGGTAATTTGATGAGTTCCTACTCTGCATTCATGGTAACAATAGCCTGTACAAAGAGACTTTTCAATTTGTGACTCATATACGCGATCGTCTTCAAGGAAATCTTAGGCAAGGTGCCGAATAGATTCGAATCATCAATACAAGAAATATGCATAATATGCTGTATAATACACGACAAATAATTCAAGATTATCCACAGGATGATGGCGGCAAGAGGACGGGTCTGGGTGACTACTTGCGGTCAAAGGGCATCAAAAATGTAGTGGGCATCGGATTGGCCACTGATTTCTGCGTTCTCTTCACGTGCAAGGATGCCGTGGGTGAAGGATTCAACACTTATGAATGCTTTGGAAGTGGAAGCACGATTAATATTTTCTTTCTCACAATAGGGATAGGCATATTAGACCAGCTAGCTTATTATCAAAAAAAAGTAGCTGAGTTGAGATGTTCTTGTATTCCTCTAGTACATTTGTCGTGCGTGAGCCACATTGACTTTGATCCACACTACATTTCTGAGTCCTCACCCCTCATCCCCGCACATCCTCTTCTTCTAACCACAGTACGCAATTCCATCTTTGTGCCGTGGCATCGCACCGAACTTTGACTGGGCTGCTTACACGGATGCCGGCGTCAAGTTGATCAACGATCCTGCCAGCGCTAACGAAGGCCCTTAAGTAGTCACTCAATAATTTGAGTATATGAGAAGTATGACTATGATAAACTGTGTGACGTGATTTGAATAATGTATGAGGAGTAGTTATGCCGAAGAGGAGCAGTCACCTTGTGTCGCGGTGAAGTGGAGGCATCCAATCCTATCGTATCTGTATCTGAAGGATTATTTGAATAGTCTAAGGATTATTTGACTTTGAGTAGTCTGAAGATCTTCATATCGAATTGATGTAGGAGAAAGTATTCAATTCAGGATCGCATTAGGCGCCTTGCCGCATAAGAGATTCAAGTCCTGTTATATCGACTTCGACATTCGAGTTATCACCTGCTCAAGTGAAGTTGTTTGATATGATATTACACTGATGAAAGAAGAGCTTGGATTGTTGTACTTATTCTCGTTTCGTATTAGAGTAGTTCTATCGTTACCTCAAGTTGAGAATGCTATTATCATCGTTTCGCCTAGGTGGAGGTGCTAGTTTGTTCGCCTCCTCAGGATAGATTTCAGATGGAGCGAATGACGTTGCTTGGCATTATCTGTACAGTAGAAGTCTGAAGTCCTCGTGATTTTTAAAGTATCAGATTATGACAGACCTCCGGACAAGAAGTAGAGGAGCTACATCCTCCATGAGAAGGTGGGATGTATGACTTTTTGCTAAGAGTTTTAGATGAGGCAAACGAGGTACTAAGTACTATGTAGATTCGTTGAGTGAGGTTCTTCAGTTCGAAGAAAGTATGAGTATGTTGTAGATTTAAGAAGTCTAATTGATACTAAGTAGGCTGTCAGTCGGGTCAAGTAGATCTAGAAGATGAAGAAGATGTTGGGCAAGATGAAGTAGACGCTGTTGCCCGCTTATTAAACTTCTGTATTATTGTTTTTGATTGCTTGGGCTGTTTGATGTAATTGGAAAATAATCGTTGTAAACATGTACACTTACCTACCATTGGAACAATGAATGATCGAAACCTAAAACTACTTACTATACGTATGATCATGATCATCTAAAAAAATGTATAGAAGATTTGTCAACTTTGAAAAAGCCAAAATAATTACTAATCCATCGCACGACTGTATACGAACTTTGAGCTATTGAGCTATTGCACTGTATAAGAACTTGTATGCTTGAGAGGAGCTGTTTAGTGTTATAAGTTAGGGAGCTAACGAAGATTGATAATTCCACTATCGTCTAGAACAACTGCACTATTGAGTAGACAACTGCACTAGTGAGCTATAGATATTGTTGTGACAACTACAGCAATTGGATGCATGATACGTTGTCCTTCAGTGGCGGCGACTTGTCTAGACCTGGGCACCAAGTAGGTTAGAAAAGCACCACCAGGTGCAGGAAGTAGGTTTAGGTTTGTTTTTTGGCCGCTCTTCAGTAGCCAACCAGCACTCTTCAGTCACCTACGATGAAAAATGTAGGCCGACATCCTAGAACCTAACCTAAACTATTAGGCTATCTTCGCGATCACGTAGAATGACTGTCATAAGTGCTCGCAGTTGGTTTATTTACGTTCTTAATTCCACATTATCATGGCTCCACCCATATTATTGACATTCTTCGAAAACGACAAACAAGTAACTTCAGTATTCGTTTTGAGGTATTATGTAAAGATCTATCAATATGCAAGATAGAGTTAGCACGTCATTCATTGAAACAAAAGCTTGAAAATATGAACACTCGTAGTCTAGCAAAACTACTCATTACTTCTCGCGTAGCCTATGGAAAAAAAAAACACCTAGCAATCTGGCGTGAGTGAGGCCCTTGAACTTGAACTACTCCGAGTAAGCCTGGCACTGGTAAGATCCTGGTAAGATCGTGTTCCGACATTTAAGGGAGACCCTGCCGTCAAAGCGATGAATAGATCACGTTCATAGTAATTAAGAGCCCGACGGGAGGGTCTATAAAAGGGCATGAAGAAGTTTTAGGCGGGGAAAAATACCGCACCTACTAGATGTGTATCGGAAAACGATGACGAATAAAGAGAATTCGAATGAAAATGGAAAGAGAAAAGATGGCCCTCAAGCGCTGGCTCTATCCGGGTATATTTTCGACGCTCAAGCGGTCGATGGTAGATTGGCAAGTGCGGGCGGCCACGCGGAAAGTAGCAATAGTACTTGGTAGTGCAGCAATTGCGACCCCGGTGCGGTCACGAAGGAGACCGGTCCATCTTCACTTCCACAGGTAGTCTTCCGCGGAGGCGAGTGCTTGCGCGGTTGTGTCGTGCTCATGCTTGAACCCCGTAGGCCGTCTAGGCGTTTCAATAATACTGATCTGCATACGTAAGTATTTATATTTCATGACTTTTATTTGCCACACGAGTGAATGAAGAAGTGGAAGTTGGGTAAACACAGGAAGACAAGTCTCGCAGCAAGGTAAGATGAAAATGGCAGGCAGGTAAGGGCAATGTCGTACCAGTACAGCACAGACACCGCGCGACAGCTGAGAGGTATAGGCTGCCCTTGTCATCGACAGCTGCCAGCTCGGTTGATGTTGTTGGAGTTCCGTGAATTAAAAGAGAAAGATACAGATATCGAAAAAAGCAAGCTCGAAAGTCTGAAAATATATACTCGCCGCCTGCCTTGAGTAACATCCGAAGTGACGGCTCTGGGAGGAAGTCCAGAAACAAGGGCATGTCTGAGTCAGTTGGTTGCTCGAGTTTTTCGCTTACTAGTGTGGTGGTAGCTTCTTCGAAGCGGATAGTAGAAAAAGGTTTAACATAACTGGCGCGTCTTCTAATGACCGGGCAGCAGATCCGACGGGCAGGATACCCGCGCCAGACAGAACTGCTTGCAGTACTGCTGTTTGAGTGAAAGAACCAGAGCGATAGAACAAATTCCAAAACTTGCATTTTTTATTTCAAACGCAGTGTGAATGACTATATTAAGCTGCATCCACATGATGCAGCGACTGTGTTTCATTGTTTACAGACGGCAACTGCGCTCTCCAGGGGGAAACGATAGTAGGTGGCAAGGTGAAGCACGGGCTGAAGGGTCCCATACTACTGAGTTGGAGCGGGGGCGCCGTGTCTGCGCAGCAGGCTAGGGTGGAGAAGCAACGAGCAAACGAGAAGAGGAGACTGAGGTCTCTAGACGGCAGACTGCAGCTGCTAGAGGAACGCGAAAAGGAGGTAGAGGGACTGGAAGACCTAAAAGAACAAGTGCAGGCTCTGTCGAGGGAGATCAAAGATCTAAGAGCAGAAGGCAAAGGAAAAACAGACAAACTAGAGGAGAAGGTGGCGGACCTTGAGCAGAGGGTGGAGCAGCACGACCAACAGTTCGAAGAGATAGCAGAACTACACACGGTGGTGTCGCAGCTGAAAATAGACCACGACAAGAAGAGGGAGGAGGACGACAAGAGGTGGGACTCACTCTTCGCTCACCTCAAGAAGAGCGAGCTCGCGGGCCAGGGAGCTGGAGGCGAGAGGGACAAAGACAGCGGTGCTGAAGGCAGCTGCGACGAGGGAAGTAGAGCCAGCGGCGGCAAAAGGGTTCTAGAGCGAAAGGACACGAGTGAAAAAGACCGAAAGCGACCAACAAACGGGGCCACCAGCGGAAGGGAGCCGCCGGGCCTCGAGAAAAAGACGTAACGGGAAAGTGCTGCTACCGCAGCAGAGAGGGGAACTACAGCAGAACTACAACAAGAGAAAAAACGAACATGAAGCTCTTTCGTAGAGAAACAACGACCAAGCACTTCTACTATAGTGGCGAAAGGGCCGCACGTTAAAAGCACTCTCGAATACAGGAGCGGCCTGGTACAAGGACGCGCCCTGTTGTACAGAAGAGGACAAAGTGGCCTCACAAGTAGCGCGCGAAACTAAAGCAGGAAGCTAAAGCGGACAAAGCGGCCGCGCACCAAGAGCAAAGTCTCTGGGGTTAAACTACAAGTCAGAGGAAGTAACAAGTAGCAAGTGAAGAACCGCACAACGACAGGGCACTCTATTAGAAGGAAACCAAGTAAAGAAAGGATCGACGAAAAGAAAAACTGGTGGAAGACCAAAAGAAGAAGGAGAAGTGCAGCGAGGAAGGCTGCTACAATCCTACGGCGCCAGCAGGCAGATGCTAGCGAAGTAGGTTTCAAGACGAAAATCAGCGTTGCGAACTGGTTCGGCGTCTTGTGTAAAAAGACAAACTTAGCTCCCAAAGAATCTCAAGATGAAGATCGAGAAACTAGAAGTTGGATGTTGGAACGTTAGATCGATACATAACACGGCGAAGGCGCACGAGAGTGAGGTCAAACTCAAGTCGATCCTGCTACAGCTAGAGGCCGAGTGCATACAGCTAGCGGCACTCACGGAAACAAACAAGCCCAAGACATGCGAGGAACAGGTAGGAGGCTGGACATTATACCACGCTGGGGGGAAAGGACGAACAGGTGCGTCGTGGGCTATACGCAACGAGATAAGACACTTGGTGGCTGACTGGAGGGCGTTGAGCGGGCGGGCATGCATCCTGGACCTGAAGGCACCAGCCGGGGGGAGGCCACTAAGATGCATCAGCGTATACGCGCCCACAGCAGTAGACGAGAACGCCAGCAAGACAGAGGCCTTCTACTCGGACATAAGAGGAGCCCTCAGAGGGACAACGAGGTCGATGGTACTAGGAGACTTCAACGCAAGACTACCGCTAGGACCGAGCGAGTGCACCGGGCGGCACGGGAGGGCTGTTAACCAGAGGGCCAACAAGAACACAGAGTCCCTAAGGAGCTTCGCCTGTGAGGTCGGACTACAGTCAATGGCAAGCTACTTCAGACACGGGCACCACGGTTACGGAACATGGGCGCACCCAGACACAACAAAGGGAGCAGCAAGGTGGCAGCAGATAGACCACTGCTTGTGCAGCGTAAACCTGATTGCCACGATACAGGATTGCAGGGTAGTGCACACAGACAAACGCTTCTCGGACCACAAGATGGTGAAGCTAACACTGAGGACAGACGCTTTTGGGTGGTACGGGAGGAGGAAGAAGAAGCACACAGCCGTAAGGGTACCAAGGCCAGGCCGGGAAACGCCGGACCAGAGGAAAGCCTATAACGAAGCCGTAGAGGGGACAAAAGGAGACATACAGGAAGCAATGCGAAAGGCAGCTCAGAAGGTCTTTGGAGAAGAGAAGCAGGAGAAGCCGTGGATCACGCAGGAGTTCAGGGATGTCTGGCTCGAGCGGCAGGCACAGCTCCGAGCAGGGGACAAGGAGGAGGCCAAGAGGCTGCTAAAGCTGCTGTCATGGATAGAGAGAAGGGATGAGGAGAAGTGGCTAGAAATGACTTGCGCAGAGGCTGACGAGTATTATGCGAAGAGTGGACTGGCGCCGGCATTGGGAAGAGTAAGCAGGTACTACGGCAGGAGGCCCGCGCAGAGGGTAAGAAGGGTGACAACTGAGCCGCTGGCATATAGCGGGAGGACCGAGCACACAGCCAAGGGCAAGGCGGAGCTTCACAGAGCATTCTACGAAACAGTCTTTACAGGGCAGGAGCCATCCTCGTATCCAGCGGAGACAGCCACAGAAGGCAGAGGGGGCCTCAGGGGTGTCAGCAGCACTGTCACAGACAGGGAGATAGAAGACGCGGTGAGGAGGTTGAGGCTAGGGAAGGCGAGCGGCACCGACGAGCTTACCGTGGAGCATCTCCTTCTACTAGAAGGAACAAACAAAAAGAGGCTCCTAGCAGCAGTAAGGAGGAGATGGGAGGGTGCGGAGCTCAGCCCACACGAGGTAGAGTCATTAGTAACAGCGCTTCCAAAGCGGGGAAAGGACCAGAGCAAGGCAGAGGGGTGGCGGCCCATATCGCTACTAAACGTACTAGCAAAGGTACACGCGCAGTTGGTTCACAGCAAGATCTCGAGAGCTATAGACAGCATCCTCGGGGAGGAGCAGGCGGGATTCAGGAGGTACAGGAGGGCCGTCGACAATACACTGGCGCTAAAGATACTAGCACAGAACGAGAGGAAGGCAGGGAGGCCGCTCTTCTTGTTGTTCATCGACCTGCAGCAGGCCTTTGACAAGGTACCTCGCACACTGATACAGCGCGCCTTCGAGTACTATGGTCTACCTGAGGAGATGCAGGCTAAGTTCTGGGCGCTATACAGGGGGCATCTGTTCCAGGTGAAGCGAGACGGCGCGAGAAGCAGGCCAACAGAGACAACAACAGGAACCAAGCAGGGCTGCCGACTGTCGCCAACCATCTTCAGCCTGGTCGTGCGGTGCGTACTCCTACACACAAGGCAGACAGGGGGGCTAAGGCTGGGACAGCAGAGGATCACGAGGAGTGACAGCATGGCAGCCACTGATGGAGACGAGCTCAGGAGGCTCCTATACGCCGAAGATATAGTCTGCTTCGCAGAGAGCTGGCAGGAGCTTCTCGAGGTAGTGGGAGACATAAAGCAGACCTTCACACCGTTCGGGTTGCAGGTAAACGAGGGAAAGACAAAGTTCCTAGTAGTGAACGCTGAGGGACAGCCAGAGACCTTCCCTGAGGCGATCGGCATGATCGGGAGGGTCAGGGAATTCGAGTACCTGGGTACGATCATCACAGAGGAGGCCGACGATGAGAGGGACATAGAGGCGAGAATAAACAAGGCACAAAAGAAGACAGGGGAGCTGGGCCGCATACTCTGCAGCAGTAGAGTTCGGCCGCAGCTGAAGGTGAAGGTTCTCAACTCGTTCGTCTACCCGGTCTTAGCCTGGGGGGCGGAGACTTGGGCTCCGACACAGAGGCAGGAGGACGCGTTGGACACCTTCTGGAACAGGAAGCTGCGGCAGTGCCTAGGTATAACGAAGAGGGACAGGTGGACAACAAAGGAAGTTCTAACGAGCCTAGACCAGAGGAGGCTCTCAGAGAGACTACAGTCCGCACGTCTGAAGTACCTGGGTCACGTCGTACGCTACCCAGAGGGGCGATGGGTGAGGAGACTGATAGGGGCAACAGACGCTGGGAGGCCAGCGAAGACCAACAGAAAGGGAAGACCGAGGGAAACGTGGAGGGATAGGGTATCCAAGGAACTAGTGGCTAGATTTGCCACAATGGATGATTGCCTAGAAAGAGAGCGATGGAAGATCATAGCTGAGGGAAAGGCAAACGACCCCCCCCCCTCCTCCACCATCGACATCTTCAGCGCAGCACTTCTTCTTCTTCTTCTTCTTCCTCTCAAATCCTTCTACCACAGGACCCACCTCAACTAGCACTAGAACTAGAATATCAGCGCCAGCACCATCGGCAACAGCTTCAGCTTCATCATCATCACCTTCAACAACAGGACACAACTGGCGAAATAGTAGCAATGGAAGCAAATAGCGAGCAAGTAGAAGCGCCGCATCCACATAGTCAACTTTTTCAACACAACAGTTTCAACATCAGGGAAATCCGTAAAACTCAGAAGAGATTCAGGGAAGTCGTAGGACAATTCCGAACCGACTAACATCATCATTAGGTTGCGTAGTATCGTTGCAGCATTTCAGGCATTTCCTAGACAGGTCGGTCCTCGCGTGCAGCTCAAGCACAGCTCGGTCTAGTAAAGTAGACTCTTTTTCGGCATTTTCATAGTCGTGAACGCTCACCTCTCCGAGGCGAGCCAAATCCTATCCTATCCAATGATCTACGACCATGACCTCCCGACTGATAGGGTTTGATTCTCTTTTCTAAATAGAAATAATGTATAGAAAATGAATAAAGTGGCTGAAACATTAGGTGAACAAAACGCAAACAACATCAATGACATGAACATCGATTATTTCTTTGTGTTTGTATTGATTTTAATGCAGAAAACAATTTCCAGTGAATTGGAATCTTTAGATTTTCTTCATCGTGGTTCTCGTTTTGAGACTTCAACTGCAGTGTTTTGGATGTGTGTGTTCGGCGACGAAGCGGCCCACGTGTAAACTCTGCCCATCCGGTGCTTTATGCGCAGGGGTGAGGTGGGAACGGCGCTAAATCTAAATCTAAGAAAGACAATTTCTCGAGCTCGAGAGCAATCAGCGCGCGCAGTTTCGCATCAAGATGTGGGGGAGCTGAATTCCGCAGACAGAACGACACTGCCAATTGTAATTCCCCTCAATGCCGTGCTCCGGCGCGTGGCAATTAGTGCACCGCAGTAGAAGGAGGCTAATGGATTCCACCCGTCGCCGACAGGCACACCGGGTATCACTGGGGTCACCCTTTCGGCGATCTTGGCATACAAAAAAAAAGTGGCTGCGGTGGAGACCCTCTGAGTCTGAACTTTTTAAAAGCCCACTACTCCGATTAGCTGCATACTTTAATACTGTAGGAGTCAGTGTGTAGAGGATGGCTCTTTCACATAACCAGACAATCAAGGATTATAAGACTTCGACGAACGATCCAGAAATGTCATGCAAGCAAGGAAAGATCCAAAGAAATTGCGAGAGATGAAGATCAAGATCCTTAAAAGATGAAGATCCACAAATATGAGCGAATCGATCGAATCGGCGAGAAGATCTTCGTTCTGTTGCTTAGACGATGATCGCGTTGAAAGACACCTCAAGAACAGGCAAATGAATGAATGAGTGATCGAGACTAGTCTCTGTTGGAAGATTTGAGTTGAAGAATCGGTTGTGGGAAGTTCCTTTCGTGCCAACTAGATCGCAAGAACTGAGACCCTAGATCGATAATCCCAAGATCTATAATGAAAGAATGTCCACCCTCGTAGAAAATCCCTAGATTTTTTACTAAAGACGAGAGTGAGTGTCGTGACTTTTACTATGGAGTGGTGTACTTTTACTCCTAAGTAGCTCGTCCAAAAAGAAGTCGTTTTTCGAATCTCTTCCATCGTTCGTTACTTCATTTTGAGGTTTTCAGGGTGTCATCGTATAGTCTCGGGGTTGGGATGCTAGCCAGTGAGAGACTCAATGGAGTGGACTTTAAAACAAGGTGGATAACTTATTTGACTTTCTTAGAAACGAAACAGACACTCGTTCATATAATTCTTTGCATTTTCACATTCGCGTTCTAGTTTGATGAATTTTGTTGTAAAATATCGAGACGTAATATTAACTTTCATTCTATCTTGTTTGACGAAGAAGAAAAATAACTCCCATTTCTTCCTCAACATCTTAGCTACATCAAAATCCTTCCAAATCTAATCAAAAAGGTTAGAAAAGAGAGGAGACTTGCTCCTCTATTGTTCGAGACCACCACGACTCCCATTTTGAGTTCCCGCTATTCACTAGAGAATAGATTGATTCGTGGGAAAAGATTGACTCCTACAACTTATCCATCATCCTACGACCTAGACCTACTATTGACTCTTTTCTACACCTGTTGTTCACGACGAGGACCCAGTACACAAAACCATAACAAGGAATAGCTTGAAGAAAACAACAACAACAGCAAGAACCACAACTAAGTCTCACTTTCACAACTCAACTCCTTGTTCTTGTTCACTACATTATATCGTCCTATCTTATCCGACACACAACAGCAGAACGGAACAAAACAAGATGGGTGACTTTCCGGATGTGGGGCTGATGTTCTTCGCGAACCTGTTCAGTGCGATTGCGTCATGCCACTTGAGTCTCTGTCATTACATGTACTTCACGGCTTGGGCCTACATCGCATCTGGAAATGCTCCAGCGATCCCTCCGGACGCAACCGACAAAGGAAACGAGAAAATGGCCGTGTGGTATCCTGCCTCCATCAACACACAGTGGCTTATCATTTATGAAAGAAGAACACGAAGTTGCTGTAAAAATCCTTGTACATGATCAAAATGATCCAAATCTTATAGTAGTGTAGACCACGTCTTTTAGACTTCTGAAGTGGGTACCTCTACCTTCATTCATTGTGACTCAACGTAGATACAACAACGAAAGACCACAGTTATTTATTTCAACAACTAGTAGCATCTACTTATTAATATACTTTTGACGCTCTTCCTCCTCCTCCTTCATTTTGGGACATGCGAGTGGTTTGCCTGCTTCGTTTGCCTTCTGATATGGTCGCACAAGTGGGGCGACGGGTTGGGCAAGGCCGGAAACTGGATCAAGATGCTTGCAACGGTCTGCTTCTTTGTTGAGGACGCCTTCTTCTATGTCGGAGCAGTCGACGCAAACTGGTTTGGGCAACCGGGTATTACCGACGGCTGTTTGTTTGCGCTATTTAAGGCTCAAATAATGGAAAATATACCTACAACCCAAACACTTCCCCTTCCCCCCTTGTGCAAACTTCAGACGTACCCCTGGATTGGGTTTACTACTACTACTAATACCACTACTATGATGAGAATTCGTCGTGGTCTATTGTTTTAGAGTCAAGACAGAGAGAGTGGCTGCATCCTCTTCACAGAGAGAGAGTAGCATTGATGTCCTGTGAATTTGACAAATTTTTTGCTCAAGCTGAAGTAAACGAGCTGAAGTAAAGAGATGTCTAGCTGAAGTAAAGAGCTGTCTTCCTAACTAGATAGTTTTTTTGTAATTAAACTAATAGTCGTGCGTTCCTGCATGGATATCTCATGATATATCTCTTCATCAGAAGTATTTACGTCTCGTCAAATCCTGTGTGCTGACTGGGTATCTCGTCAAATCATAAGGACTTACTACATCTTCATATCTTCAAGAGTACTTACATACATCATCTCCTTACTTCTACATCTTCATAAATACTTACTACATGTGGTGTTGTTCCCCTTCCCCCGCTAACTAATGCGGCATTACCTTGTTTTGGATTGGAGGAGTTGTTCACACGATCGGATTTGTGAAGCTATTCGGCTGGAAAAATTTGACCACGTTGGGTATCTTCCTCCTCATGCTTGGAGCTTTCATTTTGTTATGGGACAAAACACTGCATCTTCCTCTGATCTTTCTTTTTTCTAGTTAGGTCGGCTCAGTAGTAATTACCATGCTAGGTCTGTAGTGTTGGTTTTTGCTCTTTCCGGCTTAGTACGTTACTGTATGCTCAATGGATTCATTTCCTCTGGGCCTGGTCTCAAAACTGATTTGGTAGATCACATTGGAGACATATGACATGACATGACCACAAATTATATTGTCTTCTAGTAGGACTATCAGAACTTATCTCTACGATCCTAGGCTTGTCCCTGCAATCAATATGGACTGCTCCTAGTCCTCCAGCGACGCAGCTTATAAAGAACTTAAAGTAGAAAAGTTAGGTTCTAATCATCATGATTTTTTTCCACCTCTTGGCGCACTTCCCGTCGACGGCGATGTGGCAAGACTTCCCGGACACTGTGCGAATGTTCACTTGTTTGGTTAAGGCTCATCTTCAAGTACTAGTTGTAGTTCCTTTGTACATAGAAGTTTAGTTCTTCGTTCAGGGAGAAACTGCTTTCTCCCTGTTGTCAAAAACTCAGCAGTTTCTCCCTGAAAAGAAGAACTAAACCTTCTTTAGGATCATTCTACTACTACGCATTCGAAGCGGGGGCTCACACTAGAGTAGAAGAATGAATCTAAAGTAGAAGAATGAATCTAAATGAAGATTCAGTCTAAATGTGGAGAGAAATGCAGGCTTGTCTAGGAAAAATGAATTATCCGCCTAGAGCTGTTCTAATCTGAGTGACGGTCTTTTGTTCACCGGATCCGTGGTGCTGCTAACGCCCATGATCGAAATCCTCTTCAACAAGCCAGAGGATGAGTCTGAAGGTATACATAGTAGCAACCTGGATTAAGAATACATATTTCATCTCACTCACACTCTAGTATCCATGAGATTCTTGTTTCTCATTACGACAAAAGTACACCAATCGATCCACTTCATTCTTTCCTTATCCTTTCGCTTTCCTAGCTAGCAGAAGCTGGTACCGCACACTTTTTTGACACATGATTTTCCCATCTATCCGACCTATCCCACGTCCACCCACGTCGTCCACCAGGCGCAATCCGCAAGAGTTTGACCGCTGGTGCGGATGATGCGCTACTAGCAGGGTACGGGGCCACCTCTATTGTTAAGGGTGCAAGAAATCTCCCATTTTCAGACTGTCACCTTGGTCCTCCCGTTTTTTTTGAAGGGACGAAAAGGAGACCCAAGATGCTGCTCAAGATGGATAATTTCTCTTAGTTCTTCTAATATTGATGCCAAACCTCTGGCCGATCACCCTCTGAACAGCGAGCATGCGGCACTCGTGATCGTCGACTTCCAGAAAGACTTCATGGAGGGTGGCGCTTTGGCCGTCCCCGGAGCCGATCATGTGCAGTACAAGGGTGCCATGGAAAACTTCATAAAATTCTGCCGATCCGAATTCAAGTGTCATTAAGGCTTTTCTTGCTCCTCTGAATTCAGTGAAGATGGACGAAGAAGTGTTGATTTAGATTTACTAGTGTTCTTGATAGAAATAGCGTTTGCACATTGATGACATTTTGAATCAACATTTGTTTTGCCTTAACGTGTTACTTACTACTACTACTTACTACTTACTACTTACTACTTACTACTTACTACTTACTACTTAGAGAACCTATTCATTTTGCCGAACACTACTACTACTACTTACTAAGAAAAAGATAGGACCACGTAGAGTAAACTTGCACGAACTCGCTCCGCTAATCCTCAATCGTTTGGTCCCAAGACTCGCATTGTCCTGGGCATTCCAGTTTTATCACCAGCTATGACGAGGCAACGATCAAGGAAAAGGGTATGGCGGTCTTCCAACCTTGCAAACTCACCAGAAAGAACGAAGCTGGAGAAGACGAAGAATATGAACAGGTATACTTAAGATGAACTTGTAGTTTGGTGATTTTTTTCCACAATACATGCTCATAGCGAGTAGGTGCTTCTCTGATGTTTTTTCTTTCTCATACTTTCTCAAGAAGACTTTCCTCTTTAAGTGTGGGCGCCTAAGCCACATCGCTATTTCCTAAACCACATCAACTCCTTCTCGACCAACAGGGCTACCTTTCTATCAACCTTCAAATCAACTTCTTCCCACATCAACTCTTTATCACGTCAACTCCTTTCAGACCATCTGGCCAGAGCACTGCGTAGCTGATACCCCGGGATGGATGTGCGTGATGTCCCCACTCACTGCCGAATATATCCAACGCAAGGGTGAACGCAAAGAATTCGATTCTTACTCTGCATTCAAGGTAATTTTTGATTTCGATAAAGACAAATAAGGGTACATACTTTTTGATCTTGACTCTCTAACGCCCTATCTAATAAGGAAACTCAGTCTTGCTTTTCTATTCAAAGGATGAGGATCTTCGATAAGAAAACAGCATTCCCTCGTCTAATAGGATCTTCGATAAGAATACTTTTTCCTCGTCTTAAAGGCTATTCTCAAGCACTAATTGATTGTTCTCTAACAGTTATAGTACTCTTCATCCACTTGTTTCACAGGATGACGGTGGCAAGAGAACCGGCTTGGGCGACTATTTGAAGAATAAAGATATCAACACGGTCGTGTGCGTCGGCTTGGCGACAGATTACTTTATGACGAACACTTTCTTAGATAAGTACGTGTTTCAGTTTCACTTGCAGTTGATTTGAAGATTGTTCACTCAGTCAGGGACAGGGACAGTCCCATCCGGATTCGATTTTGTCCTCTAGGTGGGGTTCTACACTTTCAGTCAGTACGTAGTAGTAGCCCCGAGCACTCCCTAGCACTTTTGTTATCTATCGTGGATTTTGATTTGAAAAGAAAGTACGTACGAACTCTCCTATTGCAGATTCCTTTTAAAAAGTTTTTGCAACTTCTCACTACACTCTAATTCCCGCGTGAAATTCACCTGCCTGGACTCTGTGGGCGAAGGATTCAAGACCTTCGCGATCCCGAGTTTGTGCCGTGGCATCGCCCCCAACTTCGACTGGGCTAACTACACTGATGGAGGCGTCGAGCTCACCAACGATCCGTCTGTGACGCCGCAGACTGCATAGACTGGAGGAATCGTGTTGGAGTAAAGAAAAGTGAGTACTAGCTTTACACACAGGAGTTTAAGAGCATAGAAGAACGACTGTTGGAGTTGCTGGAAAGAGAACACAACTTTATTTTGACATCTACTTTACACACAGGAGCTGACTCATTCGAGGAACGATTGTTGGAGTTGTAAAGGAAAAGGAGGTTCTTGTAAGGAAACGGAGCAGGCTCTTGTAACAAACAGCTTGATCATCCGTGTGTAAGTGGCTGTTTGTAGTATCAATAAGGAGGAAAAGACTTCGAGTATATAATGAGTTGCACATGGTCCTCGTGTAAAGGTGAACAACAGAAAGTAAGGGGAAGTAACATCGTGACGAAACACTACGACGAAACACTACTAAGACAGGAGTCTGCGGCCCTGAACGACTTTGTGCGAGATTTATTGTCTTGCATTGTATTGCATTGTTGTAGGTAGAAGAAGCAGTTGAATATATTGCATGATCGAAGAGTCAGTAGGCGAAGATCAGTAGACGCGATGACCTACTGATCTTCGATCATCTACTGATCTTCGATGATTTACCTAACGATGACCATCAGTAGTATTTAGTTGTGCACCTAAGCCTCACTGTAGTGGTCAGTGGCCTTCTACCACCTGACTGTACTACCTCCTAATATCGTCAGTAGTCTTCTAGTTGCCACCAAAACTATCATCAGTATAGTGGTCAGTCGTCTTCTACCTGATCATCAGTAGGTGCGATGACCAGGTGGAAGTTCTAGAAGAATTATAGTCCGCTAGAGATTTGTACTTGTACTTGCTAGAAGAAGAGATGGAAGAAGTGTTATTACTTTTAGGTCACTGCTTACGAGGAGATGGAAAGAGTATTGCACAGTGCTTTTTACGAGTATTAACATAGTTTTTAGGTCTATAATTCAGAGCGGGGATCGTGGAGAATTATGGTGGAGTTGTAATGTCATCGAACATTCATGTAAAAAAAGAGTACGCATAGCGATCTTTATTTTCATGAGCATCTCACCAAGTGCATAAAGTCTAAGAGATGGGCATAATATTTTTGCATAAGAGTAGAACAGGCATACGTATATAGACGTGCATGAACAGATTACAACATTTATATTCTGCCACAACACAACACAGCATGAGAGCCACATCACCCTACATCTATTACACCTACTACATGAGATCATGAGAGAATTCATATAATAATAATTGTTCCTCCAACTTCAAAATAAAGTTTAGATCATCATTAACAACATTCCCCAACACGACATGATAAAACTTTAGTGGTATAGAAGTTAGACTGAGTTTCATAACGTATTACTGTGCGACACCTTAACACAGGATAAAAATAGCATGGACGTCATGAGAGCATCGACACCCCCTGACCCATTGACTCAGATATTCAAAGAAAGGACATAGCTATCATCGGGCTATTATCTTATGGAGGTACTACAATCACGACATCAAACGGGATTCAATAGAATCACACCACCATGAACAGGAAGTTCATGCGAACTTCAACAGCATAGAATTACGACGAGGATTTATTCTTAGGTGGAAAATCCTTATCGCATTTCCTTTCTGACTAAATATGTATTCTACTTGGATATTGACTCAATTTAATTATAGTAGTAAGTTACTACAAACTCAAACTTTTTGTTTACCCGACGACGACATGGAGACTACTTGTTCTTCTTGGGTTCGTTCTTTGGGTAACGTGCACATAAAAACCGCTACCGCCACCCATCATAGTTTCGTCGTGTAACAAGGAGCCTAAAGGTGCATTCAAGTAACTACTACACTTCTTGTGATACAGAAGACCAGATAATTGAAAATCTAAATTCCGTAGAGATTATCGTACATATTTTGTCATGGATTCGTTTGTTCCCAAATTTACTTTGAAAATATTCATCTAATCTTGGAAAACTGGAAATTCAAGGCCATTCTCAGTACACTGTTTTAGAAGAGAGGAGATATCTCTTATCCTCTTCGAGAAGGAGGAGAAGGAAAAGGTCTGATACTTTCAGATGATTCAGATGAAAGCTACTCGTACAACTACAATGTCCCCCTGAAGCCGAGACCTCTTGCAACGACCACACGAAGATACTGCTTTTAGCTTATGACTAATAGAGATTTCATGTATCCTCTCTCTTTTCAGTCGCTGGCAGGATTATTCAGAAGTGAGAAGCTGGACCATGATTACGATGAGTAGTTGACACTACTCGCGAAACTTGTTCTTGTCCTCCTTCTTGCTGTGCCAAATATTTCTAGAGTAGGTTTAGAAATCTATGTAAATAGCTACTAGCTAGTAACTGGCCAAGTCATCTAGGTTCGCCTCCGAGGATTATTTTCGGTCTCAGAGACTTGCATTCTTGTGTGACCGTCCAAAGGGAAGGTAGCACGCCAACACATAAAGGTAGGACGCCAACACATAGATCATAAGGGTAGAAGGACCGACGCCTGTGAAAATGAAGATTGACTATAAGATGGTGGACACATCTTCAACCTTCTCGTGCTGTGCTCCTTATGTTCACGACTTGTTATAGTGAGCATGATATATTGAGATGAACCAAACCCACAACGCAACGCAACAAAAATTTGTAAGTGTCAAAAATCACGTCCAGATGATCTATCACCTTACGATTACATTTCTCCTGTGAAAAAAAGATGACAACGAAAAAGCTTAGACTTTTCTCTTTGTGCTGGTTGTAGTTCTTGTCTGTTTTACTATGTCTTTTCGAGTTCGAGACAGGAGCTACAACTGGTAGGCAGATGCTGACAGACGTTGTTCTTTGGAGGAAGCGGAAAAAATGTGCTCTGTCCTTGATGAATCGAATCTCGACAGATGATTATAAATCAAATATTGTGACTGCGAGAAGCGTCTGCTAGGCGCCGATGTTTCAAGATTCTGAGCGTTGTTGCGAGAGATTTAGCTTTTTACTAAATTTTTCCGGACAACAAAGAATTCATGCGAAGATTTTCACTTGATTGATGAGCCAAAAGCCACTTGAACAAAATGACGGCACTCTCTAGGTATCAGAAAATGCTGGCATGCTCTACGTCACCTGCTTCTTCTTCTAGTTGCAGGCTTGGCGCCACAAGCTGCCCTATGGTGCAAAAGCATACGAATACATTGGGGCAGACGCATGCAAGAAGCCTTCTCGACCAACACAAGATGACGAACTCTTCGTGTCCAATCCAAAGCCAGATCAATCCGACACCACATCTTCAACAAAAACGTTTCGTGACAACTGACGGTCCGTTTCGGCATCGGCGTGGTAATTTCGTGCCCAAGCGCAAGCACTACGATCGAGTCCTATGCCACGCAGACGTTCCGACCTTGGTCAGCACGGCTAAACATTAAGGAATAATTGTTTCTTACAAGAACTCTGAGGATTATTAGCTGTCTGAGAAGTAGTTTAAACAATAAGAGTGTACTGACGAACCGGAGATCGTGCTCAACTAAGCCAGCCTCCTCATTTGGTTTAGTTTGTCAGCCAACTACGATTACGTGTAACTTCTCCGAGGACAAACTCTCCGACATTCTCTCTTCAAACTGAAAAAACTCTAACTCATATATAAACTCAAAAAAACTCAAACTCAAAAAACTCTAAGAACAAGTCCTGGCCGCACCAAAGAACGACCCATTCGTCAGGCGTTCTACCGCCAGGGCCTTTTGGACGGTGTACTCGGAACGGTTTAGGCGCTGTCTCCACCTCTGCAGCATACGGGAGATTCATTTGGTGTTGAAGTTATGCGGTTCATAGTTCGTTAATCTATTTACTATTGCGATGGATGCCTGCAGATCAGGTACATTACAGTTAGAAGATCTTGACATCTTCCAGCACTGTTCTCCTTGCTTCAAGGCCTACTTACTATTGCGACTAAAATGAGATAGAAGTACCTATGAGCGCGAATGTTGGTGAACTGCAACGTGCTACATACATACAGTTACAGACATACATACATACATACATACACGCATACACACATACATACGCACATACCTATGAAAGGCATCCACGAGGACATTAGGCTTAGTACAACATAAAATGGCTTGTTCTTGTTGTAGTACTGAGACATTATCGAGAGCAACGAGTGTCAAGAAGATGCGTTGTAAGCTGAACAGCACTTGTTCTCTGTCCACATCACTTGTTCTCTTTCCACATCAAAAACAGCCTAGTCCCTGCTTCCTCTAACGGCCGCATTCCACGTCTCTCGTGTCGGCCATGATGCCGTGTTTGCCGCTGCTGCTACACACTTGGCTAATTTTCGGATGGCTTCTGTTTTCGAGTATGCAAACCCAAATGCGAATTTGCGACATGCTGGTAGTCTTGTGTCACCCTCAGCCAACTTTCAAGAGAGGAGGAAGAACAGTTGGCCACCTTTCGTCGTGTACGATCTGATGAGAATATACGCAAAGAGAGCTATTGTAGTTGGTGGAGGTGGTGGTGGGAGAGCAGAACGAGTAGATGGTGGTGGTGGTGGTGCTTTGGATGAAGAAAGTAGTATTAGAACAAGCGGGGATCATTGTTCTACTTCTAATTCATGTACTAGTAGTGAGAGTTGTGAAGAGAATGGGGGAGATGGAGCAGGATCTTCCAGCACGTCATCAGGTGTTGGAGAAGGATCCAGCACCAGCAGAATCAAGAACGTCCATTATCAAACTTTTGTCCGACAGCTAGCAGAGCAACTTTTGTACTCAGGCCTAAGCGGTAGTCCGGTTCGACACGTCTTAGGCATGTTAGCAGTCCTTAAGGAGACTGAGAATGTTACACTAGGGGAGACGGCGCCACCGATTGGCTTGTTGAACCGATTTGCTGACAAAGTTGCTTCAGAATTCCAGTCCTTTGACGAGTTGAGGACTTTGCTCAGGTTCTTAAAAGAGGACTTCAAAGTACTAGACAGAACAACATCAGGGTTGGCTGCTTCTACCGATGTTGGAGAACAAGGCCATCTCCAAGAAAGAACAGCAACTTCATCATCATCATCATCATCATCATCATCATCATCATCATCTAGGAGTAGTTTCATACTAGACTCGATCTTGGGGCCCCGTCTTGCTGGATTAACGACTGTACAAGGCAAAGGCTCTGGTGAAGAGAGCTTTTCCAGTGGCATTCCTGACAGCAGACGAGAAGCAGGCGAACAGTATTTGACAGCGGAAAGAGTTATGAGATTTCGAGATGAAGATGCGTGTAGAGTAGATGTTTCTTCGTTGCTAGATGATACTTTTTCCCCCAAGAAAACGATAGAAATCAGGTACACAACTGAAACTCTTTCTTTTCTTCTCTCACCCTTCCACCGCCCCTGATGTTCATACACCTCTGGCCACTACTCCGTTGCTTTTTAGACGTCGACGTCGAGCCGCCTGTGGCTTTTTTAGAAAGTGTACGGCCACTCTTCGAGGCTGAGCTTGCTCTTCTAGGAAGTGCTAAAGTGCAGGCGATACGACAGGTCTATGCACAGGCTGGTTTGTCCTTTGGAGGAGAGGGGTACTTTCCTCCAGTAGAAGAGGAAGTGGAGCAGGAAGTAACAGCAGCAACAGCAAGTTAAAAAGTGGGAAGGGCAACAGATAATGACGATCACTGCGCTATAACCAAGAGGATCAGATCATGACGCTACAACAGTGTAATAATAATCTTCGACTTCGACAACATATAAAGACAGCCGTACCTGAGCTGGGCTCTCGCAGGGTGATAGTACAATTTTGCGCCGCAATCGTCATGACATTTTGGCACCTAGAAGGATGAATCCAAATTTTTTTGCAGCGGTAGTTGTTCCCTTGCTCTTCCCGGATGTGCAGCGAAGCAGGTCCGTTGGTCTGCTGCAAATCATGCTTTTCGAAAGTGTGCAGCCAGATGATGTCCTCTAGTACGGCTCTGTATTTGGTGTTGTGGATCATTCTTTTCTGAGCGTTGAATCGAGCGATGATCATGTTACTGGATGTTCCGACCGACTGATAATTGAGTCGTGTTACTAGATCTTCAGACCGACTGATAATTGAGTCATGTTAGTGGATCTTCAGACCGACTGACAATTGAGTCACAGTGAACACTACCTCCACTTTTTGAAGTTTTTTTTTTTGAATTTTAGAATCACTCACCTTTTTTTTACCTAGTATAAGATCCTCGTACACGGCCATCTTGGCTCCCTACGCACGACTTCAACTAACACTTGGTGTCAGAAAATAATGCCCTCGAGCGCTAACTCCGCCACTACAGCTATGGATTCTTTTGCTACGTTGTCTGCCAATGCTGGGCAAATGGCGACGACGATGTGGGCTAAAGTCGCAGAGGCACTGGGCACTGCGAACAGCAGTTTGAAAGTGCAATACCAAGGCTTCCAGAGGGCTTATCCAGAAAGCGGTCTTCCCGCGTGGGAAGTAACGCAGGTACTGGCTGCGACGACGGTGAGTGTGTCGACCTTGCTTTTTCTCTCGTGTCGCTCTGGTGCTAAGGCAGCCCACAGTGCTTCTGGAAACAAATCGAAAAATGCGAATAAAAAGAAGAACAAAGCTCTTGGTACTGGAGGAGGTTCTGCTACTGGAGGATCTTCGACGGGTCAGTCGAATACGAGCACCACCTCAAAGAAAACTACTCCTCAACAAGCTGAGACAACTAACCTCCAATCTACTTCTCCGGAAAAAGCTCCTGCTGCCGCTGGGAATGGACACGTGGTTACAAGTGTGAAGGAGGAAGCGACCGTACCAAAGGCGGCTGTGAAGTCGAATTTAGGATTCTTGTGGATCATGTTGTTTCATACAGATACATAATAGAGACAGCAGCAACAATCCTCGAAATTCCACTCCTATCAGTTCTATCATAGTGAGAGATTCAATGATTGAACTCCATCGCGATTGTAAGTACTTCTTTCTATTCCACTTTGTTTCAGCATCATCGCGTTATGTTCACCTTTCATACCTCGTCAAAACCGCGTCTCCTGCCTACGCAGAGACAGCGTTGAATGTCCACCTTTCATACCAAGCCAAAGCGCCTGTGGCAGCAGTCGCAAAGACGGTGTTGAACACGCCTGTGAAGCAACTGATCAAGCTGAAGAAGCAAGAACTAGCCGAACTGCGACAGAAGGAGACGCTGAATAACCGAGAACGCCGATTGCTCAAAAAACTGGAGCCTGAAATTGAAGCTTTGTTATGATGAAGTGTGATTGCTTAGTAGTTGCTAGATTGGTAGATGAGCCTGAAGTTGAAGCTTTATTATGATGAAGTGTGATTGCTTAGTAGAAGTTGCCGTGTCTGTACTCGGGTCACAACTGCACCAGGCAGCTACTCGTAGCTGCTACGTGGTTGGAATGAGTGAATGACGAACATGAAGTGTGTATGTGCTTCAAAATTAGGAATTGCTTGGTATTGCGTTGAAAAACGGTTCTTGTTCTGGTCAGAGTGAATTACCGGCACATGAATCACTGATCAATGTCTAATCCACGCCGCATGCGAAGTGAACAAGCAAGGGATGTGCAAGTTCCCTGAAAAATTCCTTCCCGCCACCGCTGAGCAAGACGGGGGCTCTGGATCGAAAAAGAAGGCGGATGACAGTGAAGACGACGAGAGTCCCAAAAAAAGGACGACCGCCAATGGCACCACTAAACAAGCCAATGGAAACGACGGCAATAAGAAGGCATCCAACAAGAATGCCACCGCCAATGGAGATGCTGGAGGTGGTCCGATGAATGCAAGAGTGATCGACTTGCAGCGACAACATGGTATCTCCATGGAGATGGCTGCGAATGCCATGATCGCGCAGTCCTTGGCCGCTGACACGTCTCCCGATGCTGGAGCAGAGTTTTTATGGCTTAAGCTTGATTTGGTTTAGATTTTTACTACTACATTGGCTGTTTCTGACTCCGTCAGTCTACTTTTGGAACACCTGAATAGTCGCTGAGGGTTCTATCGTAAGAACCTAAGTTACTGCAGCCTCTAATAAAAACCGAAGTAGCTGGATCGAAAAAGAAGAAAAAAAAAGTTGACGATGGCTGGGAAACGGTTCAGAGGAAGGGGAAGAAGTAGGGTGCTGTCACTGTGACGCTGGATAGCTAAATTGTAGATGGAGGTACAGAAACCGAAATGATGTCAAGAAAAGGTCTAGTTCGAAGAAATTTGGATCGTCAGAGCCGATATGTTGATTTTTACTACTGTAACCCAATTTTTTCGCACCCCGATAGCACCAGACGTCTATCAAAAATAGCTGCACTGCTGCATACCAGTGCATGATAGATTTTCCATCTGTTTGTTTCCTCATCCCTGCAGGAAATTCTCAAAGTGTCCTCACGCCACCCCACATCGATATTCACAGGCGTTACGAATGAATTGCATGATACACTGTGACCGTAACGGTTCACATTTTGTGATATGTTTTTTATCGTATCTATAAAGACTGCAAAGACTTTCAGTCTCATACAGGAAACTATCTGCTCTGCAGAGATCAAGAGTATGTCAAAACCGTTGTGCGCGAGGTTTGTCTGGTGTACTACTATCTTTTCCGAAAAAAAGTGCATGAAACAGTGCATGATGTCCGGAGAAATGGGCTCGAAACATGTGGACATGAAACGAGAGTCGTGCATTGCATTTTGACGGAGCTTTGCGGTGCGCGGCCCTTCAGCCAAGTTTTGGCTATCCCAATTGCAAGATGAAACTATCGCCATTTTTCTTTTTTTGCCTTTTTCCGGGCTCGAAGTCCGAGGCTCCGTCAAAATGCAATGCACGACTCTGAAGCTCGAAGTCCGAGGCTCTGTGAAAATGCAATGCACGACTTTTCATGTCCACATGTGACCACTGCGGTTTCCCCTCTCTTCAGCCAAGTTTTGGCTATCCCAATTGCAAGATGAAACTATCGCCATTTTT